AGTTCCCTCCACTGTTGCCTCCCACGAGCCCTGCGGACTGCGGCGGCCAGCCCTGCGGCCAGCCTGCCGGGCCGGCCCGCCCCGGAAATGCCGGAGGGGAGGGCTCCGGGTGAATCACAGCCCGGGCAGCCGGCGGGCCGGAGATTGGCTAGGAGTGGAGCAAATTGGCGGCCGCGCCGTCAGGGCCGTCGGGGCGCGCACCGGCAGCACGAGGAGCACGATGAAGACGATGAAGACGGCCTCGGCGACGACGTCGTGGGGGACGCGCGACGGCCCTGTGATGTCCGCCGCCGACAAGGTGCGCGCGCGGCTGACATGACAACGAACACACACGTACACGCGCGCGGGGGGACAACCGGTTCGACCACCGCCCTGCCCCGCCCCGCCCCGCCCCGCCGGGGAGGCGGGGTTGATGCACGGCACGCCCAGCAAGGGGCCCTTGATGACAAAGAGTCGGAAACGCAATGCCAAGTGCCAAACGCCTTTGAAACGAGGCGAACGACGCGGGAAACGCGGCCAACGAAACGCCAAACGCTCCGTCCGCCGGGCGCGGCTCTTCGCGTGCACACCTGCAGTCCTACAGTGTCCTGCACGCGGACGGCGACGGCGCGACAGCGGCGGCACGGCGAGCGCCGCGAAAGCCATTTCCCCCGTCGGGCTGCGCGGTGGCGCGACATCTGCCGGGATGAACGGACGGCGGGGCGGGGCGGGGCGATAGTGACGCGGTGCCAAACACCTGCCGCGCCGTCTGCACTGTGCCTGCACTGTCTTTCCGAGCATTCGCGATTCCCCGCAGGCCGCAGTGTGTCTGCAAATTGTAGCAATTAGACAGGCGGCCATCATCGGACAAGCACAAGAGGAACTACGTATGCTTTGGCACGACGTCGAAGCAATCTCGCCAGACGCACGCGAGGCCGATAGGCTTGCTACACAAAAATCTACACAAAATAATCGAGTCGCTTCGACTCGGCTTTGTGATTTTCGATGACGTTTCCGTGTTTATATGCCCCTCGGGGACATCATGTTTCCAGTGCAGTGCGCGACGCCGCCGTGCCGAACGGACGAACGGCAGGACGGCGAGGAACAAGAGCGAGCATCGCAAAAAAGGGAATAAAAAGTCGAGTTAAATCGGCGGCCGAGCAGAAGTCCTTTCGAGAAAACAAAGAAAAAGGGTGAACGAGACCCAGCCCAGCCCAGCCCAGCCCGGTACAGTCCACGACCGAGCGACCGAGCAGCCAAGCAGGCCGGCCGCAGCGCCGCAGCGAAACGTGTGCAAACATTCAGGGCCCGACTGCAAAATAAACGCAAAGCGGTTGGCGAAAATGAATAGAAACCGAAACCGTACGAACGCCGCGACCGCGTGAGTGCGTCCCCTTTCCGCCTTTCGCGCTGGCGCCTTGTGCAAATTGACTTTCCTGACACGGTCACTCCACGGCGCCCCGCCCCGCCCCGCCTGTCACATTCTTCCTTAATTCTTCGCGGCCAGCTGATAATCACTGTGGCGCCTACACTGTAAACACGGCAAGCATTCTAGCGCGACACTTGCGCGTCCTTCGCACGCCACTTTTTCTTGGAAAGGCAAAAGAAAGAGCGCCACGCGGGTTTTTCTTTTGCTCTCCGCTAAAGACGCCCTGGCTGCCCTGGCACTGCGCTGGCCCCTGGCCCCTCACGGCCCCTGGCACACACCCGTCAAGACTGCCATAAAATTGTGGCGGTCGTTCGAAAGGGGGTGGGGAGCAGAGAGGCAGGCCCTGGCAGGCCGGTGCCGGGAGTGCCAACAGAGTACTTGGGGTACCCATGGCACCCAGGCAGCCAGCCGGGCGGCCGGGCCGCCAGCGCAGCCAGCGCGTTCCCGGTTCCCACACGCCGCAAAGGGGCACCGCTGGCAGGACGGCAGGACGTAAGGCAGGACGCGGCGCAGCAGCCCATTCAGCCCAAAGGTACCAAAAAGGTTGCGCGAAAGGCCTGCAAGACCTGCACACAAAGGGACTGGACTCGGCTCCCATTAATTTGGGCCCCAGTCCGGCCCAGTCCGGCCCAGTCCGGCCCCGCCGGGCGCACCCGTTGTGAGCTCCAGAACAGTGTCGGACAGTGTACGCCACGGAGCAGGATCATGCTCATGATGGGGCTGAGCTGCAGGCTGAGCCGCCGCGGCTGAGCCGCCCCGTCCACACAGTGTCCACACCTCATCTAGACACGCTGACTCAGCACGCGCGCACTTAGGCCCGGCCGACGGAGAGCTTGGCCGCGGACGGGATGCATGACGGATTCGGGATCGAACGCGGGACCGCGCAGGCAGCGGCCTCGCCCCGCCCCGCCCCGCCGGGCCGTGCCGCCGCGTAATAGCCACCTTGGAGATGATCGGTCTAGAGGCAGCTCCCTTTTCCCTTCCCCATGCCTTTCCCCGGTCGCAAACAACGAGGGCGGACGGAGCATTGTGGCACTGCACTGCGGCATGACTGCAGTCGACTGCAGCACTGCTGGCCGTCGTAATGGAAGGGCACTGCGAGGAAGGGCTGTCCGGCATTCCAGCTCCAGCGGCTCCAGCGGCTCCAGGCAGTACGGCCCCGCATTCCGGCCGGGGGGCTTCCTACCCCCGCGCTCGCCACCCCTTAGCAGTGCAGCGGTGCGGCGCCAACCCTTGCGGCCCGAGTTCTGGATGATGGCCCTATCTCTGGATTGGCCCTTCCGGCCCAATGAACTCCGGAACGGCCGCAAACCACGCTGCCCCTTCGGCACAGCAACCAGAGGACCAGGCCAGACCAGCGCGGCCAGGAGCGCATGTGACGTTGCACCGCATTTCGCAGAATTCCGGCCGGCACGCCGGGACGGGAAGCGACGGGCAGGTTCAGTTGGCAACAGTGTGTACCGAGAGGAGGAGGAGGAGGAGGAGAGGGCCGTGGCGGTGGCCGTGCAGTTGCCTGCAGCGGACGCCCCCCGCGGCCCCTCCGCGCCCCTCCGCGCCCCGCCGGCGTTGCAGAGCTGTGCAGAGCAGCACCACTGCAGTGTGCAGTGTGGGAAGCGCAGCAGCCAGGCCAGCCAGGCCCACCTTGGCCTCCTCGCGGCGCTTATCGCCTCATTCATGCACCCTTTCACTTGGCGAGGGGTGCGTGGGGCGGCTCGGAGGGAGCCCCGCCGGGCCACTTTCTCTGGGCAGCCACCCGCCAGTGGCTGCGGCCCTGGGGCCCTGGGGCCCTGGCCGTCGGCCGTCCCTCCGCGACGTCCTCGTCGCCGGCGTCCTAAGGCAGCGCGGCGGTACTACTCGGAAACGGCGGCGATGACGGCGAGGCACGTCGGCACTCGGACTGGCTTGCCGTACTCGGCTTGCCGTACTGCACTGGTTGCGACACGGCCCGCCTGCCCGCCGCATTGAACCAACACGTGAGACCCCACAGCAATTAGCAGAGCCCAGGAATCTCCTAATAAATGCCCCGCCCCGCCGCGCCCCGCCGCGCCCCGCCGCGCCCCGCCCGCAATGACGTACAAAAACGCTTTAATTAGTGGAGTGTGGAGTGAGCGGGGCGGTGCGTCCCGTCTGCAGTTCTGCCCATCGTGCAGCGCCGTGCTCGCAGTGTGCGTGCTCTTGCGCAGCGCCGCGCATCGGCCCCGCCCCGCCCCGCGACGGGCAGCGCGTTCGGAACAAACCATTAGCGCGGCGTCCGCAGGCGTCGCGGCGGCAGCGACCCTTCCCGCAAGTGACGCCATCCGGGCCGCAGGTGAGGTCACGGGGCGGGCCTGACCGCGCGGCTGACTGGCTGACTCACGCACTCTCACTCGCTTTATTCGGCCATTCATTCTGATTCGCCGTCCGCGTGGCCGCGTGGCCGCTTGGCCCGAAGTACTCCGGACGACGGTCTCCGCACCTCCGGGCCGCGCGCCGCGCTGCCTGACCAGCACAACGGCGGAGGCAGGGGGTGCTTGGGCTGCTGAAGGCACCCACGACTTCCCCTCCCCCACTTCCGGTCCCCGCACGCACACCGCACACACCTACACACGCCACACACGGCACGGCGGTAGCAGTGCGGTAGCAGTGCGGTAGCAGTGCGGTAGCGAGGCCCGGTCTTCCACTTCCTCGACGCGGCTGGCTTTGATTGCGCCACGGTACGTACATCGCCCGATCGACGCATCAGCATCGGCCAATTCGAGGCTCGCGTCCGATTTCCGAACCGAGCACAGGCATCCTCTGCTCCTGCTCCGCCCTCTCCTCTCCCAGCGACGCACTCATGAATGGAATGAGGCAATATGACGCCCCGCCCCCTTCCCCCGAGGACCCCAGCCACCGGCTCCAGCCCGCGCGCGACAAGTCCGGACAGGTCTGCGCAGTCCGACGCCGTCTGCTCAGCGAGAGATACGCCTCTGACCCGCAAGGTCCGCGAGGCTGCCATCCGGGCTGGATCAAATTCGTCGCGTAGTGTTCTTTGGAAGACTCCCCCCCCCTCTTCCTCCCCGCGGCTCCGTTACCCCGTTCGCGACGACGCCTTATCGAGACGCGTCCGAGAACACCTCGATAACGAGGAGGATGTGGAGGTGACCGCGGGGCGCGGGGCACGTACTGCGCGAAGCGCCGAGCAAGACGCTGCAGATTCCACTCCGTCTCGCGGCGAGGCGCGGCGAAGCCCGGCAGGGCCACGCCAAGCCTAGCCAAGCCTAGCCAAGCCAAGCGATGGCGGTCATCATGTCCGCAGCGTCCGCACCGTCCGCAGTGGCTTTGGGGGAAACCCCACCCGCGGCCGGAGGCGCCACGCCCGCCTCGGCCGGCCCCCGGCTGATTCCAGCACGGCTTCGTTGCTCTCTCGCACCCCCACAGAACGCCACGAGAGCGAGAGAGAGAGAGACAGAGCCTGCAGCACCCGGCCGAGCTGCCCGAGCACACTCACGCGACAGGCACTTTGCACTTCGCCCACCAACCGTCGCCCCCGCGGGGAGGCAACGACCTGTAGCCTGCGGCCTGCGGGCCCGGCTTCGAATCCCACCGAAAACACCAAAAAACTCAAACTTACCATTCGATGCTGCGGTATCCGTGCGCGCAGCAGTGCAGGCTCTTGCCGCCGCCACCCAGCACGTACTCCTTGGAGGACAGCTCCTTGCTGAACGCCAGGTCGCCGTCGGGCAGCCCCACGGCGTTGCCCACGGCGGTCCCCACGGCGTTCGGGGTGGGCGTCGTCCACGTGTCCACCGAGCAGTGGTCCTTGGCGTCCACCACCGCGTCGGGCGGCGTCATGGTGGCGAGGGCCGCTGGCGCCAACAGCAGCACCGCGAGCAGCAACGCGGCCATCTGCAAAAGGCGACGTCGAACCGTTTCAGAAACAGTGTGGCTGCCTCGAGCATCCGCGCGTGCACGGACACGCACGGACACGCACGCTGCACGCCACACAGGGCACACTCCGGGAGGGTGGGCAAACCCCGGGGCGCACCCAGCCTGCAGTCCCTGCAGTGCCTGCAGCAAGGATCCAGCGAGGGACGAGTGGACACCTCCGATTTCCCACGAACTTGGCCCGTCTCCTTGTCTTGCACGACAAAAGGTAGTGTCTCCTTCGGCCGCTGACCGGTACACCCCGCCCCCTCTGCCCCCCTCCCTCTCCTCTGCCTTCCCTCTCGGGGGTCTGCCCCGATCCCGAGAACCCCCCTCCCCCTCCCCGCTCCAGAGGACGCCGGCCCGGTCTGCAAATTTTTACCTGAGGGGACTGGCAATGAATTACATGTTCTGACAAGTCTCGCTCACTCACACGACGCAGCAAAGGCGAGGCAGCGAGGTGGCAGGGGGGACGTCGCGGATCCTAACCGAAACTTGAAAAGTTGCGGGACGCCGAATCAAAAAATAGTACACTCCCAGGTGCAGCGGGCAGACGGCGGACGGCTGACGCCAAGGCTGACGCAATGCCGGAACTGGCCATTCGCAGCGCTTTGCGGTGCTGCGACTGCTGGGCCGGTGGTGGGCCGGTGGTGGCCTGGACCGCGGCGCGATGGCGCGATTTCGGGGCCGCGATAGCCGGCATTCCCTGCCGCCACGCCCTGCCCCGCGGAGCCGTGACGCGCGATCAGGTGGGAAGCCCGGCCGGCCAGCGGGCCAGGCCATTCAATCGGCCACTTCCAGACTCCCGGGGCCGCGGCCGGAGGCGCGACGCGGGTCGAGACTTGCGGGGACGGCAGGTGGGTGGGCGTGCCGCTCGACGTGGTGCTCGACGTGCCGCGGACCGCGGCGCCCACCGCGACGACGAAGGGCCGATAGGGCCGATAGGGCCGCCAGCCGGACCTCCGCGCCGCTACGCGCCGCCAAGCCGGGCAAACCTATTCCTGGGCTCGCCTATCATGACATGACTTGGTCAACCGCAGGCCGGCGGCGTTGCGCGCCAGGTGGCACGGATGATAACGCTTGATAACGGCGCGAACCCCTTCGACCGGCCGCGACGGCCGCGACGGCCGCGCCGCGACGGCCGCGCCGCGACACGTCCGGTCCGGCACCGTCCGGCACGCCCTCGGACAGACCGACAGCTCGGCGGGGGTGTGCTGCAGTTGCACCACATCACCTTGCACCCACCCAGGCCTAGGACGCAACGCCCAGGCGCCACCGCACCGCACGCATCTCAAAGCGCGTCAATGTGCACACAGGACAATCAATCCTCCAAACGCCCCTATTTCTTTTCCGCCGCCGGTGCGGCCGAACTGTCATCTTGATGACATCGGGGTGACATCATACCATTTCTGCCCCACCAATGCAAGATTACGCGCAATCTCTCGGCCGAGTACGGGCGGTACGGGCTACAAGCAACAAGTTCGGTGGTCCTTGCAGTGCCGTGGGGCCCGGCGGCCCGGCGCGCCGTCAGGGGAATGCCTAAGGAGCCCCACAACGCAGCGACACGTCGAGACACGTCCGCAGCGGGGCCTCTGTGGACCTTACCTTGATTGTACAGAGGTGGATTCGAGGGAAGTCACGGGCGTATCCTCATAACGCAGTCACTCAAACACACACACACATCCACGGCGCAGTAATCCAGAGAACACTTGCAGCACACGCGACGACTCGGCGATCACGACACGGCGGACAAGCCGCGCTTTTGCCAGCACCGCGCACGACCACGTCCAACACAAGACTGGCTGGCGAATGGCGAGTGAGTGGGGAGAGGGATGGGGAGTGGAGTGGCGGGGCGGCGGGGCGCGGGGCGTCGGCGGCGCGGTGGCGGGCGGAGGAGGGGGCTGGCCACCGCGGCACCGCACCGGCAGCCCCCCCCCCCCCTCGCAAGCAGTCGCCAAAGCCCTACACAAGAACAGGGCCAAAAAGGGCGGACATGTGAAACACGGGACAATGAGAGGGATTACCTCTGGAACAGTCACTTGTGCTTGTTCTCGCGGGGTGGGGATCCGGGGAACCGGAGTGTTGGGGAGGGGGCGGTTTCTTTTCCTCCACGCGTAGATTTTGTGGAGGGAAGGCCACGTGTTCTGCCAAAGTGAATTTCACGATCTAGCCGCAAGGCAGCCGAGAGTGAAGGTCCTTTAGTGGGTAGAAAAGAACTGCACTGTGGAACTTTGTTCGAAGATGTGCGGCAGTGTAGGCAGTTCAACAACACTTTGTTTTGTTTTTTTTTCAGACTGCTTTGATGTTACGTTAACCCAAATACCCGAAACGCCAAAAATTGGTTCGAGTTGCACGTATGGATATTCGGGAGCGCGAGCATGCAAATTTCCCGCGGTCCAATTCCATTTTCACCGCCTTTTCAGTTTCACAAACAAGCGACGTCATGGTCGACAACCCCTCCACGGTGGCAAAGAATCTCTTTCACTTCCGAAATAGGAAGGAAATTGGATGTGAAATCAATTACATTTAAAAAAAAGAAAAGCACCATTTCAGGATTTTTGAGAGAGAAGAGAAAATCACACAGGTCTTCAACCGTTTACCCGATTTGTGGAAAAGTTGGCAATGAAACATGACAACTGGTAAACAAACGAATGCCAATATTCAAACAGAACACCAACATAACCCCGAACGGAACGGAACGGGTGCCGAAAAGTCTTTACGCTCTTGATCAAGCAATTCCCCTATGTTCGGCGTGTATTCTGTTGTAGTTTTCATTACGTAACAGACAATGTCATCATCTGAAGAAAAAACAACAAGCCCACCCGCCAGGAGACGGCGTTCGAGCATTCTCAGAAGGAAGTCTGGTAAGGATTCAGATACAGAATCCAATTTTACTTATTTATTTATGTGATCTAATCAATTCTTTTATTTTATTTTTCAAGTTATTCCTATTGCTGAAGAGCATACTTATGAGCTCGCGTTAAGAGAGTAAGTGTAGTTTTTCCTTTACGGGTATACAGTTCTCCAGTACTGGTGCACAACAACTAGATCTCTTGTTCTGGTATTTTGTTTACGTTTTTAAAGGAACCTAAATCTATTTGTATTGTGTCTCAGGTACATATCTGATACAAAAAGGGAAAAGTCGGAATGGGATGATTTATATCGTCAGCGGAAGTCTCAATTTAAAATTTCAGAAGATGCGTAAGTTTACTGAAAATCTTAACTCCTGAGACACATATTTCCCTATTGCTGCATTTCTGATATTTTTCTCTCTCCTGTCAGGTTGGCTCAGGTTACTGCTGAGCCACCAACAATCACCCCTGATGTTGTTCAACAAGATCTTACTGAGGATGATATAATTCATTTCCAACAACGACCAGATTATGAAAAACTTTGCAATGATATGGACAGATTTGTAGAAACAGCAGCAATGATCAAAGCGAAATTGAAGGGATTACAATCAGTGTCAAATTACACCTTTCTGTCATCAAAGGCTCGTTTGAATGCATTATCAAATAGTATATGCACTTTTAATGATACTGTTCCATTGTGGCTACAGGATCCATTGAAGATCCAGAATCGTAAAGTTAAATAAAATATATGGGCTATATCAAGTTAAGGAAATTCACAGTTCACAATTCACTTTTAATTGCTCTCCTGAATTGACATAACATCACAATGTTAACAAAACAATAAAAAAAATTACAGAATGTATAAGGCTTAAAACATTTTGGCAGTGAAAAGGTTTTGGTAAAAATTATGCTCACAAAAGTGAACATAATACATTAAATTAGTGGTGTCACAAGTATTCTTCTGCGTCTTTTGACTCCATATAATTCACTGGAATCAAGAGAAAGGCAGATAAGATAGATTGAGCTGGAAACCATTGCAAAATGCTTCTCCATATTGAAGCCTTGCCATGCTTTGTAACTGAGCTCATTGGTATATGCCTCAACGATAAATAAATAAATCTTATTCTAACATCACAATTGGTATGATAACTTTCCAAGAAAAGTTCTGCATCACAAAGAGAAACTAAAACAAAATATGTCAAACCAGTCTCACTTAGCACAAAACATCTTCATCTGCATTGTTGAAGGTATGAAAAAGGAGTGAACATGTCTATTGGAGAATTACTTAAAATTAGTTCAGCTTATATTGATACAAAAGATAATAATGAAGAAATGATCCTGAATATTGAAGGTAATAGCATGAGGCAGTTCAGAATAAAGAATGGAAAACATTAAGAAGAAAGAGTCTACATACAATGCAAATCTGAGACAAAACAATAAATAAAATAGCTTGAGTTACAACGACTTCAGTTCTCACTCAGTAGCTACTGAGTGGTTGAAAATGGCAGGGAAATGTTTTTCATGTTAGTATGAAGAACATAACCAAATTAATCTTTCTTTTTGAGTCCATTTAAATCTTTGGTAGCAAATTAAGTGCAATCATGTTCAATGAGAGACTCCAGTACATAAGACCTATGAATTAATTATAATTATTGCTATCATCTTGGTCCTAAATGAAAGCTTTTTCTCCTGTGGCTTTTCCTTTCTCTCATTGCTAGATACTCTCTTCGATGAGAACTAGTGCGGAGTTCTAAAATATGATTCATTTGTTGTACTACAGCTCTTGCAACTTGTTCTGGAGCTTCAAAATCGTGGTGTTTAAAGCTCTGTGAATGGGGAGTTGCACTACTTTGTTCTGGTGATGGGCTTGGAGAACGATAATAAACCAACCTAGAACAAATTTTCTGGTGAAACTTACGAATGAAATTGCCAAAACAGAGTCAGTACTTAAGCAAAAATAAGAGCAAATAGAGTAAAATCTACAAAGAGTCTTACCTAAACACAGTGCGACTATTTGACTTGGTTTCAAGTAAATCACAGGCAACAATACAATCGGTATCATAGCTGACAGCACGTTGGCGGACCCAAAATTTAGCGCTGACTTTCTGCTGTGTTATAGGATCAATTTCTACTTTTTCGCCTGAAATACCTGTGCAGATAATTTGATCAATAAACAATTCCAAAAGAAAAATTTTCACAGATTTACATAGCTGAACAATTACCTAAATGGACCTCAGTTTTGGCACGAAGTGGATGTAAAACAAAAACTTGGTATGATTGATACAACGGTGCTTCCATGGCCGTCATGTGGCCTTTCATTCGCATTTCAGCTGCCTGAAGTTGAGCTGAAAGATAAATAAAATAAAATGACAATTTTTCAGAAATGGATTTTTTTTTCTCTTTTTATCTATATGGTAAAATTCTTACCCTTTGATCTAGTGCCTGAAGGATCATGTCCAGGACAGGAGTCCACATCATCCCTGGAAATAAAAGACACAAATTTTTGGGCTCTTAACTTTTCTCAAAAAGAATATGGAGCTCTTTTCTGTCTGATATCAGTCACTTACTTTGTCACATCTTGGGAACGAGACGGCCATGTATTGTTACCCTCTACCATAGCTAGAAACTTAAATCCAAATTTTCCTACAGTTTCTCGGGGATCCAAAGAGGGAAAGTCCCAGTCAATTTCTCCATCATCTTCTGCTATGTGCATTCCATAGTTCTCAACACCCCCTCTGTTAAAAATAATTAAATCAAACAGCCCTCAGACAACAATAATTTTTGGAAAAGACTATACTCTAGAGCAATGTACTTACTTGATTTTATACTGAGGATGATGAATAGAACATTTATAAAGTGTAAGTCCAATTAAATCTTCAACCTTTGCAGCAGATAAGATAATCACAGTCATTGGGTAGTTGCAGTCAGGTGGTGCCAAGATTGGAAGGAATATGCCATATCTACGAACTTTCACTCCAACATGAGCCTGCCAAAAAATAGAATCCACATGTTTTTTGTACATACAGGCTAATAGAGTAAAACAATTTGTTGCTGCATAAATTAAACTTACACTCCCATCACATTTTGCATAAGTCTGGAACGGATTCTGAGGTAAGTCAGGACACTGTTCCAGCTGCTGAGCTAGAAGGGACTTTCCACCCTGTGACTTTGCATCCCTTGAACTAACTTGTTTCAAGTCCTTTCCCTGAAATACCTCTGCCAATTCATTTCCTGCAACAAAGATGAAGAATAAGAAAAGAAACAAGTGCATAAGTTTACAGTAATGGAACTTGTGAATAGACCAGCACTTACTTGACAATGTCACAGGTGCAGTCTCCCACTTTATATGTTTGGTTTTAGCTGCTCGCTTTCTTTCTCTGTCCATTTTCTCTAATCGAGCAGCTGTATTAGACCTTGCTCTGTGGGCACCAAAATCTAAGTCTGCAAGAATATTGATGAAATGAAACATCAGGCGCCACAGCAACACCGGCTTCGAAACAATTGAAATCCTTGTAAATACCTGATTGAATATCAAAGGATTGGCCCATTGCATCCATATCATCTTCATCACTATCATCTTCTCCAGGGTAACAATCATACTTTGTGGAAGAGACAAGCTTTCGGGAAAGATTTTCTCCTTGCATTACCATCTCACACATTCCTGTCAGATATACAAAAATTAGTTAGAGGGCAATATGATGACAAGTTTAAGGTAAAAACAACCAAATTGAATGAAACGGAAGCCCCTTGAAACAGCTGTTAGCAATACTCAATTCAATGAAACATTACACCGGATTACAACAAGAATATTGATCGGGTGACAGTGAATTTAATGAAGAAATTTGTGGGACAAGTAGTTTAAAGATTTTAACAGTACTAAACACAAGGGATGCCATAATGCCATGTAAACCTATTTACAACAACAAACTGATGAATCGTTGAAATGGCGAGAATAGTACTCACCAGTGTCATCAGAGGAAACAAATGAATTCCTTATGTGTGATAACAGCCAATGTTTATTATCATAAAACGCCATATCTATTTTTTAAATAATAGTATTAATTTGTTTATAAAAGACCCGGCTGACATAACCTCTGCCTCCATCCGACATTCACTTGTTTTCCAGAAGAGCTCCCAGCATGTCAAACGCAAATATTTTTCAATGTTGATCAAACAGGCTTTTGCACCCGATACGGGAGTCGAGTCACTAGCGATGTAACTTTTTTTAGAGAATTTATATTATTTTTCAATTTTTAAAACCTAATTCCAGCTTAGTACTGATTGAAGCATCAAACAGTTTTTAGTATTTAGTGCTTAAGGGTTTTCGTTTCGAAGCAATGTCGTGAACAACAACAACCAAATCAACAACAATATTGAGATAGGTTAACCTCCATCCAACCACGTGAAAGGTTCGTGTGTTGTGGAAAAATTTTCTCAGACGACAACATGGGGAAAGCAAGCAAAATTAAACTTTCCAAACCAACGAGTAAAACGCAGCCCCTTGACAGACAAATCGAGGAACATCGTTTTGCCAAGCCGTCAACCAGAGTGAAAAATAGGCTTCGTCAAGATGAAGATGAAGAGGTATGTCAATTATTTAATTTACTTGCTACCATTCATATAATGGAAAATTTGTTTGTGCCATCTTAAACTTTTTTCAATGTTTGTTGATTCTTGTTGTGCCTTTCTTTTGTAGTTCGTTGGATCAGAACTGTCTGGTCGCATTCTCCAACAAGCACGTCAACAACAGAGAGAGCTGGAAGATGTCACCGATGATCTTGCACCACCCGCTAAGAAAACAACCAAGTTGGGTGCTGGCAGTTCTTTGGCAGGCCCTAGTAATGCAGGATCTGATGATGAAGATGGTGCCAGCTCTGAGGATGACATGGAGGGAGATTTCTATGAGGATGTGGTATGCTATCGAAGTTTTGTTCATGAACTTACTTGCAAATTAACTGCTACATTCACTTAATTTGTTGTCTTATGTAGAATATTGATGAAGACGATGAGCGAGCCCTTGAAATGTTCATGAACTACAGTGGCAAAACTGGTCGAACTTTAGCTGATATAATCCAAGAAAAGATTACTGAAAAGCACACCGAGCTTCAGACTCAGTTTTCAGATGCAGGAAGTGAGTAAAATCCTTGCTTTTTTCTAAGGCAGCTGTGTGGATAATGCCTATGTAAAGTTTGATCTTTCCACTCTCAAGGTGTGCAAATGCAAGAACTAGATCCTCGGGTCAAGGAGATGTATGAAGGTGTGAAGGATGTCCTAATCAAGTATCGAAGTGGCAAACTACCTAAGGCTTTCAAAATAGTTCCAAAGCTTCGTAATTGGGAACAAATTCTTTACATTACTGGTAAAGTATTGACTCTTGTGTGTGTGTGTTTTCTTTTTTTTCTTTACTGTCTCAATCATATTAATTCAGTTTCACATCATGCTTTGATTTCATAGATCCACCCAGATGGAGTGCTGCTGCCATGTATCAGGCCACTCGTATCTTTGCATCTAATCTAAAAGACAACATGGCACAAAGATTTTTCAATCTCGTTCTTCTCCCCCGTGTACGGGATGACATTGCTGAGTACAAGAGACTTAATTTCCATCTATATCAAGCTCTTCGCAAAGCTCTTTTCAAGCCCGGTGCCTTTATGAAGGGTATCCTCCTTCCACTGTGTGAGGTAAAATGTATTTTCTGATTTTTTCTTTGTTTTATATCTATCTGTTTCAATTTACCCCTAAACATTTTTTAATCTCCAGAGTGGCACTTGCACTCTACGTGAAGCCATCATTGTAGGGTCTGTTGTGGCAAAGAACTCCATCCCCATGCTCCATTCAGCTGCTGCCATGCTAAAACTGGCAGAAATGGATTACAATGGAGCCAACTCTATATTCCTCAGAATCTTGTTTGATAAGAAATATGCGCTGCCTTATCGGGTGGTTGATGCTGTAGTTTTTCACTTTGTCAGGTCAGAATGAGTCATTTTTTTTGCCATCTTCAAGTTGCACACATTAACTATTTTAAATTAGTGGGTAATATATCAAAATATTTATTTTCCCAGGTTCCAGCGAGATCATAGAGAGTTGCCTGTTCTGTGGCACCAAGCCCTTCTTACTTTTGTTCAACGATACAAGAGTGACATTAGCAGTGAACAAAGATCTGCCCTTATGGATCTATTAAGGCATCAAAATCACCCAACTGTAACATCAGAAATCAGGCGAGAATTAGTAAACGCTAAATGTAGAGATGTTGAAGGTGCTGAGCCTGAGCCCATGGCTGATTGATGATTTAGTCAGTTTAATGTTTTTGAGGCTTGAATTTTGGTGTGTATATATTAACTAGGAATAAGATGTTTATTTTCCTAATATTTAAGTTATAATCAGGTATAAGTTACAAATTAAAAGCTTATTATGAATGTATAAAGACATGGATTTATTCATCCCTGCAAGTGCATTGTTGGTGGCTTTTACAATCTATTTTCAGACCCATTAAGTCATACCCAAAATTGTTTTCATTCCAAGAATTTTCTTCTGTTGGGTTCCTCACGGCTTCTTAATTCCTGGTAAATGACAAGGGATCTTTTGAATGACCTCTTGGATGCGGTCATGCAACACTTGTTCTGTAGCTTGACGAATGGTGTCGTGAAGACTGTCTACAGCCTAAAAATTAATAAGAAGAGTAACATTTATTAATAACCAAGAAAAGAATGACTGTCTACAACACTATAGTGTACATATATTACCAAAGTCGTTACCTTTTCTGCTATGGCTGATGAGAGGCCATCAAAAGGATAGAGTCCTGTAAGGTTGACATGTATTTGACCTAAATCTGTCACCTTTGTTTCCTCTACTTTGAACTTGCACCCCTCCACTGACAGACTAACTTCTACTGCCAGTGTTATTGAGTTAGATGTAACATTTGCTGTCAGGTTGCCAGTTGTTCCAAAATGTAGTATGGAGGCATCATAGTCATAGCTATTTGAAAACAAGAAATGTTGGTTAACTTCCATGGGCAGTATGTTATCTTAATGGCCGATCAAGGAAGTCTCCTCATTAACTCACTCAATAGTCAATTCTTGAAGACCTAATGGTGCTATCACCATCAGTTTAGCGTTTTTGTATGCTAGGTTGGCATCTCCAGTCCTTTTTATCGAAGATAATGATCTTAGTGATCCTTTGGTACAGTGCAAATGGCCATGCACTACAAACGGCCACATATTCTTATAAAAGTCTTCTGTGATGTCTGGCAAAGAGATGGACTCCTCCTTAGCAAGAACCAATGCCTTCCTCACAGATATGAGGACTTGATCCACCAGGCCATTAATGTTCAAGCCTCTCTGTTCTGCTTCCTTTAGTAAAAGCTCGTCAGAGTCACCCTGCATCAACCAGTAAATTTTATCACCTTGGAAGACATTGTCAGCGAATAAAGTCAGTTTCATACTCTTACCTCTGGAGCATAGACAGCCTGCAAAGCATTCACCACTGCTCCTAGGAGCACCAAGATGAGGGCGGCCCTCGGTAGATACATGTTGGCCTGGAACGATTGAGGGAATGCATCAGATAAAACTAGGTGGCCGGCGTGGCGTCTCTTCTCTACTCCCCGCTGAGACGCGTGGGGTATCGCCGCGGAGCATCGCCTTGGAGGCTGGCGGACGGGACGACTCGCGCCACATAAATACAAGTGAGGGCAACAGGCGGGGTCATTCATAATCTCTTGTCTTGTAGTACAGTGAGTGGACCGTGGCGTCCGGAAAGTGTGCTTCTATCTTTGTCGATCCCAACTTGCCGCTAAAGCGACCGACTTTCAATAGACACACCTTCATTTGGTGATGTACTCATTTGACAAAGGAGTCGCTCTCCCCGTGCGTGTCTATCCACTCTTGACTTTCTAAACACGAATTTTTAAAATGAAAATGAATTACACTGACCACTGCCACCAGTAGCTAAATCAACACTTCTTTTAGAGGAACAAAAGAAAAATGACACCAAACACAGTTTTGACTGCATGTTTGCAGGCAATCTATTTTCATGACCGATGGTGGAGCTTTTTTGGTGGTCCTGGAGAAGACACTCACCTGGGAATGAAGTCGGGGCGAACAAAGCGCGAAGCAATAGCTCGGCGCGAAGCAATAGCTCGGCGCGAAGCAATAGCTCGGCGCGTGACGGCAGGGGCGATACTGTCAGTCCATTGGTGGACACTCCGACCCTACACTGCGCGAGGCTGTGGGGCACTGGCTGCCGCGGGTAAATAAGACTGTGTGTCGCATCGCCGCATCGCGCTTCCTCCCCCCTCCCCTTTGCGATACCCTGCGTCTGTGCCGAAGACTTGGTAGACGCAACACACACATGCGGTGACACACATGAGACGTGCAAGTGTCGCGCGGTATGACGCACACTAGAATCACCGCGCCGAGGGAAGCACCACTGTTTGGTCGTGAGGCCGGTTTTAGAGAAACCAGAATCGTGGTGCTAGTTACCGAATGAAAGCAGTGTGGAATCTTTCACATTATTTTACTTATTCCGGGGAGACTAGGCACACATTAGAGCTTGGTACTGTCAGAGACAACTGTTTGCAAGCTGTGTGACTCCTTTTGTGTTCATATGAGCCCGCCAGCAGGGAGCGGAGCTGGCTGCTTCGATAGTATCGAAACCATCTCGATTTACACGTCGAGTTTGACTGCTTCCGCGTGTTGTGAATCTGGCGCGTTTAGTTGTCAAAACAACTTATCGAGTTCCCGTTCAAATTTTCTGTTATTACTGCGATGAACTGGAGAAATCATTTCTTGATATGTAAGTCGATATTTTGTGTCTGTTGCCGTTCCATTACATTTTGTACGAGTTGACGCACAGCAATTTTTGAAGTTTGATAGGTTATGTGTCCTGTGTTTGTTTGAAACAGTTTGATGCTCATTCTCTGAATAGTATTGTTATTTGCTTCTTTCCAAGTGTCTGCTGTTAATTTTAAGCGGACATCTTGTCAGTGTTAATACTTTTCTTTATCGTCCGCAGCTTGGTTCTTGGAGTTGTCTGTTGGCTTATGTTTCTCTCATTTCACATTCCCATTAAATTACCATAGTTTTCTATTTTACAGCGTAGTCTGTGAAAATTTTCATCAACTCTGCTAACTATTATTATTTGTTCATTTTGATAGTTGTCATAGTAGCATGAGTTTGTCATGGAGCTTAATAATAGTTTACATTTGGTCTTGTCGAATTTTATTTTTCTTTATAGGGTCTATCAAATTTCTTGATTTTACTGTTTGATTTTCCCCACCGATCTCTGAAAATATTTTTGCTCTCTCTTTTCAGAACATGGAAAAAAATGAGGCAGATGGGACAGTGTTGATCCTTCAAGTTGATGAACACGGGAAACAGCAGCAGTTTTCTTTTGAAAACGACCTTCAAGCAGTGTAAGCAGTGTCAAGCTTTTGAACGTTTTAAGTATCAAGCTGTTGGTGTTTGTGTTTCTTTGTGATTCGTACTTAATTTATTTTCTCGCTCATAGAACTGAGCTTGGGCTTGGTGAAGTAGATGAAAGTATCCTGGATAACGGAAACCTCATGGATAAGCCAATCAAGCTGGAGCACCTAGGTGAAGATGACACCATGATCATGCTGCCAGGTGACGACTGTGTGCTTGGAGAAGATGGTGCGGCAACAGATGAAGCAGGTGTGACTTCAAACCTGACATTTATTTTATCTTCTCTTTTCTTGTCAAAGACAAAAATTTGTTAAATATCTATCTAGTTTATATTTTTAATCCTTTTCTTTTTTGTTGTTGAATAAAGGAAACCTGATATCAGTCGATGGTGTTTTGGATGGCATGGATTTGGAAATGGTTGAAGAAATTAGCCACCAGGAGGCAATGTCACCAAAGTCTCAAGATAATGAGGAGCATCAAGAAGAGTATGTTATCTTTAACTTTCATGTTTACTCAAAACCCTGCAAAAAATTTATAAAATTCCTTTTTTTGCACCTACATTTTGTAATTCACTGCAAAATTATGATATTTTTTAATTTTCTATTGTTGATTTTTTGTTTTAGTGATGATGTGATTGTTCAACATATGGACATCAGGGAACCTTTATCAACACTAAAAGAACTATTAGAGCAACGATTAGCTGTAGACCTATCAGATTATGAATTTTGGCTTCAGGATTCTCAAGAGGTAAATGCCCCTTTTCCTTTTTTTTAAATATCAAAAGACCTGTTATAATTTTGGCTCACACCTTTTTGTTGTCACTTTTCTAGCTGGAGAGTCATAAGAACTTAGTTGACCAATGTGTCCAGGGTGAAGGTTTAGTTCAAGTTAACGTTCGGCTAAAGTCTGATGGGAAGGTTAACAAAATTAATATTGAAGATGTCTTGAAGCCAGCAGAAGATGGTGAAGTAGAGGAAACTGAAGAAAGCCAGGGTAGGATCTTTGTCATAATTTTAAAAACACCATATTTAAAAAAAAAATTCTCATTTTGATTTAAAAAATTCTGACTCTTTTCTAGAATCCCCTCGCATTCCATCTCCAACAAGTCCACCATCCGCAAATCCTGTACGGTGGATTGTTGATGCCAAATTTAAAAAAGAGATGGAAAAGCTTAACATACCACCAGGTATGATTCTGCATTTCAATGCAGTACAGACAATATAAATTGGGTGTGAATGTTCGAGATGTTTTATAGTTTTGATTTTGATTTTCTAGATCCAAATGATTGGTCTGCAGCTCAAGTTCTTCACTGGCTGCAATGGGCGGTCAGACATTTCAGTCTTGTAGGAATTCAATTAAAAGATTGGGCCATAACTGGCGAAGAGCTATGTAACCTTACTATGGCACAGTTCCAATCTAAAGTACCCCTTGATCCTGGAGACTTATTTTGGACTCATTTAGAGCTTCTTCGGAAATGCAAATTTGTGGGTAAGTGACCTTAAAAATTATTCTACCCCAATTTTTTTTTATATTGTGTTGTACTAAGTTAATTATATTGTTAAACTTTCTTTCCTTCTCAGCTGTTGTCCACTCGAAACCGCACAGGGAACCAAAGGAAAAGTCTCACCCTCTAGCTAGCCAAAGTCAGACTTATACATTTTCCAAAAAAACGAAAACTCCAAGGGAAAGTCAAGGAAAACTGCATGGCAAGCCTCGATCTGCTCGGGCTGCTGGTTTGCCTCTAGGTTCAATGGATGCAACCACTATTGGGTGTAACAATCGCTCTGGTAAGTAAGCTATGTTGTGGCCACTTGGTATTTTCTCCTTAACCATGGTTACTTGTCATAATGAAAAAGTTTTCCTCTTCAGGGTATAATGGCCAAATTCAGTTATGGCAATTTTTACTTGAATTATTAACTGACAAAGAACACAGAGATGTGATTCAATGGCTTGGAGATGATGGGGAGTTTAAGCTGATAAATCCAGAGGTGGTTGCTCAGCTGTGGGGTGAGAGGAAAAATAAACCTACGATGAACTATGAGAAGTTGAGTCGCGCACTCAGGTATTATTATGATGGAGATATGATTTCAAAGGTATGTAATACCTCAGAATATTTGTTATAAACAAAGTTTCTTACACAGGTCCTAAATTTCATACTGATTTTTCGTTTTAATTCCAGGTGGCAGGAAAAAGATTTGTATATAAGTTTGTTTGTGATTTGAAACAACTATTGGGGTACAGTGCAAGTGAATTAAATGCTTTGGTTGAAGAATGTGAAAGAAAAGCCATGGGTTTCAACCCTCGGTACAATTTATCACCAATGCATATTTAAATTTTTACCATTAGAATAGTCATGTCACTGACATGATGTCCATATGTTACCTGAAGTTTCTACTTGTTTTTGATTTTCAGTACCAGTCCCTCTTTTGTAAAGTTCCTTGTGTTTTTGGAAATGTTGCATAGCATGTCTGTTCTTTTGGATTATCTCAAAGAACATTTACTACAAGTGTTTTGGTCAAATATGTTTTAAAGCAGAAATTGTTTAAGTTGCATTTTCCTTTTTAATAAATGTTTGTAATTTTTATTTTAATGTTTGCTATATCATGTGCAATAAAAAGAGTCAACTTAGCCATTATATTTTTTTTCTTTCTTTCTTTAACACTAGAACCGCTGACTTTTTCGTATACCTAGAACCGCGGAAGGGGTCATTTTGACCCCCCATTTTTTCTGCCCGTATTTTTCTTATTTTGCTCATGTTATGGGCCCTTAACGATGTAAAATGATGTATCTGAGATCAACAATGATATTTTGAATTATGTAGGGCCTTAAAAGGCCAAAGGTAGGCAACCCGCATGGCACGAATAACCTGTTTTGCTCCTTTTCTACCATTTTTGGCCCGTCCCTTCTATTTTTTTTGTTAAAAAAATGACGGAGGGACGGAGTATGATCCATGCTGTGTGTCCGTCCGTTCGTTCGTCCGTCTGAGGACTTCCCGTGGTCCGATCTTGACCAAATTTGATATGCAGCCTACTTGGGTGACCCTTAAGAACCGCCCGCTGGCAGCAAATTCGATCCGAGCCCCGGGGGCGCTGCTGCAGGTGCATCATGGTCTACCTTAGGTCGAGGAGGATTTCGGTAACGGATACAGCTAGAAGAGCATGCAGGGAAATTTTTGGAATCGGGGCGACGAGACAAAACCAACGGTAGCCAGTTTCAAGCGAATCGGAGAGGTTTGAACCCGGGTTCAAATCCCAGTAGGGTACATTTAGAACATTCTTTTTATTTGAGTTTTTGCATTGTTGTTGATGTGTATGAGGGTGCTGATCTAATTTATGCTGATCTAAAAACATCTATTTTGACCCCAGACTCAGGTTCAAGTCCCGTCCGGATTAAAAATAGGCGAAATTAATACATTCCTCAATGTACGGGGCGGGCCAAAGTTGCCGATGTATATGGCAACTTTTCCTGTTATTCAGTGTGGGGATGGGTACTAAGTGACGTAGATTTTTTACCAGATGATACCTTGACACTTGAAACGTATCTAAAACTATTAGACACATAAAGGTGTCACCGTGCTTTTACTGCTGAGTCCAGAAACCAAGCGGTATCCTAACAATAATACAATAATATTAGGGTGGTGGCTGCCGGGCGGGATCGTGAGTGTCGCATGGCAGGCAGTCTGCTCGAAACATCGACAATACCTCGCGGGTACAGCGCGAGCGGCACCGGCCAACAATCCCCTGTCCCCGCGTACAGTGCGCATAGAACAGCAATAATGTCTCACGGCTCGTCCGGTGCAAGCCACAGCTCGGCTCGCACCGACATTGGCCAGCTCGCTTAGGTCCATGTATATTATTGGGCTATCTATTTATCTCATACACAGTTATAAAAAAGCCCGAACTACTACCTCGAAGAAAACCAAACGAGTATCATCTACTTTCCTTAACGCTCGTTGAATGAGATTTTTTTTTATTCTACAGACAGATACCTTACGCGGAACACACGCATCTTGCATACATTTAGGCGTTTGCTCGGCGGGTCGCCTACGCCGTTGGCCAAGTTAGGTCTCCCAGGGCAGTCCATAGCACTCCCAAATGATTCACCACTAAAATTGACGCTTGTGACGCTTTTTTATTGCCAAAATTCGAACTTCCTGAGTGCAAACAATACAGGGGTCAAAATGACCCCTGCCGCGGTTCTAGGTATATTGTTGTCCTACGCCTACAAAAATGGTCCGACAGCGCCGAAATTTCACTCAAATGTTCTTTTCTGGTATTTATAAAAAGTCGAAAAGCCCCAAATCCTTGAAGAAAAAAATAAGTCAGAAAAATTTATGACGAAAATTAAAAGGGGTCAAATTGACCCCTTCCGCGGTTCTAGTGTTAAATTCTGCCCATGTTCCTAAGTCTCAACTAACTATCATCTTTGATTCTTTATTTTGATGCGCATTCGGAGAGCTGAAGCTGTAGTTACTTCCTGATTCTATCTATCCTGGGGGCCACAGCCTCAGGGTGGCTGTCGCAGGGCACACCCTCCTCCGCTCCGCGCCACACCAGTCTGAGCTAGTTCGTTCCATGATCGTTTCCATGGTTGCCGCCAGCGTGACAGCCAGCTATTTGCATCCGGTGACAAGAAAATTTCTTGTATGAACGTTGCCTCGCCGTGCTGCGAACGTCAGGGTGCGCCCCGGCCGAAGCCTTGGCCCCGGGGCTTCAAATTCGCCGCCAACGCGCGAAACGGGCGAGGCCCGACACTCGAAACACAGACACGCGCAGGGTGACAACGAACGCCGTGTGCCCAGCTTGCGAGGCGAAATCGACAGCGGATTCCGCCAATAGAGCACGGCACGCCCCTTGAGCGCGCGGACCATTCCGATACAGTAATCACGCAGCCTGCTGGCATGGAGACACACTAGTGTGTCAGACTAGAGACAGACTAGTGTGTCTCCATGCTGCTGGCCTGCCTCGCGTCGCGCGTCCAGAACGGTACGAGTTCTCGGAAGGCGGTAGCATCGCGGCGCGGCAGTACCTTGCCGGGCAAAGGATGCCCGTTTCGCTCCGCTCGTCGGCGCGACAGAAACGGCGCCAACGGGGCGCGTCTCGGTGCTCGGGGAGGCTCGGGCCCCGCGGCCCCGCAGAGACATTCAAATGAGACACAAGCAGCGCTCGACAAACAGACTGCGCCCCTCCCCCTCTCGGATTCCCGCAGAATGTGGTCCGCGCCGCGCGGTGAGCGCCTCTAAGAGCAGTGACAGTAAACGAAGCCACTGGACCGGTTCGCGTGCCGACCGCGCAATGCTTTCTTTCATTTACCTGCGTGGACGCGGCGGCGCGGTGCCGGCGCGGCGGCACGCCGGCCCCTAGCGAGTTCCAGATAGAAAGTGCGTTCGGCTGTGTCACCGGGTACGTGGCGGATGGCGTCACCGCGACCAGCGAGCATTGGGACGATCGGCGGGAGCGCCCGACGTCTTAAGATAGGCAACCCGCCGCGCTCCCGTGTGTCGAACCGGGCCGGTTGCCTACGCGGCAGGCAGTGGAGCGCCCGACGTCTTGAGATAGGCAACCCGCCGCGCTCCCGTGTGTCGAACCGGGCCGGTTGCCTACGCGGCAGGCGGCCTGCAGTGGAGCGCCCGACGTCTTGAGATAGGCAACCCGCCGCGCTCCCAGGCCCACAGCGCCGAGGAAGGGGAACGGGCGGGGAAATCCGACGCAAATTTCGAGTCGGCTGCGGAACGCGGAACGATCAATATAATTACCGGACTGTGTCGGGGCGCCGCGAGGCGGTGCGGGGCGCTGTCGGGCACGCCTAGCCACTGACATGCTGACACCGTGAAGGGCGGCGAGGGGAGGGGGGAGGAAGGGCGGGGCCGCGCTTTAACCTTCAAGTGCACTCACTGTGTGTGTGAGCGAGTGAAGGATTGTGCTATAAATTTCGAAATGAGGACACCCTCGTAAAATCCTGCTGCCGAAGCCCGAAACGGATCGAGTTGCCGCCCTAGGTGCCCTAGGCCCAGCTGGGCTGTCTGCGCCGTGCCTTCTCTGCGGCTCCACACCGCTCCCCCACACCCCGTCGCCGGGGCACCCAGGCCGCCCTGGCCGTGTCCGCTCGGCGGGCACACGGCGTGAGAACCAGCTTGGTGTCCGAAAAAAGTCGCCCACGCGAAATAATTGAAGGACGCGCGAATGCGAATGCATCGGGTCCACATAACATACGCCTTTTCGATGACAATGACGGGGTGGGCCAAGCGTGGCGAGCGGCCCGCCCGTCCGTCGCATCTGTCGGCCCGGTCGGGCGGGGCGGCCTCTCCTCTCCGCAGGGCGGCCAACCTCAGCCAACCTGCCTGCCGCGGGGCCGCTGGCGCGGCGTGCGGCGGCGTGGGCTGGCTTGGGTTGGCAGCGCTGCAGGTGAGCGCTCGGGAGGGACCCGCGGACGGGATGCTCGACAGGGACGTCCCTCGCCTCAGAACCGCGCTCGCCGTGCTCCGCCGTGCACCGCCGCGTCCAAGTCCGTCGCCGCCGTCGCCGCGCAGCCGGGGCGCGCGTCTACGCAGTCGCGAGCCGCGGGGCGTGCCACCAGTGTCACGGAGGGGGCGTTGGCGTTGTCCGGGCCGAGGAGGACCATTTCCTAAGGTAAACACCGAGGGTGGCGCCGGGACGCCGCCAGCTTCCTGCTGCTGCTGCAGTGCTGCGGGTGCTCAAGTAGTGCGTCGCCTTGTCGCGCTCCGCGGCGGCCCAGCATGACCGGCACACTGGCACACCGGGGCTGGGCCGTTCTCGGAATTAAATTTAGCGGAGCAGCGTTCCCATGGCTGGGCCTTCAGCCGCCCTCAGCGCCAGCGCATTGTGCAGAGTCAAGCTTTATCCGCTATTCCTTTCGCCGGCGACGGCCGAGGGTAATATCCAGTAGTGCCACACAGGTGGCTGGAGGGGGAAAAGACCACACCCGCAGTGCGCTTGCGCTGATCGGTGAGAATTGGTTTGGCCGAAGAGACACCGCATTCAGAGACTCCTTCCCTTCCGCGGCTTTCGCAGTTTCTGCTCTGTTGCTTTTCGTTTTTTTGGACGATTTAGAATAGTGCTCATGGTGCCGCAAAATAACACACCTATCGCAGTCCGAAACGGTAAAAAATGGCGCGAAAAAGAAACAAGGGGGCTTCATTTGTGTGGGGCCAGCCCGTGGCGCTGCCTGCGGGCTGCGGGCCTCGCGGAAGTGGACTTCTCAGATGAAAGCTCCAGCGCGGCGGCCGCACCGCCGCACCGCCGCACCGGCACATCGCCGTGCCTTGAGTTGCCGTGCCGCGCTGCCTCCCGGCCCGGGCCCTCCCCCTTGAGATCTCTGACCCCAGATTTGGCGTTGATGTGATCTGGAATTTTCTCCCGGTCCCGCAGCGCTGCGTGGCCCGGCGTGGCGTGGCGGGCCGCGGCGGCGGCGCCATGGTCGTGCGCACGATGCCGGCCCCCGAAACTTTAAACACAGCCGCGGACCGAGGCGCATCCCGCCGTGCCACACGCAGAGAAAGGACGGAAACGCTTTTGCTTTTAGCAGGATGCGTACATTTCGCTAACGGTTGTCCATCCACCCATCCACCCATCCATCCAGGCCGCGGAAGTGAGACGGCTGCGTGACTGAGGTCGGAAAAGGCTCCTCCACATTCCTGGCGGCAGTGTGTGCGGCGTGGCGGCGTGCGCGGCCCCGGCCCGCCCCGGCCGCATGACGATGACACGGTCATGATCACGATGACATCCGCCCGGCCGTGCTCGTTCACCCGTTCCGTTCCGAGTCGCGAGGGAGTCCCGCGGGACCACGCCACGCCAGGCCACGCGCCCTCGCCCTCGCGTGCAGCGCGGAGCTCTTGCCTTGCCGATCGCGGATATCGAAACGAAACGCGTCGCCCCGTCTCTCTCGCACTCATGAGGCGTGCCGCGAGGGTGGGAGAGAGACGGAAAGACTCCTCGCGGACTCGGTCTGCAGGCCAGCAGGCAGGCCAGCAGGCCGCCGCGGTATCGAAATCACTTTGCGATTAATCCCGCAGCGGGGCGCGGAGCGGGCGCAGTCGGCGCCGACCGCAAACACCATTACAGCGTAGGGGGCGCGCGTGGCCAATTTTAACTGTATCCAACATCTCGCGCAAAGGGGGCTGAGAGTACGAAACAAAGTCAAACTTGACAGGAAAGTAAGACGGATCGGCGAGTTGTGGCGAGGGCTGCCCCGAGGCTTGACTTGCATTCGGTTGACAGTGTTGGTTTTGCGGTTGGCACCGGTCTGCGGCACAACGCGGCGCGGCGAGCGGTGGCGAGCGGTGGCGAGCGGTAAGCGGCATTCAGGGAGGCTAGACCAGTGGTTCTCAACCTTAGGGTCGCGACCCCAAGTGGGGTCGCGAAAAAATTTTAAGGGGTCGCGGCGAGGTAGCTGGGGTCGTGTTTTGGGCCGATTTTAAGCAGCCACTGCGTCTGATCCGAGGCGGGCATTTTGCTCCCTCAACGGGCAATTGGTCTTTGGACCTTCCTTTAGCATGCCTCTGTTACGGAGTGCGATTATCAGTCTTAGTTTGGGAGCAGTATTGTCTCAAAGTTGGCCAAAACGCTCAGAAATGTCTTTAAAAAATCATGTTTTGGGTCGATTTTAAGCAGCCACTGCGTCTGATCCGAGGCGGGCATTTTGCTCCCTCAACGGGCAAGTGGTCTTTGGACCTTCTTTTAGCATGCCTTTGTTACGGAGTGCGATTATCAGTCTTAGTTTGGGAGCAGTATTGTCTCAAAGTTGGCCAAAACGCTCAGAAATGTCTTTAAAAAATCATGTTTTGGGTCGATTTTAAGCAGCCACTGCGTCTGATCCGAGGCGGGCATTTTGCTCCCTCAACGGGCAAGTGGTCTTTGGACCTTCTTTTAGCATGCCTTTGTTACGGAGTGTGATTATCAGTCTTAGTTTGGGAGCAGTATTGTCTCAAAGTTGGCCGAAACGCTCAGAAATGTCTTTGAAAAATCGTTGTGCCTGTTTTGGTCAACTTTGAGACAATACTGCTCCCAAACTAAGACTGATAATCGCACTCCGTAACAGAGGCATGCTAAAGGAAGGTCCAAAGACCAATTGCCTGTTGAGGGAGCAAAATGCCCGCCTTGGATCAGACGCAGTGGCTGCTTAAAATCGACCCAAAACATGATTTTTTAAAGACATTTCTGAGCGTTTTGGCCAACTTTGAGACAATACTGCTCCCAAACTAAGACTGATAATCGCATTCCGTAACAGAGGCATGCTAAAGGAAGGTCCAAGGAACAATTGCATGTTGAGGGAGCAAAATGCCCGCCTTGGATCAGACGCAGTGGCTGCTTAAAATCGACCCAAAACATGATTTTTTAAAGACATTTCTGAGCGTTTTGGCCAACTTTGAGACAATACTGCTCCCAAACTAAGACTGATAATCGCACTCCGTAACAGAGGCATGCTAAAGGAAGGTCCAAAGACCAATTGCCCGTTGAGGGAGCAAAATGCCCGCCTCGGATCAGACGCAGTTGCATGCTAAAGGAGGGGTCCCGTGGGGTCGCGAAACTTTTCCTGGGGGTCGCGGAAATTTTTGGCTACAAATTTGGGGTCGCGAGCCGAGAAAGGTTGAGAACCGCTGGGCTAGACAGCTTGCGAGCGGGGGAACGGAATCAATCAGGGGAAAAAAGCGTTCTTCATTTAAAAATTAAATACGACAAATTTTTAAAATCAGGTGATCGTTTCCCGGAATTTCCGGCGAATTTGTGGCGATGTTAATGATTGCTGTGTGGGTCAGTAATGAAGACGCAGGGCAGGCGGCGGTAGGGAAGATCGAGGTATCGAACAGGGGTATCGAGATGTGGCGCGGCGATAGCGATGCGCTGAGGCTGCTCGCTGCCCGCCCGCCCGGACTGGCGGCAGTACATTCGCTGGGGGGGGGTGGGGGGGGGCACTCCCCGGCACTCCGCGGCGGCAGGGAATGCATCCAGGGAGTGCACAGTGCACTCGCAACAAAATCAATCAACGAGCAGCACCCGCACGTCCACCGTAAAGACCGGAGCAACATTTGCCGAACCATTGCCAAACGCCCACGCACGTAACGCGAGCTGCGGTGAGGCGAACGGCGAGGGCAGCAGGGTCAAGCCAGGCCTTGCAATGCCTCCGTGTGTAGTCCGTGCTCGATGAACGGATCGATTGCACTCAGAGAAAGCAGATCATGCGCGGCCTGCCTACTGTGTCTGTGTCTGCCTGTCCGTCCGTCTGGCCGTGGCTGTGTGTGTGTGTGCGCCTGTGTGCGTGCGTGTGTTGGCGTTTGTTACTGTAATGATGATAATCAGGCGGGTTGCGTCTGGCGGCCTAGCAGTGGAGTGACAAGCTGCACTTTGCTTGTTGTTGCAGCGCGGCGCGGCGCTGCGAAGGAAAGTGAGTGCACCGTGATGAGAACGGCCATCTCGAAGCGAGGCGAGGCGCCCGGCCTGGCTCGGCCTAGCCGTGGCGTAGCCGTAGGCCTGCCCGGCCCTACAGTGTTATACCCCGGCGAAAGAAAGAAGAAGCAGAAAGAAAAGGAAAGATGGAAAAAAGTGGTGCGGCTGTGTGATGATAACTCGTCTTAGGATCTACTCTGGGATGTGGAGCAAACGAACTGCATCGGCAAAAGCGCGCGGAAACGAACCGACCGCGAGCACTGTGGGTTCCCGCAGTCTCCCGATGCGTTAAAGTCTCCACCGGGAGGAAAAGCCGGTCCAGGAAAAGGGTGTCGGCTCAGTAATGGCGGGATGCATGCTGACTGTCTCTCCCGCACTCATGGGGGTGCCGTCGAGGGGTGAGAGAGAGACAACACTGTGCCGGGCGGGCGGGACGAAGACAGAGAACTAAAGCCCCGCGTTGCCTTGTTGACAGGGACCACCTGGCTGCGTGTGACGCGGTGTGACGCGATGGTGTGACGGCGTGGCGCCGTGACGAGGCGTGACGAGGCGTGACGAGGCGTGACGGAGCGTGACGACCGCCGCAAACACCGCCGCAACACACCGCCGCCGCCAGGATGCGCATCCTCAGGAACCGGCGCGAGTGGGTAAGTATTGTTGCTGCCATCGGCCGGCCCAGCCGTCCTTTCGACCCTTTCGCCTGTCTGTGGCTTTTCGCTTTTCGCGTTTCGGCGAAAGTGGCGCGTCCGCGGCTAGTTTTGCTAAAACTGATTGTTGTCCGGGAAAAGAAAAGCCGGTCGCTTTCGTGTTGCGACGGCTTGCCCGAGGGCCGTCCTCACCCGTGTAGTGCCGACACCCGCCGACGGGGTCCGGAGGGATCGCGCCCATCGCCAATCGAGCGGCAAATTTGCCGTTTTCCGCCTCCTCACGGCGCCTGATTGGCGCCCTTCGAGACCCGGGCCAGGACCAGGGCCAGGACCAGGGCGTCGAGAACGAAGAACAACGGTGCGGCGCGGTCCCGTTGCAGCGCGTAGCGCGTTGCAGTCGCGGGGGCAGGTGGACTTAATTTTTTTTCGCAGGTGACTTTGAGTTATTCCTGAGGCTGATCCCTGTCGGCCCTGGCCCTGATGTGTGCGCAGGCGCAGTACTCCACCAGCAGCACGAGCTGCAGCTCCAGCAGCCACAGCTGCGAGAGTCCGACGGAGCCCGCCTTCAGGCACGTCGGTCGCCACGCCACGGGCTTCCACGTCTGGAGGGTGGAGGTGAGTTTGGCCGACCGCGGCGCCCACGAGCGCACACCACAAACAAAACACTCACACACACACTCTCGAAGGGCCGACGGACGGGCACAAGCGTGGGAGGCGGACCCGCGCCAAAAAATAAAAGAGTCCAATTGACTTTGTGTAAGTGGCGTGCTTTGAGCTTTGCACGTGCCCCGCCGTCTGTTTGCGCACGCGTCCCACGTGGGAGGTTGGTCACGACACTGTACCTGAATGGCCACGACCAGGACGCCCAGCAGTGCCAGCAGGCCCATTCCGAATCGTCGCTCTGTCTCCCTCGCACTCACGGCGCGTCCCGCGGGGGTGCGACAGAGACAGAGCGATAGGGCGAGGGCGGCGCCGGGCGTGGGCGGAGGGTGGCAGTGGCGGTGGCGCATGGGTGCGGACCAGGAAGCCAGCAAGCCGACCGCCCTGACAGGTGCCCGCCGAAAGGCCCAGCCCTGCCCTGCCCGACTGTCAGTCCCGGCCCCAATTAGAAAAGGGGGCTGGCGACGGGGCTGGGAGTGCGGTGCCGCGGCGCGCTCGAAGTATGGCCTGGCGCTCCGCGCTTATTAGCGGCAGAGCGGCCCGGCAGGCCGCGCAGGCCCCGCAGTCCCAGCGCCAAGACACACGCGGCGGCCCGGGACATTTCGCAAGCCGCTTAAAAGCCTCGTTACCTGCGCGAGCGCTGGGCTGCCTGGCCGGCCCACTCGCTTCCTCATGGCTCGGGGCGACACAAGCCAACTATTACTATTCAGGCGAGGGAGAGGTTCGGAGGCTCGGCACGACCACCATGTGCAGCACGGCGACCTTGGTGTGCATGGAGCGCCGCCCCGCCCCGCCTGCACCGGCGGCGACCTCGGCACAATGGGCCCTGCAAAGGGTTCGGCGCTGCGACCCGTGACGCGCGCTGTGCCGCGCTGTGCCGCGCTGTGCGCCGCCGGGGCGGGGACGACGCGGGGACGACGAGAACGAGGACGCCACCCAGCTCACATCGGCGAGCGGCGAGGCCCGCGTTTAGAAAGGAGGAAGGAAGCTGGCGGAAAGGGAAAACACCCTGAACCGCGCGGGGGCAGCCCGCTGCAGCCCGCCCCAGCCTCCGCCAATTTCGTCCATCTCGAAAACTGGAGGGCCTGGCAGCTCCTTCCTGGCCGCGCGGTGCGGGCGGTGCGGGCGGTGCGCCGTTCCCAGACGTGGGAGGCTTTCTGCCACCGTCGGCCACCGTCGTCGGAGGAGCGGCTAGGCCGGCCTGGGCCGGGCCGGGCCACCACGGCGACGCCGGGGCGCTTGGCGCTTGCGCTTCCGTCGTGCCGCGCGGCCAGTGAAAGTGATGGATTTGACGGCGATAGCAGATAATCCAAATGGCCGCGGAAGCCCGGCAGGCCCGGCAGGCCTGAATGCCTGGCGCCGCGAGCCTGCCGCCCTGACTGCCGCCCTGCCGCCGGCTCCAGATCTGGACGACAGGTGCGCTTGGGAGGCCCCACCGCGCGGCCGCTCTGCGCCGCTCTGGCATCGGGCGGGTAGTAGCTCGGGCTTCTGGATGGGCCTCCAGATCTGGCAGGCTTCATGAAGTCGCAGTCTAGGGCTGCAGTCGCCTCCAACCGCGCGGTTCCCAAGAGTCGCCCCTTCGCGCTGAGTCTCGCTCGCGCCCCTCCGGGCACCCTCGTGAGTGCGACAGAGACAGCGACGCCGCGACTCCTCGGATCCACTCCGCGGCTGCTGGAGGCTCCAGGCTCCAGCGGCCCCGCCTGCACTGTAGGTAGGCTGCGCCACCGCAAGGAAGGCGATGCAAATGGTGCGACTCCTGCAGCGCCGCCGCTTTAATTGCAGGACGAGCCGACGACAGCCCGCCTGCCTGCCTGCCTGCCTGGGATGGAATGGTAACGGATTGCTGCCTGATTGTTGCGTCGCCAGGGGCTGCCAGGGCCTGCAGTGGGAGAGAGACGGGCGGCCTGATGGCACCAACTTGCCGCGCCAAAATGAGGGAGACGCCACGCCAACGTTGCCGCGCGCTTCCGCACGACTTTTCATCAGCTTTTTCCTTTTTCCACCCGGCCTAATTGAAGCAGGGCAAAACGCGCCGCGCGTCGCCGCTACACTGCACAGAATGGAATCCCTCCCCGCCCCTCTCTTCCCCTTTTGCGGTGACCGCGTCTGTCACATTTCTGAGCCGCGCGGCCGGCCGGGCGGGGGCGGGGCGCGGTTCGAGTCCTGCCGGGGCGGCGGGGGCCCCGCGGTGAATGCCGCGCCGAGCCGTGACCGGAACTGGGACGAATGATGCACAACGACACCGGAAGCGGAGCTTGGCGCTTGGCGTCCACACCAGTCCACACCAAACATCAACAACAATAACGTTGTCTCCGTTGTTGTAAAAAAAAACACAACGACAACGCTGCGCCCGGTCATGCAGGCACCCTCCCTGGGCCAGCTTGACTAGCCAGCCACTGGCTCCACGCGTCGGCCGTCGGGATGGAGGCTGCACTGCTTGTCTTTGGAGGAAGCAGCGAGCTCCATAATTAGTGGACGGCTTGGCCGCGGGCCGCGGTTCCCAGAGCGAGGAGACTTTCCCCGCGGTGGCCGACGCGGACGCAGAACGCAGCCAGACGCACCCACAGAGCACAGAGGGGTGGAGCATCGGACACACAACTCTGGGCGTCACTGCACTGTGTTACACTGTGTTACGCGTTGCTGGAAAGTGCAAGTGCGAGACGGGCCGGCACATTGGGCTGGCAGACGGGCCGTGGCGGACGCCCCGCCCCGCCCGAGATCGTTCAGTGCCAACAAACACACTCACACACACTACTGCACTCCACGAACGGTATGAATGTAATAACGAAACGGTTCTCTCTGTTTGCCTTTGCAGCATCTGCAGGTGGTGACCGTCCCCCGCGACCAGTGGGGCACGTTCTACGACGCCGACTCCTACCTCGTGTTCGCCTCCGCCGAGCGCGATCTGCCGGCCGGACCCAACACCAGGGTGAGTGAGAGCCGCCCCCTACAGTGTGGGGCCTCACAGTGGACCCAGGACCGGTGGAGGCGGCCGAAACTCTAGTCGCATTTTGAGCTCCAGAGTCGCTAAATGGGACTCGAACCGAACGTGTGACCCCACCAACGGATTACTCTCCGAACGAGCAATCCATTGGCGGGGTCACACGTTAAGTTCGAGTCCCATTTAGCAACTCTGGAGCTCAAAATGCGACTAGAGTTTCGGCCGCCTCCACCGGTGTTCTGGCCACTGTGGGCCTTCCCTTCCCTCGTGACTCGGGCACTGCAACTGCGGCTCCAGAGCGCCAAGGCAGGCCAAGGCTGGTCCGACTCCGTGGGGCTGATTGGGGCAGCAGGTCGCCAAGGCGTGCACTGCTCCCGTCGCGCCGTCTCTCTCGCACGCGTGGGGCGTCCCGGCAGGGCGCGAGGGAGACGGCGACGAAAGCAGTGCCCGGAATGAGCCCGGCGTCGGCGCTGCACCGCTGCAGGGAGTGCAGGGCTCGGTGCAGGGCACCGCGATGCCCGCCGAATAGCGCAACAATAAGTAACGGGCCGCCGTGCCGCCGTGCCCTCACTCAAGCAGTTCCATATGAATCACTCGCAGACAATGGTTGACTGCGTCCCCCGCCCCCGCCCCCGCCCCCTCGTCCGACTCATCATCATGCCCGCCAATCGCACTCGAGCAGAAACAAAGGCAGCCCGGCCCGTCCAGCCCGTCCAGCGCGTCCAGCCCGCCGTATTAGGCGCCAGGCGGCGGCCCGAACCTGGAGCCTGGCCGCGCTAGCCTAGCCGCGCCTGGCCGTACTGCAGTCCATGGGGTGGCGCCTGGCGGCGGCGGCTAGGCAGGCAGCGCGCAGACGGCCTCGGCGGGACTGCCTACGCGCTCCTCGCACGGCGCTCGAGCCTCGAGCACCGAGGACTTCACCCTTGGATGACCCGACCCGAGGCGTCGTCGTTTTGAAACATTGACAGCCTCTTCTTCCTGAATGACCGAACAGCCGCGCCGCTTCTGGCAGTGTGTCCGTCTGTCCCCCGCCTCTCTGGAAGCCCTGAAATCGACAGCGGCCGGCAGCGCGGTGGCGCGGTCGCGTCACCGGGCCGGGCGCCGCGCTGTGCTGTGGACCGGAACACGCGGTGACCCTGGGACGTCCCTGGGCCCAGGCCTGTGCCCCGTCCACCACGGCCGTTCGGACTGTGCCGGGCACATCGCGGTGCCGCCCCGGCCCGCCCCGGCCCGCCCAGATCCGCGCGCGAAGACGGAAGGACGGTGTCACGCGAGCACTCACCGACTCCACCAACGTCGCTATCAAGGAAGAACGAGCAAGCTGGCGGGGGGTATCGCCGGGGGCGTTGGTCGCCGGTTGCGGCAGAGCGAGCCGCGCGGGGTATCGCCGCGCCGCGTCCTGTTTCGCGCTGCATTGCGCTGCACTGCGCTGCAGGCCCGCGGCGAGCAGGACAGAACAGAGAAAGGATGCGCTAACGACATCGCACGACGGCGCGCTGCAGTTACTGCACTGCAGTCGTTGCAGCGCGCCGCGCCTCAACTCTGACCTATGCAGCCGCCCGCGCGCAGCGCGCAGCCCAACCAAGCCCTTCCCTCGGCCGGGCCCTCTGGAGACACACACACACTCACTCACTCACACACGCGCGCGCGGCGTCGCCCGGGGCCTTTCAAGCCGCTAAGGGCACCGGGGCGCCGCGAAGCTCGCCGAGCCACGCCGTCGTGTCGTGACGCCGCCGCCTACACGGGCCTGACCTACCTCAACCTGTTGACGAGGGGCGGGGCGGGGCGGGGTGATAAGTGAAGGGCGTAGTGCGGGGGCGTGGCCTGGCGTGGCCGCGGAGCGCGCAGAGTGGCGCTGCGGGCGTCTGCTCGAAAAGCACGGCGTGGCAACAAAATTGCAGAGGGAGTCGCGGTGTCGGCGTGTCGGCCCACTTTAAGGTGGGCGGAACAGGCAATAACGACCCGAACGAGACGAGACGCGTCGCGTCGCCGCGGAGGAAGGCGAGTGGTTGCTGTTTGCGTGCCGCCGTGCTGGCGGTGCTGGCGGTGACGGTGATGAGGGTGGCGGAGGCACGCATTGACGGCGACCTCCTCGCCGAGGCAAGGAGACGACGGGGAGGTGGTGGCGTTACGCGACGGCGGAGGCGTCGGAAGGGACGTTACAAATGGCTCGGCCGTCTTCCCCGACGCTGGTGCGCTGGTGCGCTCACGCGGCGAGGCCCGGCCAAGCGCTGCCGCCACCACCGCCACCACCGCCTGAGTAAAACGGCGGAAGGGAAAAAGTCGAGCCGAACGGCGAACCGCTGACGATCCCGCGGTGGAGGCTGAAGACGCCCCGCCGCGCCGCGACGCCGTGACGCCGTATCTGCCGCCACGCCGCGCTGGAGTTACGTCGTTCCAGCGGCTCCACCGAACCTCCAGGCCGCGCCGTCCAGTGGCCTGCTTATTCGAGCCGCTTATTACCACCTGGAAGCCCGAAGCCCGCAAAGGCGTCGCGTCGCGTCTCGACTGAAGCACGCTCGATGGAGAGCGTCCCGGAACAACGTCCTTGCTGCCTGGAACGATGCTGGAGCTGGAACGACCCGGCCGAGGCGCCCTGCTGGGGCAAGCCATGGGCAAGCAACCAAGGAGCAAGGGGCACTACGCAGCACTACGCAGCGTTCGGCAGGAGTCATTAAACCCCGGGTCGGGCCCTTTGAGTGCGCGGACGGGGGGCTGGAAAAAACGCTCAAAGAACGGGGACGGCGCGGCTGAGAACCTGAGAACGGGGAAAATCATTACCCCTTTCCCTTGCCCGGCCTGCAGCTGGAGGCTGAAGCCGTGTTGAAGCTGCCCTGTCGCTGACTCTGGTTGACACTACAGGTGCGGGAGGTCCGCAGCGCGCCGCTGGAGCAGCACATCCACGTGTGGGTGGGCGGCGCGGCGGGCCCCGACGAGAGCGGCGCGGCCGCCTACAAGGCCAGCGAGCTGGACGAGTCGCTGGGCGGGCGCAGCGTGCTGCGCAGGGAGCTGCAGGGCCACGAGTCCACGCGCTTCCTGGGCTACTTCAAGCACACCGGCATCAGGTAAGGCCGTGCCGGGGAGGAGTAGCGGTCGAGTTGACCGAATTTCCAGACTGATTGTTTGCTTTGCTTGGCAGGGTGCTGAAGGGCAGCGTGAGCGTGGGGGCGGTCCCGGGGGCGGTGGTGGGCCCCGGGGCCGGCGCCCGCCTCTTCCGGGTGTCCGGGCGGCCGGGCCGCCGCTGCCCTGTGGTGACGGAGCTGGCCAGCGTGGCCTGGCGCCACTTCTCCTCCGGCGGCGTCTTCCTCGTGGCCACGCCGCACGCCCTCGTCCTGTGGATGGGCCGCTACGCCGGCGCGGGCGAGCGCCTGCAGGCCGCCCGGGTGGCGTCCGCCATGCGCGACGAGCTCAGCTCGCGCGTGCTCATCCTGGTCGAGGAGGGTCGCGAGGTCAGTGCGCCAAGCCGGCCAGTTAGCCGAGCTAACCGCCATCGTTTCATCGCACTGTCTCTGAGGCGTTCCGGAGGGACGCGACAGGGACAGGACGACGAAACGATCCAGCCTCGGGACGCGAACCAGCGCTACATCAGGTGGCTTGCCTCGCTTGCCTCAGGTCCTGCTGCCGCCGGACAAGTTCGCGCTGCTGGCCGAGGCGCTGGACCCGCGACGCGCCGCCCTGGAGGTGCACCACGCGGCGCCGCCCTCGCACGGCGCGCACGGCCTCGACGCCACGGACCTGCAGCGCGCCGCGGACCGGCCCAGGATCACGCTGTACCACTGCGCCGACAAGGACGACACCTGCATGGTGACCGAGGTGAAGAGCGGCCCGCTGGACCACTCGGACCTGTCGCACTCGGTGAGTGGCGCAAGCGAAGCGGTGCAGTGGCTGGGACAGCGGTTCTCAACCTTTCTCGGCTCGCGACCCCAAATTTGTAGCCAAAAATTTCCGCGACCCCCAGGAAAAGTTTCACGACCCCACGGGACCCCTCCTTTAGCATGCCACTGCGTCTGATCCGAGGCGGGCATTTTGCTCCCTCAACGGGCAATTGGTCTTTGGACTTTCCTTTAGCATGCCTCTGTTACGGAGTGTGATTATCAGTCTTAGTTTGGGGGCAGTATTGTCTCAAAGTTGGCCAAAACGCTCAGAAATGTCTTTGAAAAATCATGTTTTGGGTCGATTTTAAGCAGCCACTGCGTCTGATCCGAGCCGGGCATTTTGCTCCCTCAACAGGCAATTGTTCTTTGGACCTTCCTTTAGCATGCCTCTGTTACGGAATGCGATTATCAGTCTTAGTTTGGGAGCAGTATTGTCTCAAAGTTGACCAAAACAGTCACAACGGTTTTTCAAAGACATTTCTGAGCGTTTCGGCCAACTTTGAGACAATACTGCTCCCAACTAAGACTGATAATCACACTCCGTAACAAAGGCATGCTAAAGGAAGGTCCAAAGACCAATTGCCCGTTGAAGGAGGACGAAATACCGCCTCGGGTCAGACGCAGTGGCTGCTTAAAATCGGCCCAAAACACGATTTTTCAAAGACATTTCTGACCGTTTTGGTAAACTTTGAGACAATACTGCTCCCAAACTAAGACTGATAATCACACTCCGTAACAAAGGCATGCTAAAGGAAGGTTCAAAGACCAATTGCCCGTCGAGGGAGCAAAATGCCCGCCTCGGATCAGACGCAGTGGCTGCTTAAAATCGGCCCAAAACACGACCCCAGCTACCTCGCCGCGACCCCTTAAAATTTTTTTCGCGACCCCACTTGGGGTCGTGACCCTAAGGTTGAGAACCACTGGGCTGGGAGCCTCGAGTAAGACCAGGGCTGTGTTGCAGGACTCGTACATCGTGGACCACGGCAGTGTGGGCGTGTGGGTGTGGCTGGGCCGGCTGGTGGGCGAGCGCGACCGCCTGGAGGCGATGCGCAACGCGCAGGGCTTCGTGCGCAAGAAGGGGTACGCCGCCCACACGCCCATCACGCGCGTCACTGACGGCTGCGAGCCCTCCGAGTTCCGCTGCCTGTTCCGGACGTGGCACCACGCCGCGCCCGTGGCCGCCCCCAAGAACGGCAAGTCCGCGGCCAAGCCGGCCACCACGGTGCACACGCGCATGGACGCGCTCGCGCTGCGCGACAACGCGCGCCTGGCCGCGGAGCTGCGGCTGCTGGACGACGGCTCGGGGGAGTCGCGGCTGTGGCGCGTGAGCCGCGCGGGGCTGGTGGGCGTGCCCGCCAAGCGCTTCGGCCGCCTGCACTCGGGGGAGTGCTACGTGCTGCACTACCGCTACGGCCACCCCGCGCAGCACGCCGTCTTCTACTGGCTGGGCCGCACGGCGAGCGGCGAGCGCCAGGCCACGGCGGCGCTGTGGGCGCAGGAGAAGGCCCGCGAGCTGGCCGACGAGACGGGCGGCGAGGCCGCGGCCGTGGTGGTGCGCGTGCTGGAGGGCCGCGAGCCGCCGTCCATGCGCGCCATCTTCAGGGGCAGGCTGGCCGTGCTGAGCGGCGAGGCGCCCCCCGACGACGCGGCCAACGGGCTGCCGGCCAGCTTCCTGCTGCGCGTCGACGGCGCGCAGAACCACGACACGCGCTCCGTGCAGGTGCGGCCGCATTCGCTCAAGTGCTCAAGTGTCCTGCGGAATCAAAGTCGACCCCCAACCTCCCTGTCCGCTCTGTGCTGCAGGTGCCGCGACGCTTGGCGTCGCTGCGGAGCGGCGCCGTGTTCGTGCTGCGCTCCAAGCGCGGCGGCTGGTTCCTCTGGTGCGGCCGCGGCTCCACGGGCGACCAGCGCGAGATGGCCAAGCGCGTGGCCGTGTCCGCGGGCGCCGGCGGCGACCTGGCCGTGGTGTACGAGGGCCAGGAGAAGGACGACTTCTGGACGGCGCTGGGCGGCACCAACGTCGGCGTCGGCGAGGACATCAAGGACGTCGACGAGGACGACGGCGAGCAGGCGGAGCAGCAAGACGCCAGGGCCGCCAGGCTGTTCGCCTGTCTCGGGGCCTCGTCGTCCGCATTTGCGGGTGAGAGCACTGCGACTCTTGAGGGCATTCCCCCGCTCGGCGTGGCGCCTACCCACTGACAGTGCCTTGCGTTCGCTCGCGTTGCAGTGGAGGAGCTGCCGAATGTGTCGCAGCAGGAGCTGAGTCCGGACGAAATCCTGATCCTGGACGCGAGGGACACGATCTACGTGTGGATCGGGCGCCAGACCAGTCGGGAGGCGAGGCAAAAGGCCACTGCACTCGCTATCGAGTTTTTGAAAACGGGTGAGTGAGTCAATCGGGTACCTTCAAGGTCCCATTCTCGCATCGAGGTGTTCATGTCGTACGTTGTTGTTGAAGACCCTGCGTCTCGAGAACTCAGCAATCCAATAGTCCTGGTGCGCCAGGGCCACGAGCCGCCGATGTTCACCGGTTTCTTTGCGTCGTGGGACCCGAGACTGTGGGATGTGCGTAATGCTGAAACTATTTTTAGTAGTGTGTAAGGCATGAATTTTGTGAAAATCGCTAGAGTGCGGTCTTGCCGTGGTGAAGTTCATAAACTCGTTCTTGCAATTTACAGGATTACCAGTCTTTCGATGAAGTGCGAGCCCATCTCGAAGGACGTCCTGTCCCTAACTTGACGCAACAGTCGACTGCAGATTTGCCTTGTATTCGGGAGTTCGAGGATCAGGATAAATTTCCTCTCCAACTGCTTTTGGATCCTGACATTTCACACCTTCCACACACAGTAGATGTTTTCCGTAAAGAGGTAGCAAATTATGCAAATCATTTTATTGAAAATAGTTCTTATCAAAATTTGTGGATGTTTTGTAATACACTTTATTTGCAGCTTCATCTGACACACAGTGATTTTGTATCTGTGTTTGGAATGGACTACCCCACATTTGCTCAACTTCCACTTTGGCGTCAGCACAATCTGAAGAAGTCTGCAGGACTCTTCTGAAAAGCAATTAAACTAATATTATCACGTCTCCAACAGTTGAAGATGTTGCAGAGGAAAAATTACAGAGCTGCACTATTAGGATGCCACATTATCAAATTACAATGTGCAACTACCACAATAAGTTTCTTGACTCCAGCTAATAAAATGAGGAACACTTTTGTAACTTTGGTTGATGTGCACAAGCAAGATGTGCAAATGCATTAGCTTTTCTTACGTAGCAACTAGCAGCCAAAAATCTATGGGTTTGTAATGATAAGCACGCAACAGCAGCAATGTAAAAATTTTTCCATAGAAATGTACTTTGTAGAAATAGATTTGCCAAGTGGGTATGAAGAAATAGTTTGCTAACAAAGCTGTTTCTATTTTATGCTTTTCCTTTTAAAGACAATTACAGCCTTCTAATGACTTGTAATACGTATTAATAATGATAATCATTGCAAACTCCACTTTTTCCTATCTCAATTGTTTCTTCACTTGCTTAAAATGTAAAAAAAGGTTAACTATAAAAGAATAAATTATACAGCAATAAATAAGAGTTTTTATTGCAACCTCAACACTGAAATACAATAGTAACCAGAATAATACCTAGACAAATAACTTAAGTCAATTTATGAGTACATGGAATTGGTTTGTTTTTGGACCTAGACATCTGTTAACATTGATTCGCACTGGTCAGTTCAAAAAAGTGCAATCACAGGTACAAGAAAAAGTCACTGGAATAATTAGATAGTTTGTAAAGGTACGTATTGAAAAAGAAAAAAAAGCAAAAAAAAAAAAAATAGGGCTTAGTAGAACGCAGCATTTGCCATTTACAATTTTGTCAAATTAAATGACAAATTCTAATTTTACTGAAAAATTTTAAGTAAGAAGGTGAGATAAGTCAGGAAGAGCAGAAAACACCTAGTCCCTTGAAGTTTTAAGACGAACTTTGTCTTTGTGAACTAAAACATTGTGCATCTTCTGCAGTTTCTTGTGAAACTTATTTATGATCTTAGCTTCATCTACATAAGCATCATCTCCAACTGAACATAAATATTCATTAAGAACCTTCTTGCTAAGTTTTTTAAGAGACACTTCATGGTCTGATTGAGATTCAAGTACTTGAAGAATGGCAGTGTCCCAGGAAAATTCAGCTCCATTATCTTCATCCAGTTTCAGGGTATCATTTAGTTTTCCATTTTCTAGTTTGTCTGAAATTTAAATGGACTCGTTATTAATCAAATCTAGATGTATAAATGCACAACAAATTCAGAAAAATTGTAGCTTACCAGTTTTCCCTTTTTTGTCAGGTTTCTCAGCATGAATTCGCTCAGCTTCCTCCTGTCGCTGTTGTTTCTTGCTCTTCTTTTCCTTCTTCTTGTCCTTGGTGTCACTAGGCTCTTCATCGAGAGGAGCAATTTCTTCTGCATTTTTCTTATTCTTCTTCTTTTTACCCTTCTTAGATTCAGTTTCCTCAACAACCTCTTCTACGGGCTCGTCTTCAACAGATTCCAAATTCTTCTGCTCAGCCTTTTTCTTCTTTTTACTCTTCTTTGTTTCCGTTTCTTCAACAACCTGTTCCATAGGCTCATCTTGAGGCTCAGTTTCATCAGTTGCGTTCACAGATTCCAAAGTCTTCAGCTCAGCCTCATATTTTTCTCTTTTCTTACGCTCTTTCTTTTCTTTCTTGCTTAGCTTTTCTTCTACAACTCCATTCAAATGACAAGCGTCCAAGGCATTGTTCAGATTGGAAGAGTCTTCACTTTCGTCAGTCTTGGGATTTTTCTTTGATTTTTTGGCTTTTCTTGTTTCAGAGGTTCCATTAATAACAGATTCACTTTCTGACATCATTCTCTTTTTCTTCTTTTCACTTTTGGACAGGGCAACTTCACTTGCAACCTCATTAACTCCATTCTTAGGGGCCTTACTTTTCTCATCATCTTCTGAGTCAGAATCAGAGTCAGAGCTACTACTATCAGAAGAATCCTGTTTCTTGTTCTTCATCATTTCTGCCTTTTTCTTTTTAGCTTCAGCTTCAGCAGCTGCCTTTTCAGCATTTAATTTTGCAGCAAGATCCGTGCGAGCTTTATCCAAAAGGCTCCATACAAATTCAATATTTTTTAGTGGCTCACTTCTTCTTGAATTTTTAACAAAATTCTGAAAAAGACAAGAATGTAAGTTAGTGTTGACACATAAATACATGCAGGGAATTTCAAATTCTTAAAATACTTACAGTAAATGTTTTCGGTTTATCAGGGATATTTGATACCTCTAGCAAATACTTAAATAGGTCACAAATGCCTGGATTCATGCCCGGAGTGCCATCATCAATGGCTCTGCTACAACAGTCATGAACTGTTTCAAGCCAGCGCTGCTGCTTGGTCTTTTTTAATGCTACGCCATTGAGGCCCGTGGCGCTGTAACGATCCTTTTCAGATATACAGCCCGTGTGTTTAATGTAGTCATACCTAAAATAAAGTGAAGACGAATATAAGTTAAAAATAATATGGGCTCCAAATGATGATACTCAGATGACCAATTGATACAAACCCAAAATCCTTGAGGCAGTCAACACACGTTAGGTGGAAGGGTTTGCAACGATGAACTTCAACCTTTTGCTTCTTCAGAGAGTCTCCACACTTATTACAAGTGAAAGTCACCATCTCTTCTGATAAAAGAAAGAGAAACATAGAATTATTGCACTATTAATAATAATAAAAGAAACATGGCAACGTTCAACGTGTACGGTGTAGGCAAATCTGACAACAAATGGAGAAACGAATTTTAAAATCTATGATACTTTAAACAATCGCGCGGAAAAAATGATAAAACTGAACACAATAATCCCAATATCGAGCGGTTATCCACGTTTGAACTACACACCACTACGAGATCCTAACCTCTCCAATCGAACAGGACCTTTTAGTCAAGGCTAGAAACGAGGAAAGTGAATCTAACAACATGCTAACAACATGGGACCCATTTTCTGAACAGCTTACCTCCGTTCCAGGCAAGTCAACGCCGAGCAAAAGAGATACACTCAAAAGAAATTTCAGTTTTGGCTGTTCCGACGGTAAACATGCGGCAGACTGTTGGCCAGGCAGACAGACCGACACGACCACTACCGCAACGACACGGCACGGCGCCTTTATACGGCAGTGTTTTGTTTTGGTTTTGTAGAAAATGCTAGAAGACACGCGGCGGTACGCGAAGGTTCGGAGGGTGGCTCAATTTTTCGTCAGCAATGGTCTGAATAAAGACGCAAAATTTGAAACATTTGCTCCTCAGAATAGAGTACACAGAAACGATGAAATTCAAACATCAGTGACAAATATTGCTGGTGCAGGGAACAAATCAGAAACTTCTGGATGACGAACGCAGATAATGAAAAGAACACGTCACAGGTCACACCTTGATTCAGATAAGACCGCAATTGCACGCTCAGTAACCGAGTTCTGTTGTGTGTTTTTTTTTTAAAGAAATAGTCTGCAACCAGCGGAAATGGAACGGGAAGGGGCGAAAGGGGTCGTGGGAGGGAAGCACCCCGGTGGCAGAGGAGGCAGGGCAACTAGTGAGAGGGGAGGGAAAGGGGGAAGGGGTTTAGGTAGGCTAGGTTTAGGTAGGTTTAGCGAGCGGAGCGCAAGCCCTCTCCTGCTAACGCAAGCTAATATGTTGACGGAGGCGGAAAGAGACGGAGGAGGCCCTGCACTGCGGGTCGCCTGCACCGTGGCCTGGACCCTGGACAGCGGGGGAGACGGGGTGGGGGAGGGGGTGGGGCCGTTTGCACTCCATAACCCTGTCAGCGGGGAAAGGAAACTAGCTCGAAGGGAACCGCGCGGGGAATGAGGGGCGGGCGTACACCAGGCACCCACTGTAGCTAAAGCCCCCCCCCCCCTTTTCCCGCGTCCTAATGTAGTCAACACTCTAATGAAGGAAGGGCTGCCAAACACTGATCTGGCCAAAGCCAAACACTGTCCACCGGCAAGTCCACTGCGCGCTCCGATTGGGTAGGGGAGCTCGGACATTCGAATCGCGTGGGTCGATTCGGCCCATTCAGGAAACGGTCCGCCGGTGCCTTTTACTTCGATTTCCGCGCTGTACAAAATGTTGAGCCAGTTTGAGATCGATTGAAAAGCTGTTGAGAAGTTGCCCCTTTTGAGGGATGGTAGACGGTTTCGATTATCTTTTTAAAATTTTCAGTGCGAGATTGACCGTAACGTTGGCCAGTGCGGTCCTCCCGAAAAATAAAACGCATTAACGGGAAACAGGGCGTGAACGGGCGCGGCGCGGCGGCAGCTGTATGAGTCAACGGCGGCACGTCGTCGCGGTGCATCCCCATCCCGCACCCCGGACCCCGCGCGCCACCGCCACCGCGGCCCCACTCCCCGGGGACGGCGACACGGCGACGTCGTCGCGGTCCTCGGCCTGCCCGTCGCGCTGCTCATCGGCGTGCTGCCCCTGCCCCAGTCGCAGAGTCGCAGTCGAGCTGGAGCTCCGACGCGAGTCACGCCGCCGGACGAGACTGAGGCCGAGACCGAGAGGGCCGAGGACCTAGCGCAGGGGCCGAGGCCGTGGGGGCCGAGCGTCGCGGAGTCGTCGCGCTGCTCGCGCGGCACGCGTGGTGCCGCACTGCACTATATCTAACCGGCAGGTCGTAAACACCGCGGACAATACGCTATAACGGGCTGCCGCCGAGGCCGCCGAGGCCGCCGCCGAGCGCCGCTCCACCAAGGACGTGACGGGGGCGGTGGCGGTGCGGGGTGCGCGCTGATAAGCCGCCGGGGCCTCAGTCCCCCGGCCCGGCCCGGCCCGGCGCAAGGAGCTGCCGCTCTACACGTGGCGCACGGCGAGCACGTCGTCCCCGCCGTCGTCATGGAGACGCTGGACACGGCGCTCAGTTTCTCCGTGTTCCCGCCGACGCCGCCACCCTCCACGTCGTCGCCGTCCGCGTCCTCGGGCAGCCTGTGGGACGCGGACCTGTGGGGGGCGTCGTCGGCGACGTGGTTGGACGAGGGCTGGGCCCTGGACGGGCTGCCCGACGTGAAGCCCGACGTGAGCGAGCTGCTGCAGGCGTCACTGCGACAAGACCTGCCCGTGCTCAACGCCGACAGCACCACCTTCCTGCTGGACGGCGACGCCGCCCCCGCCCCCGCGGCCTGGTTGCCCCAGTGGTCGTACTGCGCGTACTGTGCGGCGGGGGGCGGCGTGGGGGCGGCGGGCTGCGGCGCCTCGGTGTCACAGCCACTACCCCCTCAGGGGCCCAGCCAGCTGTACCCCGACCAGGGCGCCGACCAGGGTGCCGACCAGGGCGGCGGCTACCTGGTGGACCCGTACCTCGGCACCCTCGCCGGCCCGATGCCCGCCCCCTTCGCGGACGGCTTGGTGTTCGTGGACAGCCCGGCGCTGTGCCCGGTGCTGTCGACCGTGCCCGAGGACACCTGCCTGGAGGACGCCGTCCACTGGGCCAACCCCGTGCCTCCCGCCCCCAGCCCCCTGCCGGCCGAACTCAGCGGCCACCGCAGCGCGCTGCCACTGCCGGAGCCCCCAGGTACGCCGTGCACGCCAAGTACGCCAGGTGAGGTGCCACTGCTGTCGGTTTGGTCGTTCATGTCCCGCTCAGAGTTCTGGGTGCGACGGAGAGAGTGTCAAACCAACTCATGAACCCCCAGCCGAATCCCCTCACACCGCAGCTGCACCCCTCAGCTAAGATGGACGGTGCCGCGCCGTGACCCCACTCGTGATTCCAGGCAAATCCAGCAAGCGGGCGCCCAGAACGTCCAGAGACCCCTTCATCTGAGCGGCGGGCGGAGAGACGCCGCGATTCGTAACCTCGTCGCCCCGGGCGCCTCCACGGCGAGACTGGGCGAGACGCCACCCTCGGCACGGTGGTGCTCCTCACGGGCGGAGCACGCCAACGCGCTGCGCCACCACACCGCGGAGGGACGCATCCGAACAGAACAATAAAACATGAATGAAAGAGCAAACGAACGCAGTCTACGGACTCGTAGTATCCCTTCCCGTGTCCGCACGCGAGCGTGTGTGTTAGTGAATACACATTTCCAGCAACTCGGCAGCCAGTTTCCACTAGCTTCGACAGGGTGTGCGCATTGAAGTCGGACTGGTGGAGTGTAGTGGACGCGTCCGAGCCGCGTGACCCTCTCCATGACCTCGATGCGGACGCGCTGCCGCGTTCGGCCTGGCCGGCGGCGTGCCGACAAAGCGCCGCGAGTGCGCCGCCGCAGTGCTGCACCAAGCCGCGCTGCACGGCCCATTGCAGCTGCTGAGGGCCGCGGCGGGGCGCGGGGGCTCCTCGGGGAGCAGGAAGCAGTCATGTGGCGGTTCGCGGTACGACCCTACTAGACCCTAGGCGGCGCGGTGCTGAGGAAAACATTCCATTGGTGCATTGCACGCTGCCCTGACCGCGCCCTTTGATTTGTTTGCCCTAAACCTCCCTAAGTCCGCCTTGTTTGGCCGCAGCCCGCCTGCAGGTTCCCGCGGTCGGGGGCGCGGCTCCACCGGCCGCCCCTCAGCCCTTCCCCGCCAGAGCGACTAGAGCGGCCCTCCGGGACGCCGTGTCGCCGCCACCGCTGGAAGGACTGGAAGTGGCCCCGGGGGAGTCGCGGTGCCGCGTGCTGGACCACGACGACGACGAACTGGAGGCGCTGGAGGCGGCGCCGGGGCCGCGCCTCAGCCGCAAGGAGCGCACCGCCTTCAGCCGGCTCCAGGTGCAGCAGCTGGAGGCCGAGTTCCTGGACTCCAACTACCTGTCCAGGCTGCGGAGGTACGAGATCGCCGTCGCGCTGGGGCTGTCCGAGCGCCAGGTAAGCCTCGAAGGAAACTCTATTGCCGTCGGCAAATCAGGATACGCGTCTGTGATTGGAGCTTGGTTCGCCCCCAGGTGAAAGTCTGGTTCCAAAACCGGCGGATGAAGTGGAAAAGGACGCGGGGGGAGGTCGTGCCCGCCCAGTTCCTGGACTGCAGCACGCCCTGCAGCACGCCATCGAGACTGTCGCCTCCACCTTCCACACTCGCGAGGGCCCGCGGACGGTTGAAAACGGCGGTCGGGGGTGAAGATTCATGAAGACGTGTTTTGTATTCCCTTCTTTGTGTGGTTGTGAAATGTACGTATCAGACCGCAATAAACTATTTTTTTACCGCATTCTGGAGTGCACTTGGCGTTCTTTTGTTTTCCCAAGCACCTCCTGTGGACCTCGCCTTGCCTTGCTCCTTGCCGACACTTCGCCGGGCCGCACTGCCGCACTTCGGCCAGAGGCGCGCGATGGGCTGCCTACCGCCCGGGCGCCGCGGGTCGGGACCGCCGCCCGCCGTGCCCGCCGTACCCACGCAGGGCCATGCGGGGCTGGCGGCCAGGGGCCAGGGCCTGGCCGCCTGACTAGAGTCCGACGAGCTGCCCGGGGCCCGGGGCGCGGCGTGGCGGAGTGCGGCGCGGCGGGCCCACAGAGTGGCGGGGCCCCCGACGGCCCCCGACGGCCCCCGACGGCCCCGGGCTTCGGCGGTGTGGCGGCGGCCGATCAAATGTGCCGGCGTTGTGGACTCGCGCGGACCGCGGACCGGAGCGGACGACGCGCGCCTCTCTGGGCTTCCCTCCAGCATCCGAGCGCCGCGACCGCCGCGCGCGTGACTCGTGCGCGCGCTCGCGTCTGCAGTGTGTGTGTGTTTGATTCGAGTGCGTGTGTGAGTGCGTGCGAGGTGGGAGAAATGTGTCGCGCTAGGACGTGCACCTGATTGGATTACCCAAAGCAACTGCCGGATATCTGCCGCGAGGTGAGTCGCCCGGCTCGTGGACACTCGCTTCTGGAGGCCCGCCACTGGAGAGACTCGCCACTGGAGACTCGGCACTGGAGACTTGGCTCTGGAGGCTTGGCACTGGAGACTCGCACTGGACACTCGCCACTGGACACTCGCCACTGGACACTCGACCCTGGACACTCGACCCTGGACACTCGACCCTGGACACTCGACCCTGGAAACACACCTCTGGAGACTCGCCGCTGGAGACTCGTCGCTGGAGACGCCACTGGAGACTCACTCTGGAGGCCCGCTCCTGGAGGGGCCCGCGAGAGGAGGCAGGTGCCGCCCGGTGCCGACGAACTGATCGGCAAGCGGTGCCGCGGCCAGCAAGCATTGGACAGGCATGGACCGGGCGCCGTGTCAAGATACCGGCACAGCCTGGGCAGAGGCCTGGGCAACCGGGCACGCCGTCGGGGAGGTTGGAGGTTCGATAAAGCTGTTGCCACGCTGCTGCCAGTCAGTCTGACGCTGCCGGCCGCACCGGTGTTGACGGTGTCGATGTCTCATCCTCGTCGCACTATCTGCCGACCGCCCGGGCTCTGGTGGAAGCGAGAGAGAGACGGCGCGGGGACCTGGCCACTGGCTAACTCGCAGGCGCCGAGAAGGACGCGTCGTGGTCCCTCCAGACGATGGAGATGGAGGCTTCCTACGCGTCGCGTCACGACCGCGTCGCGTCGCCTCGACGTGAGTCGTGACGGCCTGGTCGTCTGGCCGCGCTGGGCTGCGCAGGGCGTCACGTTTCAAAATAGACGGATGATAAAAACGGATGCCAAATGTGCACGGTGGCGGGAAAAGCAACAGAAATGTGAGGGGGCTCGCCCTGGGCCAGCCTTATCACATCTGGCCCAAAGCTGTGTGTGTGTGTTTGTGTGTGTGAGTGCGTGTGCGGAGCGTGGGTGAGCCAAGCCCGACGACCGTGAAAACGTTTGAGCAGCAGAGACGATCTCCAGGCAGTGTCACGAGACCTGGTGTGACGCCGCTAGACGCCGCGCCCCAGCGGATGCCGCCACTCTGGACCAACGCGGCGGCAAAGTCGGCCAAAGTCTCGCCCGCCTCGTCGCCAAGTACTCTCACTTCCGCTCAGGCAAGGCGATGCAGGGCGATGCAGGGCGATGCGAGGCTCGTCATGCCGGAAGGAGGGGGCAGCGGGGGCAGCGGGGGCAGCGGGGGCAGCGCTGGGGGTGAAAATGTCAAGGGCGTCGTCTCCGCCAACACGGCGTGCGGGGTGGGGCGGGGTGGGGCGGGGTGGGGCGGGGTGGGGCGGGGTGGGGCGGGGAGGGGCCTGATACGGCACCACGCCCGCGGCGGCCTGTAGACATACTAGCGTGACCCGCGGACGAGACGGGTCGGGCCGGGCCGGCCGCGGGTAGGCGCGGAGCGCGGACGCACGCAAATCCACACGGGGAGACACTCGCTCGCAAGTGGGAATGTGGGAAACGACAAATAGCAGAAATACGCTTGACTATGTTCATAAGTCGCGGAGGCCAGGCCGTGGAGTCGGTGACGGCATCGCCTGGAGGATGGCAGAACACTGTCAAGTTCGTCTTCTGTAATGGTTCGGGTTGTCCGTGGGGGGACGGCGACGTTATACCAGTAGCGTTTAATGAAGCGTGACCAAGACAAGAAGTCCCACTGAATCTGACTGCAGCTGCGCGGTGGCTGCGCGGCCACTAGCGGCCACTTTACGGACTTTAGGAACGCATCCGCTCGGCGGTCGGCTCGGTCGCCCCGAACGCGAACTGGCGCCCGTCAGCTCGTCGGCGTTCGGCGTTCGGGCGAGGCGCCGGGTCGCGGGCCGCGCCCAGCTGGTTCCGCATGGCTCGCGTGGGCGTCCCGCCCCGCCCCGCCCCGCCCCGCCCCGCCCCGCCCCGCGCTCACTACTCGCCCCAGTATATGAATGGCAACGACCCATTCAGCAGCAGCGTTGTTGTTGTTTTGTTTTTACTTTTTCTGGTTGACGTGATGCCGATTTTTGCGCGCGGGTTCGTTTCCACCTGGGCCGCGGAGTGACGGCCGGTCTCTCTGTGTCTGCCAGTGGATGCTGTCCGCTGTCCAAGGTGGAGCGGCCCTGAGCGGGGAAGGGGGGGGGGGCACTCCGGGGAGCAGGTTTAGGGACAAGGCCGCCTTGCCTTGCCCTGCCTCGTCCCTTCCGGACGCAGTCGTGTCCTTACAGTGCCGTGCAGCCGGGCTGCCGGGCCTGGCAGGGCCTCTACCAGTGTAGCGACAGCGACAGTGTGCCCGACACGTGATGGGCGTAATTAGAACGGCTGCAGCGCACTTGAGCAAACAGCACTCGGCCAATGCTCGGCGAATGAGCGCCGGGGAAAGGGAAGGGGGAAGGGGGGGTAGCGACAGTGGCGCCATGCGGGCCCAGCGAGCTTCCAGAACTACCGGCAACATTCAAAGTGGCGCTTATCAAGCGACTCGTCCAAAATTTCCTGTTGGGAGCGCCGCTGCGAATTTTGGACAGTTCGTCCGCCCAGCTTCGGCCTTTACGCCCTCGGCAGTTGTCCTGCTTCAGCTGTGTTGCCCAATTTCTACAACTCGTTGACGCGCGGAAAATTTGCCAGAGGAGCCCTAGACTCGAACCGCAATCCTTACGGCTAGAGAGCGGCGCGTTTGCGACCTCGGCCACGGCGTCGCACTGCTGCTCTGGCGCCCTGGACTGATACGACGTGCACCTCAGGCGCCCCGCCCCACCCCGCCGCGCTGCCACGCCCCCGCGGCCCGCGGCACACCCGCGCCACGCCTCAGCTCGCGACGACGGGCCGCGGCAAGCCCGACAAGCCCGACAAGCCGCCCAGGCCATCCCGACGGGTCCCGTGCACCGCCCCCTCCCCCTCTCGCGTATGGGTAGCGCCGTAGCGGCGTGGCGGCGTAGCAGCCGAGGCTGGCACATAGTCACATAGTCGCCGGCAGGCCCGGCCCAGGCGCACTGTGCTCCCATTCTCTCATTTCGGCAGCCGGCTTCGCCCTGCGCCGCCCCGCCCCGCCCGGCCCCCTGTGCCCCTGTGCCCCTGTGCCCCGACGGCTCTGACCGCGACCCCGCACCGAGTGAGTACCTCGCCGAGCAAGGCAGCAAGGCCGCTCGCGCCGCCATCGCGACGCGTCCACTGACCGCCACCCTCGCCGGCGTCGCCGCGCGGCTGCACGCACTCCGGGGCATACACGAACTCGTACACATTCTTTGATGAACACGCGTCCTACACACTTGAATCACTTTTGAGTTAGAGTTTGTGAGAAAAATGTGCTGCTGCCTGCATTGGACTTCCGCTCGTCTTATCCGAACGGCAGGGACTCGTTGCGCGCGTGTGTGTGTGTGTGTGTGTGTGTGAGTGTGTGTGAGGGGGGGGGGCGTATCGGGTGACGGACAGTGGCTGTTTTTGTACAGAATAACCCGCACCCGGCCCACCTTCGCAAAAGCCGTTCGCGCGCTTTTCGTTCCACCTGCATTTGCATAAGCAGGACCTCGGCGCCCGGGTCCCTCCCCTATCTCTCTCTCTTTCTCTCTCTCTCACTCACCTTCCGACGCCGGAGCAGGCGAAAATGTCCCTCTTCCGTTTCTCAGCAAAATGCTGGCAAATCGCGTGGCAGTTTTGAAAACGCCGGGACTGTGCGGATAGAGCAGACGGCTCGAAATCATTCCATCACGGACCCTCGCGAAGGGAAGGAGCGGGCGGGAATATTCCGAATCGGCACCTCGGCAGCCATGCTCCAGGCCTCGGCCGCGGCCCGTGGCGGTGCGGTGTGTCTGGACCAAGGACGATGACAGTGATGGCGACGATGACCGAGACAAAACAGCCGACCAGCGCGCCGCCGGTGGCGTCGCGGCCAACGCACGGCGCACATTGCCGGCAAGCCGGCCGTTGGTGCCGCAGTCCCACGCCTGGAGTGGGGTCTCGGAGCGGAGTCTGGACCGGGGCCCTGGTCCAGGTACTGGTTCAGGTACTGGTTTCGTGCGGTGCTTCGGAGGGAGTGGCCGTCGGCCGCCGTCGGCCCGTCCTATTCCTATTCCTGGAGCGCGGCGGCCCGGTCAATAACCGAATGATGCTTCGGAGCCTCGCCGCGGGCCTCGACGCCTCGCCTCGCCGGGCCGGCAGGGCCCCGCGGGACGAAGCGGACCGAAGCGAAGCGAAGCGCCCACTTGTGGAGGATGACGTACATCATATTCGTCTCGTCGCGCGAGTCGCGCCCCGCCCCGCCCCTCCCTTGGGCCCTACTGGCCCTACTGGCCCTGCTGGCCGTGCTGGAGTGCTACACGCAGGCCGTGGGGATGCTGGGATGCTGGGTACGCGGCGCTCCTTGCCCAGCTGCAGCAGCAGCGACCTTGACGGCCTTGGCGGCCTTGACCCACTTGCAAACTGCCCCAGCGAGCCGGCGAGACCGAGACCCGCCACCGCCGCCGGCAGCGCGAGTCGGCGAACGTGCTGCTACACCGAACTCCGCACGGCGCACGGCGCGGAAAGTGCAGTGTGGAAGACTTGTAGGCGCGGCGGTACACCGCGAGTCCAGAGTCATCGTCACCCTCCACGTTTGCTCTCAGCGGCACTCCAGGGTTGCCACCAGGCTGCCACCAGGTTGCCACCAGGTTGCCGCCGGAAGCAGGGCAGGCATCGGCAGGGCGCGCCTCCACCGATCGGAATACGTTAGCGCGCGGCGTGCGTCGCGTGCGTGCCCCCGCAGGCTCGACGAGGCATTATCGGTATTTGCACGGCGCGGCCGCGGGGCGTCGGCGTCAACGTCGCCGTCAACGTTGACGGCAGCGTGACCCGCGCCCCTCACGGCCTGGCGGCCTGACGCGCGGCCGCGAGGATCACGACGTCACGTCGCAGAGTGGCGACGTGAGGATTTCGCTTTCGCTGCTGCTTTGGCCGAGGGAAACGAATTAGTGACCACGGCGATAGCCCCGTGCAAGCACGGCCAGAAAACTAAGAGTGAAAAGTCTGAGGCGGTCACGTGGTCTTTCCTCACTGATACAGACACAGCAAATGACTCTCCGTGGAATGCCTGCGGAGGTAAACTGTGAGGAGGCAATGGAATCATCGCTCTCCAACAGACATCCAATGAGAGTGCGCCGAGAGCATACGAGCGGCTCGGAAAAATCTACCCCTGCAGATTTTCCGTGGACTAGAGTACCTCACGGTCCCTGAAGGACGAGCTCGACCCCCTCGGCCTCGGCCCGCGCGGCTCAGGAGGGCTCGGGCTCGGCCGGCCCGGCCCCGATCCAAGTCTTCATTGTTGGCAGCCGCTAGGCGGATAATGAAGATGGTGGGCCTCTGGCGGGCTGGCGGGGCTGGCAGGCCGGGCGGCAAAGCGATGGCGAAGCGCCCCGTCTTATCACTCTTCAAATAGTGAGGGTCTGCCAGCCAGCCATGGAGCCCTGCCTGCCCGCCTGCCTCTGAAATAAGACGGATTAGGTGCGGGGGGCAGGGCGCGGTGGGGTGGCGGCTCGGCGGCCGGGCGGGGTGGCCAGGGCGGGGCGTCCGGGGCGGGGTGACTTTGCATAATCTGGCCAGCATCGCCTTTTCTCCACGGCCGGCACGCGAGTCGGAAAACGAGGTGACGCTTCGGTGCCTTCATCGGCGTCGTCCGTCCGCCAAGCACGCCTCGCAGCATCCCTGCCTTCGGCGTTCCCGCCCCACGCGCCCGTGTTGCGCGCTTTCGTACCGGCCGCGGCGGCCTTGGCGCGGGGGGCGGCGGCTTGGGCGGCGGCGCGGGGGGTGGCGTGCACCGGGGAAGGCCCGTCGTGTCACGGGATCCTGGATCAGGACACTCTATCTTATCTGCCTCTTTGTCAACCTTGCCGGCAGGCAAATGCCGTTTGGCGCCGTGGAAAGGCGGAGGGGGGAGGGGGGGCATCCTCTTAAAGCATCACGAGAAGGACGCCTTCGCGCGGAACGCAAAGGACGCCCTGGCCCGGCAGAGCAGGCCCGGCAGGCCGGCAGGCCGTGCTGCAGCGCGGAGATTATCCAATCGGCTTGCCGAGATTGCACGGCCAGTGCCGGAGCGGGCGGCAGGGGGTGGGGGTGCCCCTGGCCACCCCGCCAGCCCAGCCACCCCGGCGCGCTAAGCCCTTCCCCTCGCCCTCCACCGCGGCGGCCAGTGTAGCCGCGCAGCCCGCTCCACGACGTGGTCTAGCCCGTAATGGCAATGGTAATGTGGCTAGGCCAGCCCGCCGAACAGCCGTGCGCTGCAGGGCAGGGTTGCCTACCCCACTGTCTGCGGGCGCTCCGTCTGGGAACACGGGAACACGCCGACGCGTTGCGTTCGCCAACCCGCGAGCCACTCTCCGTTGATCGAAGCGACCGCGGCTTACTCTTCGTCATTTAAGACTTGGCTAAGACAGTTTTCCCAGAGTCCTAAACCACAGATCTTGGCGGGAAGCGGCGCATCAGGTGGCGGAGACGGAGATAATCTGCGCCGCGCCCTGTGACGTGGCGAGGAGCGAGGCGGGGCTGGCGCTGGCTGGCGCGGCGCACCCACAGTGCAGCGTGCACTGCATGGGGTCGCGGCGGTCGCGGCGCAAACACAACACGGGGGTTGTTGATTCAGTCCGCGGTAAACTCGGCCGCCACGACCGCGTCGGCCGTGTGTGTGCACTGCACACTACGGCGCACAGCATGCAGGCGTCTGATTCCGAAAAGTCCTTTCGTCGCTCTGTCCCTGTCGCACCCCTACGGGGCGTACCATGAGTGCGACAGGGATAGAGCGATGATACGACTCTTCGCAGCCTGCAGGACCCTGCCGCGCTGTAGCTGCACGTCAAGGCCCTCTTCCCCTTGTTGCAGGATGGGGGCGCTGTTCCGGTCCGAGCACATGGTGCTCTGCCAGCTCTTCATCCAGCCCGAGGCGTCCTACTCGTCCGTGTCCATGCTGGGCGAGGCCGGCGTCGTGCAGTTCCGGGACGTAAGTACACCGAAGCGTCTCGCCTGGCGCCGCCCGGCCGAGCGAACCAACGCCCCGCGAACGCCGGACAACGACGAACTGAGCCGCGTGTCTGCTGCAGCTCAACTCCAACGTCAACCTGTTCCTGCGGAAGTTCGTGGGCGAGGTGCGGCGCTGCGATGAGCTGGAGAGGAAGCTGCGCTACATCGAGGCCGAGGTGAAGAAGGACGGCGTGCCCACGCCCGACCCCGACGTCGTCCCCAAGGCGCCCATCCCCAGGGAGATCATCGACCTGGAGGCGCACCTGGAGAAGACGGAGAACGAGATTGTGCAGCTCAGCCAGAACGCCGTCAACCTCAAGAGCAACTTCGTGGAGCTGCAGGAGATGAAGCACGTGCTGGAGAAGGCCCAGGTGTTCCTGACGGAGGTGAGCCACGCGCCGCGACCGACGACGCCCCTTGCACTTGACCACACCACATGCACAGACGGACTTGAGCCAGAGTAGGAATATGGTCTGTTTGCAGCTCCGTTTGTGTTACAGCAAGAGGGGTCGGACTCAAGCCGTGCGCTCATTGGCGGCGACGACCGCGGACGCCTCGGGTAGGTGCACGCGCACGGCACTCCCAGAGCACGCCTAGGGCACGCCGTCGTGCGACTTGGACGAAGGAAACGTTCCTCTTTCAAGGTGTTCAAAAAGTCCACCCACGAAACGGAGGCTAGCGAACCGCTTTCGAACCTTTTATAATGCGAAACAGGGCTTTTATTGTCTGCTGTCACCTGGACGTATCGTAATATCTTTTCACAAATCACGCCTGGTCCAGTTTCGCATTTAAAAGCCTGACGTGGGTGGCGCCAAATGGTTGCTTCCTCGCTTACCCCTTTGCCTTTGTCTGTCTGTCTGTCTGTCTGTCTGTCTGTCTGTCTGTCTGTCTGTCTGTCTGTCTGTCTGACTGTCTGTCTGTCTGCCCGTCTGCCTGTCTGTCCCGGCTCCTAGGTTCATCGCCGGGGTGATCCAGCGCGAGCGCGTGCCCGGCTTCGAGCGCATGCTGTTCCGCGTGTCCCGCGGCAACGTCTTCCTGCGCCAGGCCGAGCTGGAGGAGCCCATCGAGGACCCCGCCACGGTGAGCGCACTCTCGGTGCCGCCATGGTGCCGCCATGGCGCCGGGGTGGCGGTAGAGCGGTAACGCGACTGCTTGGGCTCGCAGGGCAACGAGATCCACAAGTCGGTGTTCGTGGCCTTCTTCCAAGGCGAGAACCTCAAGTCGCGGGTGAAGAAGGTGTGCGCCGGCTACCACGCGTCCACCTACGCCTGCCCCAACACGGCCGCGGAGCGCGAGGACCTGCTGCAGCGCCTCCGGACGCAGCTGGAGGACCTCAACATGGTACGGACTTTGGCGAAAAATGGCGAGGCCGTCCAAACGTTCCCACTCCGATCTCAGTTTGGCTTTCCTTTCCCCTGTAGGTGCTGGGCCAGACCCGCGACCACCGGCACCGCGTGCTGGTGTCCGTCGGCAAGGAGGTGACCAAGTGGGGCGTGATGGTGCGCAAGATGAAGGCCATCTACCACACGCTCAACATGTTCAACATGGACGTGACCAAGAAGTGCCTGATCGGCGAGTGCTGGGTGCCGTCCGCGGACCTGGGCATCGTGCGGCAGGCCCTCACGGAGGGAGGGGTACGGTCCCTTCGGTCCACTTCCACTTGCGTGTCCCGCGCCGCGGTGCGGACGCCGTCCTCAACGCTTAATCTCACTGCCATTATCTGGTCGCGTGCAGAAAGCCGTGGGCAGCTCCATCCAGTCGTTCGTGAACATCATCGAGACGCCCGAGAACCCGCCCACCTTCATCCGCACCAACAAGTTCACGGCGGGCTTCCAGACCCTGATCGACGCCTACGCCGTCACCAGCTACCGCGAGGTGAACCCAGGTACGCGTCGGGGTGGGGGCGGGTAGGGGTGCCCGTTGACGAAGGCACTAACGGAGCGACTTTGTCGGCAGCCCTGTACACCATCGTCACCTTCCCCTTCCTGTTCGCCGTCATGTTCGGCGACCTGGGCCACGGCTTCATCGTCACCCTGTTCGCCGGCTACCTCTGCATGTGCGAGCAAAAGCTGTCCAAAATCAAAGACGGCGGCGAGGTGAGTTTCCACCCACTCACCGCTTTGCGTCATGATGTGACTCCTCCTTGTCCGGTGTTTCAAGGTTTTTCATTTCATCGCCTCAGATCTGGAACATCTTCTTCGGGGGCCGCTACATCATCCTGATGATGGGCGTGTTCTCCATGTACACGGGCCTCGTCTACAACGACGTGTTCTCCCTGTCCATGAACATCTTCGGCACGGCGTGGAGCGCCACGCGCTACAACGAGTCCACGCTCATGACCCACAGGCACCTCACGCTGGACCCGGCCACCGAGGACTACGCGCAGACCCCCTACGTGCTGGGCATGGACCCCGTGTGGCAGGTAAGGAGCTTGTCTTGTCTGTCAAGTTCTCTTGACTCTAAAGGCTGCTGACGCCGTCCCTCGATGAATGGCACTGAAGGCTTTTCCCTTTGCAGACGGCGCAAAACAAGATCATTTTCCTCAACTCGTTCAAGATGAAGATCTCCATCATCATCGGCGTGGTGCACATGGTGTTCGGCGTGTCTCTCAGCGTCGTAAATAATGTGTAAGTGCTCGTGAGTCACAGACTCTGCTCGCCACTTTAATGTCTTGATGGTGTACTTTGAGAGGAGACACGGCTCTTTCCCCGTCAGGACGTCATGCTAATGTCGTGCCATGTTGCAGCCAGAACCGCAAGTACCTGAACATAATCCTGGAATTCGTTCCCCAAATTCTTTTCCTGCTGCTCTTGTTCGGATACATGGCGATGCTCATGTTGTGGAAATGGGTCCAGTACTACGCCACCTCCGGTAAGGCCCCGCCGAGCTCGCCGTGCCTAGTAAATCAACCGGAACTATAAATGATTAAAAAATTTCTGGTCATTTTTTACCCGCAGACCCCGCTCAGATCAAGGCGTCTCCGTACTGCGCGCCGTCCGTGCTCATCTCCTTCATCAACATGATGCTCTTCAGCGAGAACCCCATCGTCAAGGACTGCGACCAGTACATGTTCGCGTCGCAGGGCTCGGTGCAGAAAGTCCTGGTGCTGGTGGCCGTGGCGTGCATCCCCTTCATGCTGATGGGCAAGCCCATCGCCATCCTGCTGGCCAGGAGGAAGCCCAAACACGTAAGCAGGCCGAAGAACCACATTTTGATTCTTCTGCCCTCTGAAATCTGACGTGACGTCCTCTTCCAGGACAAGCGTTCGCGCAGCAACGGCGACGTGACCCAGGGCCTGGAGCTGCAGGCCGCCGAGGACGGCGTGGCGCTGGCCCAGGAGGCGCCCAGCCACGGCTCGCACGAGGAGGACGAGCCCTTCAGCGAGATCATGGTGCACCAGTGCATCCACACCGTGGAGTACGTGCTGTCCACCGTCTCCCACACCGCGTCCTACCTCCGCCTCTGGGCGCTCTCGCTCGCACACGCTCGTGAGTACCTCGCCGTCTCTCTCTTTCCTCGATACTCGCGAAAAGGGGAACGAAAGCGTGTTTTGTGCGCAGAGCTCTCCGACGTGCTGTGGAGCATGATCTTCCGCAAGGGCATCATGGCCGGGCAGGAGCTGGAGGGCACCAGCATGATCCTGGGCGGCCTCTTCATCTACCTGTCCTTCGGCGTCTGGTCCTTCTTCACCGTCGCCATCCTCGTCCTCATGGAGGGCCTCTCCGCCTTCCTGCACACGCTGCGACTGCACTGGTGAGCGCATGCCGCATCGGCGAACACAGGCGTCGAACCCACAGCCAAGTCGAACCTAACCTAACGTTTGCCTTGGCCTGCAGGGTGGAGTTCATGAGCAAGTTCTACGTGGGCGCGGGCTACGCCTTCCAGCCCTTCGCCATCAACGACATCCTGGTGCAGGAGAACAGCGACGACTAGAAGACCGTCGTGTTCCTCGTAGTACCGAGTTACCGCGTCGCGAGCCATCACCCCCATGCTCACCCGACCACGCTCACCACATTAGCCTAAGTTATATACGAGAGCCGGCGATTTGGGACTTTGACTGCCCGCAAGTCGCAATCAGAATAATCAATTCATCGTTGCACGAACAAAGAGAAAGCCACTCCGTCTGGATGCCTTGCACTGCCAGCCTCTTTCTCGTGTTTTAGTTAGCGTTTTCCAATTATGCTGTTGTATTCTCATTCCACGAGGACGTCCAGTTTGTGTGATTTAGTGTTCATTAGCGTAGAGGCGCAGACCAAATAAAGTCATTTCCGTCACTCGTCCGCCTCATTCATTCACTCCCCACACCAGGACGAGTTCCTGTTCTACTCCAGCGGTGCATTTTCGCCGCGTCACCGCGACACTGTTCTGCCACGCCGCGCCACGCCGCGCGGGAGGGACCGGAGGGACACACGAACCGCACGCGGCGTTGCCGAACCGAACCGAACCGCGCCGCCGAATCGGTACCTACGCAAACGGGTTAGAGCAGAGCCGAGTCCGGGGACTACTCTGGCGATCCTGCGGGTGTGCTCAAAAGCAGAGCCGGCCCCCGACGTGCTGCAGTGTCGCGTCACACGAGCAGCCCGTGTGTCACGCCTGTCACGCAGTCGTCACGCGTGCGGTCACGCTGGTCACGCGGTCACTTGCCGCCGCGGCGGCGTTCAATGGCCCGGCCCGACCGGCCGACAGGTTGGCAACACTGGGCGGCCCAGCTGGTGGCGAATTAGGGAATTGGAGCTCACTGCCTTTGCCTTCGCCATCCGCAGCGCCACAGGCCGCCACGCCACAGGCCGCACCGTCCGAACAATGCAGGCCGAGCGCCGGGCGGAAGCGCTAGGAAGCTAGGAAGCGCCGCGCCGCACGCTGTGCTGTCCCCGTCCCCGTAGTGGTGTGTTGTTGTTGTTGTTGTTGTTGCTGCAGCCGTTGTTGTTGTTGTCGGCGCCGAGGCTGGCGACCTTGCACTGCTGTGTGCCGCGTCGACTCGCGGACATCGCTTTCCAGGTTAGCGGTTCGCCGGCAGGCATCGCCACCTGTTCGCCCACGTGCCCCACCACTCCGAGCCCCCGGCCCGGCGCCCCTCCGCCGCGTCCGCGTCGAGCGCCCCCGCGTCCGAGCAGCGCCGGGCGCCAGGCAACCCAACGGGCGGCGGTGCTGGCGGTGCGGCGCGCGCGCCGGGCGCCGCCATGTTCCGCTCCGAGGAGGTGGTGCTGTGCCAGCTGTTCGTGCAGCAGGAGGCCGCCTTCGCCTCCATCCACATGCTGGGGGAGGCCGGCGTCGTCGAGTTCAGAGACGTAAGCCAGCCCGAGCGATGCCGCCCCGTCGCCGCTCTGTCTCCCGTAAGGCGGCCCGTAGGGGTGCGAGAGAGACAGAGCGACGAAGCGGTGTTCAGAGCGTGTGGAATGAAACAAGATCCTCCTCGTAGCTGAACGCGGAGGTGCACCCCATGATGAGGAAGTTCGTGAACGAAGTCCGGCGCTGCGAGGAGCTGGAGAGGAAGCTGCGGTACATCGAGGAGGAGATGGGGAAGGACGGCGTGGCCGTGGACACCCCGCGGCACCAGCCCCGGCCCGCGCTCAACCCCAGGGACATCATCGAGATGGAGGTCAGCAGGGGGTGCTCCAAGTCGGTGCATCTACGCAGTCGTCCGCAGTCGTGAAGCGCGGTGCTTGACTGCTGCTTCGAATCGCACGGCGCGTCGCCTTACCCTTTGCCCTCGCCAGGCCAACCTCGAGAAAACGGAGAGTGAGATCATGGAGCTGAGCCGCAACGCCGCCAACCTCCAGGCCAGCTTCGTGGAGCTGACCGAGATGCAGCAGGTGCTGGAGAAGGCGCAGGTGTTCCTGAAGGAGGTGCGTTGCGTTCTCGGCCTGGATCCCTGACGTAACCGCAGATAGCTGACCAATCCGGAACGTGTTCGCAGCTGGAGGAGCTGCCCTCGAAGGTGTTCGCCGGGGAGGACCGCGGCCGACTGGGGTACGGCGAGTGGCCCAACTCCTTGACCGCGACCGCCAACTTCGGAAAGCTAAATGAGTGACACGGCCCGCCTCACGCCTTGCAGTGTGACGGCGGGAGTGCTGCCCAGGGAGCGGCTGCCCGCCTTCGAGACCATGCTGTGGAGGGTCAGCCGCGGCAACGTGTTGCTGCGCCAGGCCGACCTGGACGACCTCGTCAAGGACCCGAAGACCGTAAGCGCGGAACGTCATCCATATTCGGATTCGGTGATGCTGACTGCGAATGTTCCCGGCGGCTCATTTCAATCGGCGGCCCTAAGTGGGCCTCCTCCGCCCTGATGACACCGCGGCGGGGCCCCCGGGGGGGCCCGGGGAGAAAAAAAGGCCGGGAAGGGGGCCGGGGAAAGTTATGGTAAAGGCCCCCGGGGGAAGGGGGGGGGGGCACCCGGCCCCCGGAAAAGGCCCCCCAGGCCCTTTTTTTCCCAAAGACGCCCCGCGCGGGGGAGGGGAAAAGGGGGCATTTTTTCCGGGGCGACCCCCCCGGCGGCCCCAAAGGTTTTTCGGGTTCCCCCCCCAACCCCGCCCCGGCAGGCCCCTGGAGGGCCCCAAAAGCCCCGGTGTTCGTAAACCTTCTTCCGGGACCCCTCCGGTGGCCGGACCAAGGGGCCCCGGGTTTGGCCCCATCCCCTTCCCCGGGCCCACGGCCCGGGCGCGCCAGCCCGGGGCGTGAACCCCCCGGGCGTGCGCCTTGCGGGACCTACCGGTGGCCCCCACGGGGTGGGCCCGGGGGGAAGGGACCCGGGGGGGGGGGCGGTCAAAAAAAGGGTTTACCCCACGCCCTTTTCCGGCCCAAACGTCCCAGGGCGGGGGGGCCCGTGGGGCCTGGGCGTGGCAGCCGGGGAAACCGGGGGGGGGTGGGGCGTTCGCCCCTTGGGCCCAACTTTTGGGTTTTAAAGGAAACAGGGGGGCGGGCGGCCGTGCCGGGACCCCGCGGGGGCCCCCTTGGGGGTCAAGGCCCCCAACCCCCCTGACCCCCACGCCCCCAAAAAAGTTAAACGGCGGGCCCAAAAAGGCCCCTATCGGGGGTTTTGCCCGTCCGGGGAACCCGGCGGCCCCCCAGGCACGCCCCCTTTTTTCCCCCAGGGCGGGGGAGGGGGGGAGGCCCGTTCGCCCGGTTGGGGCCAACGGGGGGAGAAAGGGGGAAACGGGTGGTTGAGGCCGGTGGGGGAAGCACCCGGTGGGGCCTTGTAAGTGAACCCCCCGCCCGAGCCCCCCCCCGGGGCCCACCAAAATTTCCCGGGGGGCCTTCCCCCAAAACCCTCATAACCCCTACTCCGGCGCCCGTTTACCGGGAAAAAAGTGACCCCCGGCCCTCCCCTCCCGGGGGTAAAAACCGTTCCCCCCCCGGGGGGTTGGTTTATGTTCCCCTTTTTTTGGCCACCGGGGCCGGTTTAGGGGCCCTTTGGGGTTCGCCTGGCCATGGTGCTTCCTTGGAAAAAGGCGGCCTGGAAAAGAAAGGGGCGGGCCCGTTTTTGGGGGGTTGGTTTTTTCGCGCGCCCAAAGGGACCCGGGTGTCGGGTGAAAGGGGGTTTACCCCCCGGCCCCCGGATTCCCCCGGGGTCAAAACCCCTAGGGAAAAGGGGGTACCCGGGGGTACATGACGACTAGGTTCAATGTACCCAGGGTACAAAGCGCCTGGGTGCCAGGCGAATTGTCCCCCGGGGTACAATGCGGCTAGGCGAAATGTCCCCCGGGGGTACATTTTGCCTAGGCTTATTGTACCCCCCGCCGGCCGGAGGGGGGATGCACGTCGCCTAGGCGCAATGCACCCCCCCCGGGATACAAAGAGCCTAGGCGAGGAGTATCCCCTCGGCCGGCCGGAGGGGGATACAAAAAGCCTAGGCGCAATGCACCCCCCCCCCCCGGATAAAAAAATCGAAAAAAAAAAGAAAAAAAAAGGGGGGCCCTTCTCCCACCTCCGAATGGGAGGGCCGCCTGCAACTTCGGTGGATGGGGGGAACCCGGTGCTTTACGGGCGGCGACCCCGGGGGTTCTCATCTGTATATGGGCCGGGCTTGAAGGGCGGGTTTGACAGTCTCTCTTTTTGCCTTGAGAGCCTTTGCTTTTCGGGGGGTGGTCTGTACCAAATGTACACCCGCTGTCCGGCGCTCTCTACCAAACATACAGCTTGTTTAGGGCCAGCTTCAAAGGACTTATCATCTCCTCCCGACGAATAAAGGAGGACCCACCCGCGACCAATTAGGGGTGGCTGGATTGACGGATCGAATACTCCGTCGCTCCAGTGCCGAGGCCAACCCGCCGAAGCGCAGTTGCTTTTTAGACACCCCCCGCGGAGTGGCCAGGTGAATGTGACTCTGACCACTACGCTATCAAGCTTGTACGTCTGGCGTCGTGTTGGACGACGGGTTTGAGTTGCAGTGGAAGGGAAACCAGTCGAAAAAAGTAATGAAATGATGGGAGTCGATCCCAGGACCCTACTGCCGGGACCGCCCACTTTAGCCGCTCGCCCACCACGGCCCATGATGAATGGAGCGGCGTGAGGCGGGGTCTTGACGCGACAGGAATGGACCGACCCGGTAAAAAATTTTACAAGAAGTTTGGGGAGTCGAACCGCCGACCCCACAAAGGAGAAGCGACGCCTCTACTCCCTAGACCACCACAGCACATGCAATTCGTTGGCTGAAGTCACGGGTTTTTAACCACACTGGGCGAGGCAGTAAAAATTAAAAAGTTAATGTTTGTTAGGATTCGAACCCCCGACGTCTGGGACTGTTCTACACGGCTCCGCTCTGATGGCCTCAAACCGTTCCACAAAAGAAAGGAAATCGAAAAAAAAATTTTAGATGCCCGGGATTCGAACACCGCACTGTGCAAATGCGATCGAACGTCTGTAACATTTGCACAGTGCGGTGTTCGAATACCGGCATCTCAATTTTTTTTTTTTTGATTTCCTTTCTTTTGTGGAACGGTTCGAGGCCATCAGAGCGGAGCCGTGTAGAACAGTCCCAGACGTCGGGGGGTTTGAATCCTAACAAAAATTAACATTTAATTTTACTGCCTCGCCCAGTGTGGTTGAAAACCGTGACTTCAGCCAACAAAATTTCATGTGCTGTGGTGGTCTAGGGGGTAGAGGGGTCGCTTCTCCGTGCTGAGGTCGGCGGTTCGACTCCCCAAACTTCTTGTGAAATTTTTACCGGGGCGGTCCATTCCTGTCGCGTCAAAACCCCGCCCCCCGCCGCTCCATTCATCATGGGCCGTGGTGGGCGAGCGGCAATAGTCCTGCGGTCCCGGGAGTAGGGGCCTGGGATCGACTCCCATCATTTCATTACATTTTTCGACTGGCTTCCTTCCACTGCAACTCAAACCCGTCGTCCAACACGACGCCAGACGTACAAGCTTGATAGCGTAGTGGTCAGAGTCACATTCACCTGGCCACTCCGCTGGGGGGTCTAAAAAGCAACTGCGCTTCGGCGGGTTGGCCTCGGCACTGGAGCGACGGAGTATTCGATCCGTCAATCCAGCCACCCTTAAATTTGGGCGCGGGGGGGTCCTCCTTGATTCGTCGGGGGGAGATGATAAGTCCTTTGAAGCTGGCCCTTAAAAAAGCTGTATGTTTTTGGGAGAGAGCGCCGGACAGCGGGTGTACATTTGGTACAGACCACCCCGCGAAAAGCAAAGGCTCTCAAGGCAGAGAGAGACTGTCAAACCCGCCCTTCAAGCCCGGCCCATATACAGATAGAACCCCTGGGGTCGCCGCCTGTAAAGCACCGGTTCCCCCGATCCACCGAAGTTGCAGGCGGCCCTCCGATCTCGGAGGTGGGAGAAGGGCCCCCCCTTTTTTTTTCTTTTTTTTTCCCATTTTTGTATCCGGGGGGGGGGGTGCATTGCGCCTAGGCTTTTTGTATCCCCCTCCGGCCGGCCGAGGGGATACTCCTCGCCTAGGGTCTTTGTATCCGGGGGGGGTGCATTGCGCCTAGGCGACGTGCATCCTCCTCCGACCGGGGGGATACAATAAGCCTAGGCAAAATGTACCCCGGGGGACATTTCGCCTAGCCCATTGTACCCGGGGGACAATTCGCCTGGCACCTAGGCGCTTTGTACCCCTGGGTACATTGAACCTAGTCGTCAGGTTTCCCCAGGGTTTCTATGGCCCTAGGCGTTTTGCACCCGGGGGGACTCTGCGCCGACGGGGGCAGTTCGCCTCCTACACCGGCACTGTGTCAAGCAGCAGTTCGTTGCGCCCAGATCATGACCATCTTCTTCGGCGGCCGGTACATCATCCTGCTGATGGGGCTGTTCTCCATGTACACCGGCCTCATGTACAATGACCTGTTCTCCGTGTCTGTGAACCTGGTGGGGTGGTCCGCCTGGTCCGCCCCGCCGCTGTCCGAGCTGCAGCCCGGCCCCACCACGCTGGACCCCTCCAAGCATTACCAGGGCGTGCCTTACCCCATAGGCTTGGACCCGGTCTGGCAGGTACGCAAAATGCCTTTTTCCAGCTACAAAAATCAAAATTTCACTTGTTACGCCTATGTTTTGCTCGTTTCTCCACTCACAAACCCCTTTCAGTTTGCAGAGAACAAAATCATTTTCCTCAACTCCTTCAAAATGAAGCTGTCTATCATAATTGGCATAATTCACATGGTTTTCGGAGTGAGCCTGAGCGTCTTCAACCACGTGTAAGCGTTTCCCCCCTTTTGAAGCAGTTCTCCAAAGACCTGCTCTATCCTTCCTTTTCGTTCCCACCGCTCCTGTTCGCAAACGCAGCGCTAACCGGAGGCCCGTCATGATCCTGCTCGACTTCCTGCCCAAGATCCTGTTCCTCTTGCTGCTCTTCGGCTACCTGGCGGCCCTCATGGTGTTCAAGTGGTGGAAGTACGGGCCGGAGCAAGGTATACCGCAGCGCGCGGCGTCGGGCTTGATGCCGCCAGTTAGCCGCCCCAGCTCTCTCGCGTAGCAACCGCGGCCCGGCCCCGCGCGGCGGGTAGAAGAAAGGACTCACTCCCCGCCAGAGTGACTCGGCTCGTTGTCTGCGGACACATAATGGACGCGACAAAGACAAAGATGGCAGATGGCGGCGTGTGTCAGCGAGCCCCGCGGCCCCGCGGCCCTCGCGGTGCTTTCCTCGGCGCGGCGGTAATTTTGCTCACTTAGGGCGGAGCGGGGCGCCGAGCACAGCCGAGTCTCGGCCGCGCTTGGCCGCCTGGCCGCGGGCTTGGCCGCGGGGCGGTGGGAACAGTCGGCGACACCCCGCGCCGCCTTCGCCGCCAGCCTACCTGGCACCCCGTGCATAAGCTTTTCCCGAACGACAGCCCGCAGAGCATACACCACAAAGTTGCAAACAAAGTGGAGCGCCGAGCGACTGTCTGACGGTGTACTTGCAGGCGCCGAGGACGTGGCGCTGTCCCCCGGGTGCGCGCCCTCCGTCCTCATCACCTTCATCAACATGATGCTGCGCAACCACCCCGACCTCCCCGCGGGCTCGGCCTGCAGCCCCTGGATGTACGGGGGCCAGGCGGGCGTGGAGCAGGTTGGTGGCATGGCGCCGGAGAGGGGAGGGGGGGGGGGGGCGAAACCCAGCCCCCCACCCCGCGCCCGGAAAGGGGTGGGCTGTGCTGCCCTAATGGGTCTGGGAATGAGTATTTCGCAGCGGCCCGTCTGTCAGCCGGCCGGCGAGTGCTGGGCGACGCTCGGTGCACTGGGAACTCGGTACAGCCCGACGGCATGCCGACGGCCGGGCGCGACATTGATGATGAATGACGGGTACTCGGCGCGAATTGAATCCGAATCTGAATCAAGGCGCGTACAGTCGCCGTCCGACTTGTCGGAAACGCTTGCGTCCGGACACGGCACGTCTCCTTCTGGAACTGGGTCTGCTTCTGGCGCAGGCGCTGCTGTACTCGGCCCTGGCCTGCGTGCCCTTCATGCTCCTCGCCAGGCCGGCGTACGTCCTCTGCACGCAGCGGCGACGACGACCGCAGCGACCGAGAAACGTAACGCCTACATCAAGAAATGGATTTTCATAATGTATTCATGATTCCGACGGACGGTTTGCCCCGAGCCGCGCTGTTTCCAGGATGCCGTCCGACCCGTCCTGAGTCCCATCCGCGGCATGGACGACGACGACGCCGATGTCGCCGACGACGCGAAGGTCGCCGAGGACGACGCCGTGGCGGAGAGCGCGCACTCGTTGGCGGCGACGGGCGCGACGACGCCCGCCCAGGACGACGACGACGCGGTCACGTGGCGCCACGACGAGGACGGCGACGACCAGAGCGAGGACAAGGCGGCCGAGGACGAGGAGCCCTTCGGCGAGATGATGGTGCACCAGTGCATCCACACCGTGGAGTACGTCCTGTCCACCGTGTCGCACACCGCGTCCTACCTCCGCCTCTGGGCGCTCTCGCTCGCACACTCTCGTGAGTCGAGATCGCGCACTGTCCCCAACACTGCTTCTTTCCGGTCGGGAGTCCATCATCGGCTTCTTTCGCCCCGCCCAGAGCTGTCCCACGTGCTGTGGTCCATGGTGCTGCGCAAGGGGCTGGCCATGCAGTGGGTGCTGCCGCTGCCGCTGCTGTTCGCCGGCTGGGCCTTCTTCACCGTCGCCATCCTCGTCCTCATGGAGGGACTGTCCGCCTTCCTGCACACGCTGCGACTGCACTGGTCGGTGCACACACCGGAACCCTCTACTCAAGGCCTCCTGTCCATTTTCAACGTCGAACAGAAACAAATAATCATTTTCTAATTTTCAGGGTGGAGTTTATGAGCAAGTTTTACGAAGGGGAAGGGTACCCATTTCGTCCGTTTTCTTTCAAGACTATTTTTCAATCCGTAGATTAAACTGCAATGTGAATGTGAATATGATCAATCGTTTTCTTCTTTTCGTTTGCCACCTGGCTCTGCGCGTTCTCGTCAGCGCCAGCCCCGCGTCGACCGCCAGTCCCGCGGGCCGCGCTCTCCGCCATCACATCTGTACGCGATAAGCGCTTTACTGCCGCGGCAGCCCTGCCCAGGCCTGCGCCGCCCTACGACGGGAAAACAAACTACTCGCTGGCGCCCAAATTAATTTGCGGGGAAAATGGCAAGGCGGCGCGCGAGGTTGACGGCGGCAGCGTGACAGCGACAAGGCCCTTGAGGGCCTTGAAGACAGGCCGGGACGTACTGCGCACGTTGAGGCGCGCCTGGCCGCCTGGCCGCGTGGCGCTCGGCGGCGACACTTTCCGGCGACACGGATCCCGACCCGACCGCCGTGCCGCCGTGGCGGACGCCTCGTTATAAACAACGTGATGCCGACGTGGCGGCGCCTCCGGCCGCTTATTGATTTGCACGGCGCCGCGCTGCAAGGCCGCCGTCGATCACCATAATGCGCGCCAGCAGCCACCCCACTCGAAAGATGGGGCGCCGAAATTGGGAGCGAAATTCGTCATCTCGTCGTGTCAAATCGAATCCGCGAGACGCCGCGACGCCGTCGCCGCGCCTGCCACGCCGTCGTCGTGGCCTGGTGTGAGTGGCGGCCCGCGGTGGTGGCGACCGTGCCACGGCCAAGGCCACCCCGCCACCCGGCGCCTCTCGCGGCCTGCCCAGGGCCTGTCGCGGATTGTCTCACGCGGCCGTGGAAATGGCTTTAGCTCCAGCTCATCCACTCACTCGTCCTCGTCTACTACACTACACGCCCGCCACCCCAGCCAGAGCGCGCCGGATCAACAGGCGGAGGACTCAGCCCCGTGCCAAAGTGAGGGTGACCACCTAGCCCACAGGGGCCTGACAGATAGGCAGCACAACACAGCGGGTGAACCCCCTCAAGTTAGTGTGTGTCCGTGGGCCTACGTGTGCATCCCCAAGTCCCTGGCGGCCGCATAGGCCTTGGTGTGGGCGTCGGGGTCCGCCGGCACTGCCGCCACGGACGGCACGGGAAGCGAAAGGGGATCATGTAGCTGGCCAGGTTCCCTGGTCCGTGGTTCCCTTTCGTGTTGCGTGCTCGCCGCTCACTGTCACCGCCGATCTGGCCGAGGTGGGGGAGTGGCCAGTGGGCCAGCAGTGGCAGGCGCGAGGTCCTGGCCGTCCTGGCCGTCCTGGCGGCAAGTGTTGGGCCGAGGGGAGCGCAGGGGCCGGCGGGCGAGGGAGGGAAGGCCAGCTGATTGAGTTGAGTCTGGACCGCCAGCATCTAGTCGCGCTGAGTCCAAGTGCCGCGACGCCACGCCGCCACAGCGTCGCGGAGACCGTCGCGGAGACCGTCGCGGAGACCGTCGCAACGACGACGCCTCGCGTGTCCGCGCCGCGCCTCGCCGGCGGGCTGGGTCTCAGGACCCCAACAACCCCGACGTCCCCGACGACGGCGCCCCTCGGAGCACCGTGCGGGTGCGCGCCATGGACTCGGAGTGGCCGCCCTCAAGACCGCCCCCAGCACCGCCCTCAGCAGGGCAGCGCGGTGAGCAGCAGCGGTTGCACGCTGCGTCTAGGTGTGCGTGAGCGCGCGCGTGTTTGTGTTTTGGTGTTAGTGAATGTGCGCGTGCGCGTCCTACCGCAGGTCCAGGTCCCTAATCGCGTTGTCCGTGATGATTGGCAAGGAGTGGGGGAGGCGGGACGTTTGTGCCTCGCGCCGGTGTGTCGTGTGACTCGTGTGTGGCGGTCACCGCGGAGCGTCCCGCCGCCCTGCGCGGCTGGGCTTTCCGAGCTTTCGGCACATCGCGATGCCGTGCCAGCCGACCGCCGCGCACTGACGCCAGGCCGGGCCGGGCCCCCTCCGGTGCGCGCTGAGTGCTGCCCGCTGACGGCAGAGGAGGCCGAAGAGCACTCCACCCTCGCGCCTCTCTCGCGCCTCTCTCGCGCAGCGCAGGCCGCAGATTGACTTTCGGGCCCTCGTCCTTGTGTTGCTGAAGGCGAGCGGGCGAGTCGCTGGCCATCACCCTCCTCGTCGACGGGCCCCGGGCCCCGGGCAAGCGCACGGGGCGAGCCCTCCGCAACAACGCACAAAAACTTGTTTACAGCGAGTGCGGCGAAACACAGGGGAGGCTTGTGCTGTTTGCGGCTTTTGAACGGGTCGGCGCGAACGACGAGCGACTCCGGCTGCAGGCCGCTTCCGAGCCGCGCTTTGTCGCTCTGTCTCTCTCGCTCTCGTGGGACGTCGCGTAGGGGTGCGAGAGAGACAGAGCGACGCAAACACGGTACGAAATGGTTCTGCCGCCCGCGTCGCTGGCCGCGCGCCAAGCGGTCCGACAAAGGCGGTGCGGGCGGACACGGGGCGGACGGGCGGACGCGGCCATTCGAAGCAAAACAGACCGAACGGCCCGGCCTGGCGGTGGCGGCCTCGCCTCCTGCTCCCCGGCATGTTCCCCGGCGTCCCGGCGTCCCGGCGTTTTGCGCGTAACAACGCACTAAATGTCATTACACAATTTCGTCCCGGGATTGTTGCGGCTTGAAGCACTTCCGGCCGACGCACTACAATTTCGTTTCCATCTGACCTGACACTCGTTTCAAAGAGAGTACGCACCGTCACGGCCGGATGTGCTCAAAAATCGTAACCATTTCTGCTGGGGCAAAACCACAAAATCGGCAGTTCGGCCGGGCGAGCGCCTGGCAGGGTAGGCAATCTCGCCGCCGCGACGCACGGCCGCGCCGCGGGAATGCCTACCCTGCCTTTCGCAGGCGCTTTCCCCGGAGCCGAGCTGTCCGCCTGTCCCAGCGTCCCAACCGGCGAATCATCGACATTCAAAACGCCGCCCGCCCAAGACTGTCGTATCCGCCTCGTGGGAATGCGATGCCCCTCCCTGTCTTCGGGCTTGTACACGGCCCGAGTGTCCCGTGACCCCTGCCGCCCCTGGCCGTGGCGCGGGACTCTGACGCCGAGCGGCGCGCTTCCGGGGAAGTACCAGCATCACCTGCCTCGCGGGAGAAAGGTGGTGGGGAGGGGAGGCGGTGGGGAGAGCGCCGCGCCGCGCCGTGTTGGCCGTGTTGGCATTGGAGCCATTGGCACAGGCAAGCCAGTCGGTCCGGAGCGGAGCGCGAGAGCACGCGGGCCGAAACAAGCGTGGAGCACGGACTCGCGCGCGACGCCGTGGTGGTCGTGGTGGTCGTGGTGGCCGTGGTGAGGAGACGCCGCCGTCCCCCTCCTCCAGGGCCTCCTCCAGGTTCTCCTCCAGGGCCTCCAAGGCGCCTCGCCGGCCAGTGCCCGCCGTTCGCCGGGCCAGTCCGCACGTTCGCAGTGCGCCAGCCGCCGCGGCACCGCCAGTGAAAGTCGTCGGGCTCCAGCCCCGGAAGGAAGGCCGACGCGAACGCGGCCGCGGCGTGGGTTCGAGTCCCGGTGCCGGGGCTTGTTTATTTGTGCGGCGCGCGTGCCGGCGCTCTGGCCATGCCAGAGCGAGCCGCCGGCCGCACTGCCGGACAATGCTGCACGGCCGGGGCCCGTGCGACCGCCGCTCCGTGCTCAAGCTGCTCTTGAGCCTCATGAGCAAGCACGAGGGCCTGTGCCTGACCATGCTCGCCGTCGGCGCGGTCAAGAGCGGCCGTCGGGGACGCAAGTAGTGGAGGGTTTCGAAGACGTCGTTCCTCCGCGTCGTGTCAAAGTGCGCGCTCGCCGAGTAGCGATCCACGGCCTCGACGTCGAGCTCCGCCCTCGGCAGCGCCGGGACATGATTGCACAGGTGAGCAGGAAGAAATAGCATCCGCTTCGGGCTTCTAAATGGGTTTTAAAGCCTGCCGGCGTGCCGGCGTGCCGCGGGGTGGCGTTCTGACGCGCCGCGCTCGTATCCAAGAAATAAAACTAGTCATCTCTGGCGACAACTTGAGCCCCTGCGTCGCGAGCCGCCCCGCCCCGCCCGCGCCCCTAGCCCCCCACCTCCCCCACCGCCGCCGTGCTGTTTGATGCTCTTTAGCTGGCCGCTGGCTGCGGCTGCCGCCGCTGGCCGCGTCCCCGTCCCCGCTCCGTACGAGGCCCTCGATTAAGACCTGCTGACAGAAATATTGCACCCAAGCGTGCCGTCCGTGCCGTCCCGCCGTGTCGCGGCGCCCCTCCGCCGCGCCTCGCCGCCCCTCGCAGCCCCGTCGGGATGACGAGCAAGAAACGGGCGCGAAAATTTCAATAACAGCGCGAGGCGGTCTGCCATGCCGGCGGTTTTTCCCACTCGACCGAAATTACAGAGGGCTGGCCGCGACTACATGCTACACGTCGGCTGTCTGACAGTTGTCTGACTGAAGTCGCGCCGCGGCTGTCGCGGAATGGTGAGCCAGGAGCCGATTGGCGGGCTGGGGAACGCGGTGTGACTGCGTCCGCGGCGTCCGCGGCCTGACCCTCCCCGACGACGGCAGCTCCAAGGCTCGACGCCGCACCGCGCACCGCGCATTCCTCGACGGGGTCGTCGCGGAGTGCCCTTGGGGAAACGGAAGTCGAGTCGGAAGTCGGCGCGGCGTTTTCAGGCTTTGTTTCGCCCGGCGACATGTAAATCAGCCCCTTTGGCTTGGCGAGGCGAGCGCCGGAGAGAGAGTGAGAGAGGTTACACAAAACTGACGGCAACAACAGGAGTAACAAAGAGGGAGAGACGGTGCCCCAGTGACCGGGCAACCGGGCGTCGTAACGCAGTGACGCGACGCCAACCCGTCCTGCCCATATGTGCCTCACCTTGCCGTGCCGTGCCGTGCCGTGCCGTGCCTCCACGCACTGCAGTCTGGGGCCGGCGTTGGCCGGGGTGACCCTGCCGGCTGCTTTTGCTGTGGCTCAGTCTCCAGTTCGCCAACCTCGGTCCTCGGTGCGCGGCGTGGAGCGTGGGCCGGCATGGAGTCTGCAGCTGCAGCGATGTCGCGCCCGCCGAGAATGCGCCTCAGGTGTGTCTGTGTCCGTGTGTGAGTGTGTGTGTGTGTGAGTGTGAGTGCCCGTATGAGTGTGTAATCGGGCTCTAGTTTCGGCTGCCCGTCCTTGATGCCCGCTTCGCGCTGCTTGCCGCTGCTTCGCCAGTCGCCAGCCTCGTTTGGGACGGAGAAAGCGGATCCCCTCGCCCTGCGCCCCGCGGCCTGGGCCCTGGGCCTGGGCTTGGGGCCTGCGGGTCACAGCGTCGCCGCGGCCCCCGGCTGCCCCCGGCGGCCCTCCGCAGGTCTAGTCCTGGGAGTCCGTCCTGCCGGCCTGCCGGCCTGCCGGAAGGGGATCGGGAACGGGGAACAGCGAACGAGGAAGGGACAGCTGCGCTGCCGCCTCCCTCTCCGTCTGCAAAGTTCGGCCGCTTCGACAAAGAAAAGCACTCCAGATTAATCCGCGTCACGTTTCCCCGATGATGATTCCGGCCGCCTAGGCCAGCTTGGCGTCCCGACTGCCAGGCAACTTTGCCGCCTTCTTTATCACCCTCTCCCTTTTTCTTCCCATTTTCTGTCCTTATCTAATCGTTTTTGTTTCACCCGCGTCTGGAACACCGCCGGTTAGGTGGCGGTTGACGGAGACGGGTCGCGCAACCCCGCGTCCGTCGCCCCGCCGCGCTACCCGTAGCGCCCGTGGCGTGGCGGAGGCGAAGGACCCCCCGGCGTCGCCGTAGGGCGTCCCCAGGGCGTCGTCGCCGGGCTGGGGGGAAGTGAGGGGAAGGGGAAGCAGCGGTGCAGTAGCGCGCCGCTGCCGTTTTTTGGCGCTGCTTATGGTTTCTAGTTTCGCGCCGCCCCGGCACACTCGAGCCACTCAACCGCCACTTTGACCGCGGTCCAGTCTGCCAGTGTGTGTGTGCGTGTGTGTGCACTCCCAGATCGCCTTTCCTTTCGCCCGCTCGGATGACCGGGCCGCACCATGGCTCGACGGCGGTGCAGGGCCGCCCGTGCAGGCCGCCACGTCCTTCGTAGAGTCCTTCGCGGGCCTGCGGTTCTCTGAGGTTCCCTGCGGCCCGACCGCGCGCAGGAGGGCCCTGTTTAGCTGTTTAGCTGTTTAGCGGCGAAAGGAGAGGGGAACGACCGCACACAACAATGCGAAGGAGAGCGCCTTGTTTTTTAGGCAGGACACTCCCTTTTTCCCACGTGCATTGTGTTTATCTACGTGCGCGCGTATGTGTGTGTATGTGTGTGCGTGTGTGAGTGGGCAACGTGTGAGTGTACAGTGCGTGAGTAGTGAGTGACACATTCGTACATTTTCCCTGCTCCTTGCCCTCCCTTTTTCTTTCCTTCTCCTTCCCTTTCGTCTGTTTGCGTCAAATGATCTGAAATCGCCACCGGAGTGAGGCAACCGGATCCAATAGCAAAGAGAGCCCGGGGACTTTCTTGGCGGGCCCTGAGTCTTGTAGTGCGAAGCTTAGCCTGATCAATTTCCCCCTCCCCTGCCCTCCCCCAGCGGGGGGCAGGCGCCGGCCTTGGGGCCCTCGGCGATCCCGTCGGGACCTTGAACCCCTTGAACGTGAACGGCGGGACTCGCCTCAGCCGGCGTGTGAGTGTGACGTTCGACGCAAGCCGCCAAACCCCTTTGCCGGGACTGGCACGGACTAGCTGGACCTGTTGCCTTGCCGCGGGCCGCGCCAGCCAGGCACCGCCCTCGCCGAGCCGAGGCCCTCCGAGCCCTGCCGTCCTCCGGCAGCTAGCACACTGGTGAAAAACACGCCTGAATCATTAACCGATTTCACTTCCCATTTCCGGCGCCGTCGTTTTGGCGGGAAACTCGTTTCCCAGTTTCCGCCTCCCCCTCCCCCCTCGCCACCGTTGGCCTCTTATTGGTTTTATCTCCCGCGCCGCCCGCTCGCTGCCATGCGGTGCACTGTGCGCACTGCGCGTGCGGGCGGGAAAGTGAATCAAGCATTGGGTGCGTGTGTGTAAGCGCGCGTGCGAGTGTGCGTGTGCTCTCGTATCCTCTGAGGAGCAAAAATTGGCTGCTTAACACAATCTTGGGGAGGGGGTGAAGGGGTGGGTTGGAGGGGGAGGCAATTGGATTGCCGGCGGCGAGGTAATGGGGTGGCACGGTCCTGGCCCTGCGCGCCACTGCGCGGTGGGGCGCTGGCCGAGTCCGAGACGGCGAAGGGGGACGCACGGTATGAGCTCCAGACGGGCCATTTCCGCGTCCGTCGGGAAAGCGTGCGCCCCTTCCGCCGCCCGTCCTCGAAGAGGGACAGTAACTCGAAGCAACTCGCAGCAACCCGCACAATCATGAGCGCGCCCTTTCTAAGAAACCATCAGAAACCGGAAGGAAATCGAGGAATCACGAATCAGCAAACACTTTGAGTTGACGGCCCCTCGACCTTCGACCTTGACTCTGTCTCTCTCGCTCCTTCCTGCCGCGCGGCCATCAGTGGTGCGGTATACAAATGCCGGCTCGAAGCCGCGCTCAAACCGAATGTCCACTGGTGGCGGTCCGCACGCGCGCCAAATGAGTCCACCTCCACTGACATTGACACCGCCGTGCTCGCGGCCGTCCTAACAACGCCCCGTCTGTTGCAGCCGCGGCTCGCGTAGAATGACCCAGTCGCGCGAGGCGCTGACCATCATGGCGGAGTCCGGCCCCACGTTCAGCAAGGCGGGCACGCTGTCGGTGCCGCGCTGGGCCGCCCTGCTGGTGGCGGCCGTCTTCGTCGCCATCCTGGTGGCCACCGGCCTGGCCGTCTACTCGCTCACGGCCTGCCCCGCCCCCGCAGCGACGGCCCCCGCGGCGGGCACGGCGGACGCGGCGGCCAGGGGCGAGGACAAGGCCGTGGACAGGATCGACGTGCGTCTGCCCAGGAGTGTCCATCCCATCGCCTACGAGATAAGGCTGCTGCCCTTCCTCCAGGTCAGTGTGCCAACGAAGCCAACGCCACGCCGCGGCCAGGTCACTGCAGGTCGCTGCAAGGTCACTGCAAGGTCACGGCAGCCCCCGTCAAGGCGACGGCGAGGCCACCGCGACCCTGCAAGGCCACCGCGAGGCCAGCGGCGTGGACATGGCGCGTGCACTGTACACATTTATTGTTCTGCTGACCTTCTCTCCTTTCGTCCTGCGATTATGAATAATACTCGACGCTTCCTGTGGGTGTCCGTGGTGTGTGTCCCCATGCAGGGCAACTTCTCGTTCCGGGGCGAGGTGGCCATCACGATGAACGTGACGGAGCCCACCAACAACGTGACGCTGCACGCGCTGGACCTGGCCGTGGACGAGCGCTCCGTGTCGCTGACGCGCCAGGACGGCGTCGGCGACGGCGCCGCGTCCACGGGCGTGCCCATCAGCGGCCACCGGCGCGACCGGCGCCGCCAGTTCCACGTCATCCAGACCAGGATGCAGCTGCAGCCCGGCACCTACCGGGTCAGGATCAAGTTCACGGGCGTGCTGGGCGACGACCTGCAGGGCTTCTACCGCAGCTCCTACGTGGAGAAGAACGTGACGAGGTGCTGTGCGCTGGACGAGGCGAGATGACCTTTGGCACCGACGGTCTGACTTGAATGTTTCGTTTGTCGCCAGGTGGGTGGCGGTCACGCAGTTCCAGTCCACGGACGCGCGCCGCGCGTTCCCCTGCTTCGACGAGCCGGCGCTCAAGGCGCGCTTCAAGCTGCACCTGGGCCGGCCCAAGAACATGACGACCGTCTCCAACATGCCGCAGAGCAGCGCCTCCACGCCGGTGTGAGTAGCCTAGCCCGCCGAAGTCATGGCGGCCCGGAGAAGGCCTCCGAGTGAGTGCGTGTTGCTTGACTGCAGGGACGGCGTGCCGGGCTACGTGTGGGACCACTACCAGGAGTCGGTGCCCATGTCCACGTACCTGGTGGCCTTCGCCGTCACGGACTTCGCCACCCTCCGCAACGGCTCGTTCACGGTGTGGGCGCGCCGCGACGCGCTGCAGCAGGCGCGCTACGCCCTCCAGATCGGCCCCCGGGTGCTCAACTACCTCGAGAAGTACTTCAACATCCCGTACCCGCTGCCCAAGATGGACATGATGGCGCTGCCCGACCTGGCGGCCGGCGCCATGGAGAACTGGGGGCTCATCACGTACCGGGAGATGGCCATGCTGTACCAGGAGGGCGTGTCCACCACCAGCAACAAGCAGCAGGTCGCCACCGTGGTGTCGCACGAGCTGGCGCACCAGTGGTTCGGCAACCTGGTCACGCCGTCCTGGTGGTCCGACCTGTGGCTCAACGAGGGCTTCGCCAGCTACGTCGAGTACCTCGGCGTGGACGCGGTGAGTCGCCGTCGCGGTCGCCGTGCGTCCCGTAAATGAGCAACGACTTGATGTGCGTGCGCTTGCAGGTGGAGCCGGACTGGCTCATCCTGGAGCAGTTCGTGGTGAGCGAGGTGCAGATGGTGTTCGGGCTGGACGCCCTGCAGTCCTCCCACCCCGTGTCCATCGAGGTGTTCAACCCGGACGAGATCAACGAGATCTTCGACCGCATTTCCTACGGCAAGGGTGAGTAGCAGTTCGGGGCGAACGCGTTGCCAGATCGATCATCCCCTCACGCCACTCACGACCCCGACTTGCAGGCGCGTCCATCATCCGCATGATGGACCACTTCCTCACCACCAAGGTGTTCACGTCGGGGCTGACGGGCTACCTGCGCGGCCGCTCCTACTCGTCGGCCACGCAGAACAACCTGTGGGACGCGCTGACGGCGCAGGCGCATAGCGACCACGCTCTGCCCCTCGACGTCACCGTCAGGGACATCATGGACACGTGGACGCTGCAGACGGGCTACCCGGTCGTGACCGTCACCAGGGACTACGGCACGGGCAGCGCGCGCGTGGAGCAGCGCCGCTTCGAGCTGCGGCCCAACTCCTCGGACGCGGAGCCGCTCTGGTGAGGACGCCGTCAACGCGCGGCACGGGTCGTTGCGGCCGCCTTTTGCTCACGCTTTGCCTTGGTGCTGTAGGTGGGTGCCGATCACGTTCACGACGCAGGCCGTGGCCGACTTCGCCACCACCAAGCCCAGTCACTGGCTGCGGCGGCAGCGCTCCACCACCCTGGACCTGGGCGCGCGCGCCGGCGAGTGGGTCGTCTTCAACATCCAGGAGACGGGCTTCTACCGCGTCAACTACGACACGCAGAACTGGCGGCTGCTGGGCGCCGCGCTCCGCGACCAGCACTCTCTGGCCGTGATCGCCGCCACGAACCGCGCCCAGCTCGTGGACGACGCCCTCAACCTGGCGCGCGCCGGCGTGCTGGACTACGGCGTGGCCCTGGACATGACGCGCTACCTGCGCCTCGAGACGGCCTACCTGCCCTGGAAGGCCGCGCTCAACGCGCTCGGCTACATCGACAGCATGCTCGTGGACAGCGGCCACTACGACAAGTTCAAGGTGCGTGCGCGCGCGCCGTCCTCGCCGACGTGAACCACCAAAGGGTGGCATTATCCCGTTTCTTCCCGCAGGCCTACATGATGGACCTGATGCTGCCGCTGTACGAGTCGGTGGGCCTGGAGGAGCACCCCAACGACCCGCTGCTCAAGGTGCTCACCAGGGTGTCCCTCATGTCCTGGACCTGCAACTTCGGACACGAGCCGTGCGTCAACGCGGCCTTCGACATGTTCTCCCGGTGGCGCAACGCCACGGACCCGGACAGGGAAAACCCGTAAGCGAGCGGGCTGTGGCGCTGTGGGGCTTAGGAGGTGCATGCGAATGGATGGGTCTGATGGTGTGGTTGCGCAGGATCCCCGCCAACCTGAAGCCCGTGGTGTACTGCACGGCGCTGCGCAAGGGCGGCCAGGCCGAGTGGGACTTCGCGTGGCAGCGCTACCTGCGCACCAACGCCGCCTCCGAGAAGGACCTGCTGCTGAACGCGCTGGGCTGCACGCGCGAGACGTGGATCCTGAGCCGCTTCCTGGAGCGCGGCATGACGGACAACTCGGGCATCCGCAAGCAGGACGTGGCGCGCGTCTTCAGCTCCGTGTCGGGCAGTGTGGTGGGCCAGCCGCTCGCCGTGCGCTACCTGCGCGACAAGTGGGACCGCGTGCTGCAGTAGTGAGTACTGGGGGTGTTGGGGGTGTTTGGGGGGCGGCGCGTTGCTGCCGACGGTTCTCTTGACACGCGTCCTCGGTTGCAGCCTCGGATCGTCCATGTTCATGATCAACAACATCGTCCGGAGCACGTTCAAGCGGATCAACAGCAAGTACGAGTTGATGGACGTAAGTCATCCTGGTCTGGCTTTGTTTGCACCGTGGCAGTCCCTGTGGAAAAACCCAAACATGTGTCCTCTTGGTGTTCATGCAGCTGAAGCGCTTCGCCGAGGACAACAAGAAGGAGCTGGGCACCGCCGCGCGCCAGGTGCTGCAGTCCATCGAGCAGGCCGAGGCCAACATCGAGTGGATGGACAAGAATTTCGACACGATCGTGTGGTGGCTGGGGAACGCCACAGTGCGCCCCAGCAGCTAGTCTCTCTCCTGAAGGGCGAACCATTTCAGGGATTAGTGTAGGGGGCCGTATTTGGGGAAAGGCGAGGAGTAACGAAAGACATTATTTAATTTCTGAATTTTGTTGCCCATTTGCGACTCTCAGCGTTTATGAGATGGTTCCTCCAAGGTAACATATTGTTATGATGCAAAGCTTGCTCCGCGAAAACAAATTCTCAAATCGATCCGATTTTTATTTTCCAATGTCGAACAGGGAAGTTGCTTTTCGGGTGACTCCACGCGCTTGGTCTATGCTTATGTGGTTCATAGTTGAAGAAAACCGAAAATCTCTCCTCGAGTAGTTGGTTCTGATGTGTTTAGTTCGTGTTCTTGGACTGAGGCTATTAGGTAGCCTGCGTGCGATCCGGTAAAAAATTAAGTCAAATAGAAAATCTGGCTAGAAAGACCGTGGTTTTGGTCAGTGTGTAGTAGTCTACGTACCCCATCTCACTCGCAACCCAGCCACTGTCGAGGGAACTCCCAAGAGGCCGTGTCTTGAATACCAGTGAAAACTTATCCTTGCCTTAGACGATCAAGCGTAGGGTAGTTCCCGCTGGCAATGGGACTACATGCGTTTGTGCAATTTTGTCGTATGTTTTTTTCAATGCGCCGAACGGACGCACGATCTAGAAGGCAGATGGCGAGTGACAGACGAAATGAAATTGTTGTGTAGTTTACCAAAGTGTTCTTAATTGTGTGCTAATCCTATTATGTTCAGAGCTGTAAATAAGTGGCGTAATTTAATTGTAAATAAGACTCACTGTCGTTTAGGAATCTGTCAATTGACCCACCTAATCTCGTAAATTAAGAGTTAGCTGTGAATATATCACATTATTATAGCGATACCGTTGTGAGACTATCAATTATGTAATATTTTGCCATTTTAAAAACTACTAGTGCAATTATACTTCTTAGTAATTTACGACTATTTATTGAATCGTAGTACATGTAAATCAGTAGTTTCGCCAATTTAGAAAATACAAATAAATCTGTAAAAGTACAAACAATGGCTTCTTTTGAACCCCTGCTTCCTTTTCGGTGGTCTCACTGAATGGTGCGCGACTCACACATACTAACGCAAGAGAGCAAGCACGCGTAGAATCGCGTGGAATGACAGCGGTTTGACTTTGGCGCCGTTTGCAACACGCGGACTAGGACTACCTAGCCTCGTCGCAGGAACCGACGTTCCAATCGGAATGTGAATAAGTTTCGTCCCTCCCCTCCCCTCCCCTCGCCCTCCCTTTCCCCCGCCTCCCGTCGTCTCCCCCCTTTCCACTCACCCCCTTTACTTCAAACCAAAACAACTCGCTCAAATGCTTAAATTCGCGGATCAATGTCGGGGCTTCTTGATAATGTTTTGCTGAAGTCAGCTTTAGCCGCTTCACCATAGCATCTCGATTTATAATATGAATACATGGAAGGTCATACAACGAAAAATATACGACCTTCTGTCTCACAAGTATTTTCTTTTAGTGCTATTTCCCTGTCTTGCTTTGACGGTTCTTGTGTTATCTCTAATCCAAGCTGGAGAGGTTAGTAATTTTTACTTCTGTGTACTCCTCGTCGGCCTCAGTAGACTGTCTTGCCACGTATTTTACTCACTTCTGTTGTGTGTTAACCATGCAATTTTCATCAACTTCATCACTTTAAATTTTATTAAGTTCAAGTCATTACTTAATTTGGCTCTGATATTTTATTTTTTTTACTGTTTTTCGATGGCACTCTCTTTTACTTACAGGTTTGGAATATATGGTTGGAGAACAGGCAACATGGGAGCCACACATCAAATTTAGTGAGGTATTCATTCCATCCTGGGACTTAAGGTGTCTGCTGTCAATATTATGAAAACTTGATTTGATTTCCTTTTATGACCTTTATAGATCTTGTTCAGATGGGATAGAGATTGATGTAGTTTATACATGGGTAAATGGATCAGATCCCTTTCTTATTGATGACCTCAAAGTGTACAAAGATGAAAATGAGGAAATTGAGCGATGGGCTGTCTGTCCTTACCCAGACTGTGAACCTTCACACATTGTTCTGTACAGGTAAAAAGTTTGTTTCTTCCATGTATGCATATTGCTAATACATTTCAGAAATTCTCATGTTTTTAAACCTTTGAGTGAAAATCAGGATTAAAATTTATGTTCACTTTTACAGAAGCTGTGATCAAATATCGGGGCAACTGGTTGACCGGTTACCAGCAAAACACAAAATAGAAACTGGTCCAACTTCCTTAAATCTAGCTTCTGCTTCACTTTGTAAAAATGATACTTCAAATCTTATCTACTTTTCAACGATAGAAGATGCTTCAAAAGTGCTCTCACTGAAAAGAGTGAATGGAACTCTCTCTCAAGGCTTCTGGACAACAGGTAAAACTTGATTGCTTTTCATTTTTGTTTTATTTTTCAAATCTCCATAAAATGTTTGTGCTTTCTCTTTCAGAACATAAACTCAAAGACAGTCTGCCAGCTCCAGAATGGATCCGCCTGTCTGGATTGGTACCCAAATTCTTTTCTTTGCCTGTTAATGTTATGAAAAAAATGCTATCGAAACACATTCATTTTAGTATTTTAGAAATTTGGCCAAATGCTGAGCATAGTTTTGTCATTCTCAAGCTACCATCATCTCAAGCAGTTGATCAAATTCTACTGGTGAGAAATTTGATTTATTATTACTCCTTAGATTAATCAATCAATCTCCATATAAGTGTATTTTTATTGTTTTTTGTTTCCATAGAAATCAAGAGTGTTAAGCCTAGCAGGCGATTTAGTGGTAGTTTCCAGAATATCAGTAGTTTTCAATACTCCTCTAAAAAGTCGATTTGATCACTATGCACCCTCAAGATTTGAAGACAAAGAAGTAAGAAACCTTGTCGTAATGTAATATTAAATGTTGATTCCTTTCTAGTGGCTATCTTACAACATTTACATCTCTAAAATTTTTATTCAGGAATTACGATACTCTTTGCGGTCTCTTGAAAAACATGCTCCATGGATTCGCCATGTGTATCTTGTCACTAATGGACAAATACCTCATTGGCTTGATTTGGACAATCCTCGAATTACATTGGTTACCCATAAAGATATTTTCCCCAATCAGAGCCATCTTCCAACTTTCAGTAGTCCAGCCATTGAGTCGCATTTGCACAGGTATTTTTCTGACTTCTTTTGTACCTTTTCTCCACTTTTAAAATTTATAATTTTAAAACTTGTTTTGAAATCTACTTTCTAGAATAAGAGGCCTTTCAAGCAAGTTTCTGTATTTAAATGATGATATCATGTTCACCCAAAATGTGTGGCCTGAGGATTTTTTCACAAATTCCAAAGGATATAAGGTAGCTGTTATACTATTGTAGTAGAGATTTGTAATTGTTTTTCATGTCAAGATTTCTTTTATCACATCTTCTCCAGGTGTATCTTTCCTGGCCGGTTCCAGACTGCAGCCCAACCTGTTTGTGGTCGTGGGTAGCTGATGGCTCCTGTGACTCCGAATGTAATGTTGTAGAATGTGGTTTTGACGGAGGGGACTGCAATGAAACTGATAGCTCACCAAATTCATTGAAGGTAAGATTTTGTATCTTCTACAACTTTTGGGTTTTGTTTTGTTTAAATAACCAAATATCTTGTTCTCAGCTCCGAATGCCAAGAGATGAATTCTCAGTATATGATGATCTATATGACTTAGGTTTTGAAAACACTGATCAATTATTGAGGGATATGGCAGATACAAACTTTAACAATTTGCAACCTCCACCTCCTGGATTTTCCCAAGATGATTTAAAGGGTAGGCTGAAAAAGGCTGCGTTGGAAATTAAAGAAGAGGATGATCACTTGATAAAGCCTCGTGAGCCCTTTGGGGACTATGACAATATGAATTATGGGGTACGTCAGAAGAGAGCTGCTGTGAAGAAAAATTTGGGAAGCCATAGTTATCGAGAAAGCAGCATGATTGCAGGCCAAGCAGCAGATTTCCCAGGCGCAGTGACAATTTCTGAAAGTGAAATTAATGAAGCCCTCCTCAATGCCAAAAAACCTAAAGAAGCTGAACGACCCCGCCACCGATCCCCATTCCCTCAAATGGAAATGAACGAAACTCTCATTTTTAGAAGTGGAAACTTTCAAGAGAATGGAATAGAACAGATTGTTGTTGACCATGGACAAAACGCCTCATTTATAGAAAATGGGACTGAGCGCAAACCAAGACCATCATTTAAAGGCGGCTTTTGGAATCAAAAGTTGATGAGAAACAGTAGCTTTAATCAGCCTTCAAACTTAATTGCAGGTAAACATAGAACAGGCCCCATTACAGCGAAAGTGCATAGCAGTGTTGTTGTGAATGCAAGCACACCTAAAGTTTTACCCAAGAGAGGGAATGGTGGCAAAGGTTACTCTCAAGTATATAATTTAACCAGGGCAAAGCAACTTCTCCACAGCCAAATGGAACATGACCTGAATGAGTCTGCAGATCAAACATTAATGGAGAAAGGTATTTAAAGTAAAGAGCATTGTCTTCACGAAGCAGTTGTGTTTGGCCCTTTGCATGTTGGTTCCTGAATTTATTATAATGCTTATGTTTCAGAGAATCAAAGGCAAATATGGTATGGAAAATCAAAGCATCGGATTCTCGATTCTTTTGCAGAAAGCCTTTTATACGTCAATATGATGTATAATAAAGAATATGGATTTGAAACAAGACGCGTGCCTGCTCATGCCCCTCATCTAATTGAAAAACACATCATGAGCGAACTTCAGGAGCGGTAATGCCTTATTTCAAAGTTATACTGTGTTCAAAATTCTCAATATTTAAGTTTTATGTGGAATGTTTGTATGCAAACTTTTGAAATTGTAGACTTTAGAATGTTCTATTATATGTTATAGATTTCCAAGAGAATGGGATGAAACTTCGTCTCACAAATTGCGAAGTCCAGTGGATATGCAGTTTGCATTTTCATATTTTTATTTCCTTATGAGTGAAGAGGTAGATGTCACTGTTGAGGAACTCTTCAAATCTTATGATACAGATCAATCTGGGTAAATTTATTTATCTCTAGCATTGCATCAGGAGGCCTAGAATACTGTTGGATATTATAATATCCTCCTATCTGTTATTTTCAGGACATGGTCTGATAGAGAAATTCGCACTCTGATGACAAGGTTGTACCCAGCACCTTTAAATCCTCATCACCTCTTACAATTTGAAGATTTTGTGCTTAATTGTGCGCGGAAAATGCCATCCACAGAAGCTACACCCACAAATGTTCTTACACCAATGTATGAAAGATACCAAGATTCACCCCTTGTAAGTTTCCATTCCAATGAAAAGAACCAAGCCTTCATGCGCACTGTAGAGTAAAGTTTAATGAATTAAATTAATTTCTGGTAACTTTTTTTGCAGCCAACTGTTACATGGGAATTGGTAAACAGTTGCTCTGAATTAAAAAAGATCATGTTAACAAACCTAGGGAAGAGAAAGAAATATTCTTATGAAGTGGTGAGAGAATGGAGTAAAGATGTTACTTTTAAGATGCTTCATTCCAATGTGTCACATCTTGTTGGTCATTTGGATGACATTCGCCGAAACCCAAAGTAAGACTCAATACAAACTATTTTTTTCTTTAAATATTATATTTTAATTATCACTTAATAAATTGTTCCTTTCAACAGGAAATTTGTCTGTTTAAATGACAATTTAGATCCAAAGCAAGAAGATGAGAATGCTATGGTTCGCGCTGTTTTGCGGGACTTTTATCATTCTTTTTTCCCTTTGCCCTCTCAATTTGAGCTTCCTCTTGATATGCGCAATCGTTTTCTGCATGTGTCAGAATTAGAGGGATGGAAAGAAAGCAGAGCTAAATTACGAGTTGCTGCCATTCTTGCTGTCATTACTCTGTGTCTTCTCACTTTTGCAGTGGTTTGTCCAGATGAGGTAAGTATGGCTGCTCACTTCTTTTACTTTGTTTTACATCTGTTGGGCTGAAAGTTACTGTTTTCCTTTAATCAGCTTCGCCATTATAGCCGACGAATATTTGAGTTGTCTTTCTGTCTTCAACGGCGACGTATAAGTAGAACCAGGTGTAAAAGTCGCAGCCCTGTGCGTACACCAAGCGGTTCACGCTCTGTCTGAAATCCTACAACATGTCAAGATTGGATGGATGCTACCTCCATTACCTCTCCAGTTGTGAGAGGTAACAATAACTCTTCATCATTGAACATGCATTTTTAAAATTGCTGTTTTTTTTGTTGTTTTTTTATAAATTGAAACATTTAACTGTTGTTAATGTGTAGGCCTTAGAAGTATATTTTGTACCCGTTTAAAAATAATATCAAAGCAGGTTTTAAAAAGTAAATTGTCTTAACTAATTGATATTTTTATCAAGTTCTTGTGATATGTCATTTTGGTGAGTAGCTCCGGCAGTTTGTAATAGTGGGTCCCGCCTATAGCGTTGCGGCTGTCTTGCACAGTTTAACAACGTTTTAAACGCGAAACGTTTTAAGCGGTAAAAGGATAAACGCGATTTTTGACTCGAGAATTCAGTTTTACAACGTTATATTCAGGAAACGTTACATGCGGGTAACGTTATGAGCGGGATCCACTATATGCATTCTTCTGATTTGTGGGAAGTGGGAGCTGAATGTCTTCTCCACTTCCAGCAACTAAAGATATGATGCTCTTTCTTTTCGAGTAATTGTCTTTAGGTTTCTTCTTAGTTTTAAAATAATCTGGTCTGAATTGCATTTATTTCTAATTATTTGACTTGCTTCAAAACGATTACCGTTTATCATCTAAGCCATCCATTTGAATAATGTTTTAATTGCTCACCAGTTTGTGATATGAAATGTTGTCTTTCTGTCTTGGTTTCTTCTGGTCTCATCTAATTCTGGTTTTAAAGCTAAGGGTATTGATACTCTTTGCAGGGATAGGCTTAGTATGAACTTTTTGAGCATCTTATGGTTTCTTCTTCATATCAGTATCATACATTTCAATTATTATAATGTAACCCTTTATTTTTGTTGTTATGCGGAAAATCTTTTTGTGATCTTTTAATTAAGAAAAAGTTGCTAATCTTGTTTCTCTGAACAAAAAAAAAAGCAATAGCCATTCTATTTGAAATTCTGAAATTCCTTAATGTGAATTGACGATGGATGAATGTTATTGTAAGAAGCTCTTTCTGCTGTAACTGATGTATCTGAAGACTGAATCAAAATTCAGGGCACAGACTAAAAATTCTCTTTTATACACTGTCAGTTGTGAATGTTCCTATTGTATTGTTTTTAGCTATTACACGGTTCTTTTCATGCATGATCAGGGAACTGTCGAAGTGTCCAATCTGTGATAAATGTGGCCCTGCTCAACAACATAGTCAACATTTCTCTTCTTTCTTCCAAATTGTCTGACTTGAAATGAAACTCAAGTTAGTGGCTCGCTCCTTAGTCATTGCATTTCTCATTACATAATTAAAGGGTGAAGTTCTCTATATTTTGTCTAGTATGAATCAGCTTCTGCTTTCTTAAATTTTGTTTTACATGTGTAGTATGCTTTGCGTGTATATTCAAGATCTGAATTAACTGAATAGGGCGTTTTCAGTTGTCATGGTTCTTTATGAAAGCCATTATTGATACTAGTCTTACTGTATATTGTTGTTAAATTCTAGTTTAGTCATGGAAACAATTTATGTGCTTTTGAACAACGCAAACCAAAGCTTTATTTTAATAATTTTTTTATCTTTAGTTTTTTACCTTATTGCTGTGCCACCCTTTGGTGTATATGGTTCCTAGTCACCAGATTGCCCATCCTACAAGTGGAATGTTTTTGATTCCTTGAAAGCCTACAATTAACTGTAGGTGAGAAGCATCGAAGTGCATCCTCATTGCTTGTAACAAAGGAAATAAAAGAAAATAGAGGAACTGTGAGTTCAATCTGTGCACTTTTTCCTTCAAATCCTGTCTCAACATAGTGACACCACAAAGATAGTTTGGGAAGGGAAGTAATGTGGACGATTCAGAACAGAAAGCTAATTCACTTCTATATTTTATTGCGGCATTGGACTTTTAACAGATTGCAGATTCAGACTTATCACTGACAGGTGTATAGTGCCCATGCTTACACCTCCAATAAAATGATACACACAACTAGACTCCTATGAGGAGCACCTCTGTATGACTTTTAAGTGAACAAATAATACACTGTCTTTCCTTTGGCACATGTTCATACATTTCAATATAAATTGCTGATAAGATAGTTCAATAAAGCAAGTTGCAGACCAATAAATGGTCAACTAAAAATTAGCGTATAAAACTAGTCTCAAATCAGAAGGCTGCACTGAACTTTCTTTTGCCCTTCATCAAGGGCAATGAAGCAATTGTCTTTTTGAGAACAGTATCAAACGTAAAATTTAAATCAAGGCGTAACAATGAGAGGAATAGTATCATTTGGCTGTTAAATCAGTATTATTTTGTACTTCAACCTACAAAATCAAACACATAATGATGCCATACTCCAGTATAATAAATAAAGATTTTTCACACTATTTACACTTAGAAATCTTGTACTATCATGACAATCCTACAGTTCTCAAGCTAGTTCAAGTTTGAGATTTTGCAAGATAACAAATCAAAATTAGAACAAAAAAATGACAAATTAGAATATCAGGTGCCACTTCACTTACATCCTGGATAAACAAAGGGGCACATACTTCATGATTCAACAAAAAATGTTTAAAAACTATTAAAATGGGAACAAAAACAAATTTGTAAAAATAAAGGTAACATTTGATGTTAAACATCCAACAAAATGAGCCAGATTGCAAAATCTTACAGGTTTCAGAGAGGGAAAAAATTGGTGGCATTTCATTACAACAAAGAGACCTTAAAGTAAAGCAACCATCTATCATAATCACAAGGGAACATAAAAAAATATCTTAAGTTAAAAAATATTATTGAGGGTTTTCTTATCTTGCACAAAATAAGTGAGTACAGTACAACAAAATTTCACACCGGCTGAAAGGATAGAGTCTTAGAAAGGTACTGTCTGACCATGATTTGGTCTCACAAAATTCACATGGAACACAAAAATTCTTGATCTAGAAAATGTAAAACCACAAATTTATCTTTAATCATGGTTGTTTCTTGAAAATGGCCAGTGTGATCTTATAGTCCCAGAGTTGGGTCGAGGTTTACTATTGGAGTGTGACCTTTCTCGGAATGTTGGAGAAGATGAAGATGATGCACAGGAGCTAAGGCTTGAAGCAGGAGTGAGCCCAAAAATATCTTGGACAGTGGGCCTGTGGTTGGCGAATTCAGTTTGAACTGATTCTGTGGAAATGAGACAATTAAAGTCAGAATCCCATTTCAATTTTGAAAATAAGTACAATCAATTACTGATTTAGTAATAAACTTGCCTATTAATGGTGTTTCATCATAGAGAGAACCTTGACGTAACTGCCTCACAAAATTACGGTTGGAACCAGGGGACTGTATTTCCATCTTTTCTAGTGCAGCTTGTTTCCATCTATATTTTCATAAACAAAGAGTAAAATTGAAACAAATGTAAAAAGAAATTAGGGTAATAAAATTAACAAAGATAATCAAACCCATACAGATAAATAAACAAATCACAAACCTGAGGTGATCTTTGCTATGCTGAGTGAGATTTCGAATCCATTTGTGCTGTTCCTCCGCAGAACCAGCTTTGAGGATAACAACATTGTCACATCCTTCAATAACATTGGAAATTAAGATTTCTCGAGAACCGCTTTTACCAGGCTGAATCAAAGTGTCCTGCAAAAATAACACAAAAATTTACAAATGGGATTGAGTTAACTTAATTTTGAAATAAGAAGTGATTACTTAGTTGACACTTGATGATTATCAGAAGATTCTTACTCTATCTACAGTAACAGTCTTTGCAGGCTTCTTGGCTGCTTCCTTATCATTTAATGATCTCCACAGATCAAGGCGGAAGGCTTGCAAGGCCCCATGCATCTGCGTCCAGACACCGGATGATTCCAGGAGAAGAGCGTTGCCACTGTAAGCCTCTCTTGAGACACAATCTGGTTGAGCAGCAAGACGACAGCAAAAGTGACCGAAGAGGGGCAGTTGGTGGCTTCGGGGCTCTGATAATGTAAAAAGTAAATTGAGTATGCAGTTCCAATATAGATGGTTAATTTAATCATTTTGTGTAAGTGAAGGGAAGGCTACCCACCAACGTTCTCAAGTTGAAGATCATGGGTGTGCACACTATCACCCACATCATCTAATGAAAGGTGCGCTGAGGCCATCAGCTCAAAGTTAGGTCCACTGTTAACAAAAATTAGAAAAATAATGTTGGATTTGGGGTTGTCTGTAAAAACAAGAGGGATAACAAGAGGAACACTTACATTCTACCAGTATTAAGTTCATCTCTGAGAGAGGCAGCCAACTTTTTCCCTACTGTGCGGCTGATGGAGGAATGGATTGAACGCTTGATTTTGTGAGGAGTAGAAGCTATGCTCATGTCATCCTGCATAACATGCCCCCAAATTTCCAAGCGAAGCTCAAAATCAGTTGGGACATTATTACTGAAAAAAATAAAGTGAAAAGTAAGGACTTGAAAGAATCTTTCAAATAGAGAGAAGCAAACGAACGGCCAAGGCAGTTCCATCCAAAAGATTACTCACAAAACATGGACATCTGGGTAGGTGAGGTCAGTGAGCGACCGGTCGACCGGGCAAAGGAGAGTGGAGTCCAAAATCTGGGTGCCGATCCGCGTCAGGACGAACACGGCAAACCGACGGTGGTCTCCCTTGTTTTTGAAGTGGTCCGTGTCCCTCCACATGAGAGGCATCCTCAGGTCCGAGACGGAGACCCGCGCCGTGCTGGGTGTCGACTGGCTGCAGCATCACCCGCGGACCGGGAAAACAGAACACAGAATCGTTAGCACCGTTTGAGACCCACGGCATGCCAGCAACCCGCTTTCTACCCTCCGGTTGGGGGCGAGAGAGACAATCCACCCCGCCAAGGGTCACTGCTTCCGTTCGGATTCCACTCCAACAGCCATTCCCATTTTCATTTTCTATTTCGGTTGGCCCAGCCAGGGCCCAGGTTGCGCTGTCTCCTTCGCACTGCACCGCCGCTCCGCTGCCACTACACTGCCACACCGCGGCCGCGCCGGAAGGGTGTCCTGTCTATTTGTGAACGTCAGTGGCAAAGAGCCCTCTCTCTCTTCCTCTCCGTTCGGGAAATGCCCCGCGAACCCGCAGCTGTTCCAGCTTCACCTGAGTAGGCAGATGAAGGACTTCTGGTTCCCCATTCATTTGTCGCACCGTTTCCTGCGCGATTTTCACGGCACGTATCAGAATCTACCTGCCTGCATTTCAGTCAGCAGAGCGCGACTGGGCAGCGCACGGGATTCGTGACGGTCAATGAAAGTGAGGGTAACAACTAACAAACAAAACCAAGGCACCGCGCAGCGCAAAGCGCCCCCACCCCTTGTAAATCTTCATTGAAAAAGCCTCTCCTCTCGATGGCGATGGCGGCGATGCTCACCTGAGCGTCCTGGCGGGGGCCCTGCGGCGGCGCTGCAGCTCGGCCATGTAGGCGGACATGCGCTCGTTGGAGGTGTGCAGCGACTTGGCCGCCTCCAGGGTCTGCGTCTGGTGGCGGCACGCGGCCAGCAGCCGGGTGGTGCCCTCGCGCATCCGGATCTCCACATCGATCTTCTGCTCCAGGTCCAGCTCCTGCGGGCACACAAACAAAAGCACGCCGTCAGCGACTTCACGGCAGAGTACTGCGCGTCGCGGCACGGCGACACCTGCCGCGGAAGGAGAGGAGGAACATGTGGGGGACACGACATCGGGTGGCGGACAGTGGCCCAAAGAGAAGCGCCGCGCCGCCGAGGAAGAGACGACCCACCCAGCCAGCCGCCGCGGCTCGGGGTCTATCTTCTATCCTCCTCCTCGCGACGAGCCAGAGCCAATTCCAGAGGCAAGGTGAAAGGGAGAGGGAGGGGGGCAACCGGACGGCCATGCCCGCCATGCCGATGTGGTGACTAGAACAACCAGCCGCCAGTTGGCAGTACCCTGTCGCGAAGCGCCAAGCTCGCACGTGGTGAACGCGGCAGCAGGACTGCGTTCGGAGGACGAGATACTTGGACTGGAATCCAGTCTTCGTTATCACAAGGCTCTTCGCGCGAGCCTGCAGTCTGAAACGCCCACCCACCCCAAAGTCAAGTCATGTTGTTGTTGTTGTTGTTGTTGTTCTGCCCGGCAGCACCGTGTGCCCGGGACGGCGGCGACGGCACGGCGTGGGTGAGGGCCGTTTCGAACAAGACGTCACGAGAACCAACTGTCAACAACAGAAACGAAGAACCAACGCCCCCGCGCGGCGCAGCGCGGTGCAGCGCGGCACGGCGCCCGGGCAGGCGGGCCAAGCGGGCCGCGCTCGCGTTTCGGCCGGGCCCGGCCGGGTGTTGAACCCAGAGCGCGGAGCGTGCCGTGAGGGAATTCCAATTGAGGCGCGCTGCGCGCATTAGAGGCCGCCAGCCTGCGCCAGCCTCGGTCACAGTAACGACTGCTGCTCGCTGATGCCGCACCGTTAGGCGCAGCCGCAGACTGATGCACATCCACTTTTCAAAGTCAAGCAGTGCGATCAAAATGTCGTTACTGTCACGCGCTGCAAATGCAGCGCAGCGCGCAGCCTGGCCAAATCTGCGGACAGGCAGTCTCCCTTCTCCCCGAGGTGTCGGCCGGGGGCCCAACCAGCGGCCCAGCCCGGAGGACTGCCGGCCGGGGCTGCGACTGGCCAAAAAGGCGCCTGATCGGTAGGCAGTCCCGGCGGCAGCTCTGCCGGCCGGGACAGCATTGCCGCCATTCTCAGGGGCAGGGGGTAGGGACAGCCCCACGGAACCAGCCCCGCCACCGGTGGTACGAAAGCACTTCCAAATGTCGCGATGGTTTCCTGCTCGGTTTCCCGAGAACTCTCATTCTCATGGCAAACCAGAGCCGCGCACGGCGGCGCTGTCCACTCACTCACTCACCGGAGTCAGAGGCCAGTGGACGGGGAAGGGGTTGTCCCTCATGGCGTCTGCTGCGCCTGCACGGTCCTGGCAGTGGTGGCAGTCCTGGAGGACCACGAGCACACTCAGCCACTGGTGGAGGAACACTCGCCGCCAAAACCAACACTCTCACACTTGCACTCTAGAGCTCAGAATCGCGCGCGAAATAGCCCGCATGCCCGTCAGCCGATCGTGGGGCGTGCGTGCAGCGGTCCATAACGCGGTGCTCGAGCTACTGGAAGAAGCGCGGGGGGCTCGCGCTCGCGGCACGCGCCAGGGGGAGGGGGAGGGGCGACGCCACCATCCACCCGCGTCTTGTAGCGTCTCGCCGGCGCCAAGGCGATGGCGCAGCCATTTTCGCCAACATCACCTGACGGCCGCGCGCCGCGCCACTCAAGCGGCGCGCCGCTCCGCCCCCGCCTCCAACGAGTCCAACAACGAGGTGCAGACGGGCGGCCGGCCGTGAGAACGCGACCAGGCCGTCCATGTCCATCGCCACGCCGCGGGATGGCTGCACTCGTCCGCGCGGCCACACTTCCACGGACTAGTTTTTACTTCGGAAAACACGGCCGGGGAGCGCGAAAAAAAAACGCCAGGGAAGCTCGAAAAAAACTTAACAAACGAATCAGAACCGAGTAGAGAGGCCACTTTCGTAGGGCTGTCCGTGCGTCCGCGGCTGCGTCGCTGGGAAGCGGAACCTCCAGTCTTGCCGCCCTTACCTTGAGGTTGTGCGCAATCTGGCGGATATAGTACAGGTCCAGGTCCTGCAGGATGTTCATCTTGCCGATGGCCTCCGCGTGGTCCGTGGTGGCCGACAGCCCGGGCGGCGACGTGGGCACGGCGGCCGGGGGCGCGCCGAAGGGGGCCCCCTTGGGGGGCGCCTTGCACGCCTTGCCGCAGCCCTTGCTGGGCCCCAGGCTGAGGGCGGCCAGCGGCGGGAAGCACGAGTCCATCGCGGAGTCACGCGTCACTGGCGCCACCGCGGCCAGGGCATTCCACGCGCTGCGGCACGCCGAGAGCACGGCGGAGGAGTGCGTCAAGCCGTGTGCGTGTGTCAGTGTGTGTGCGAGTGATAAGGACCCCACAGGCTGTCTCTTCGTGTTCGCTTATCACAGGTGCGCGCGTCTCGCAGCGCGCGGCTGCTGGGCTGGGACGCGGGGCCTGGAGATAAGCCGTGATCCGTCCAGGAAAGACACCGCCTTGGGTCCAAACTCAAAACGCCGCGGTGCGCGGTAACACGACGGTAACGCGGTACGCCCGCCGCTAACGGGACTCACTTGTCTGCGGGGCACAGCCACAGTGTCACGGCGCTGTCGCCGTCCTCCTACGCCGCGAGTCCCTCCGCGCCGCGCCGCGCAGCGTGTGCGTGCCCTGCGTGCACTCGGCAGCGGACCAATAGCCGTGGATGGCTGCGCCGCTGTGCCAAGGCAAGGCAAGGCTGGAAGGAAGGCTTCGGGCTTTCGGGGGGCGACGACCCGATGGCGGTGGCTCGCTGGCCCCCTCCAATGTCCACCAGAGAGCACCGCGGGACCGCGGGGCCCCGCGACGCGACAGCGCGACATCCCCGCCGGCCCGGCCAGCCCCGCTAGCGCTGCCGAAGACGGCTGGCCGCGCCGCCACGCCCGCGCCCTGCACATGCACCACGCCGTGCTCGCCGCCAGACTCGGACCCGAAAAGGCGAACGACGGGGCGCTGACGTGCGATACGCCATCGGTCGCGCCTCGCCTCAGATGAGAGAAAGAGAGCCATCGAATGAGCGACCCGATGAATGATGTATGAATGAGGGATGCAAATCAAGGAAGGTAATGCGTCTCTCTTTCTCTCTCACGCGCTCGCCGTCCCAACGCGGACATGCTCCCAAATGAAAGCACGCAGCGCCGGGGCTTGGCCTGGGCCAAACGGCCCACCACGAGGTGTTGCGTGCGTTTCGAGCTTGAGTCATCGAGCTACTCGTCGCACTACTCGCTCGCGAGGCGTGGAGGGTGGCGAGGAGGGTGGCCGAACGGAAGGGAGGAAAGGGGAAGGGGGCTGCATCAGATACACCCCTAATGAAGCAAGGCCGGGCCGGGCATGGCGGTGGGGTGCATGAGGGCGCCGAGGTTCGGGCCGCCCGGCTTGCGCCACACGTGCTGCACGCGGTGCACGTCGGCGTCGTCGAGGGCAGCACGTGTTTGGCGGTGGCACACGCCCCCGCCGACCCTCGCCCTGTCTCTGTCGCACTGGCGGGGCGTTGCGCCGGGGCGCGAGAGAGACGGAGCGACGCAGCCGGCATGCCCTCATGCACACGCACGGCCTGCAGTGCCTGCAGTGCCTCGGCCACGGCCCACATGGCCCACCGCGGCGCCGCGCATTGTGCTCCGGTACACAAACTACAGTGTACATAAATCCCGGCGGGGGCGCAACGCAACGCTCCCGAACCGAACACGCCTCCAGCCGAGACGCCGCGGCTCCCAGACACAAACGTTCCGGACGGTAGAGCACGTCCTGCGTGGAGTCAGCCTGGAGCGCGTGCATCAGCCAATCGGCTCAGCTCGGCGAAGAGCAAGGCCCTGCCCGACAGGCAGACCTGGGAGACTGCTTGTCCAACGACGGGCACACCTCAGGGCTGGCCTCGGGTCCTTACCTCCAAGTGCAACCCAGACAACGCTCTCGGTGAGGCGGAGGGGGAGGGGCCCTAACCTGCCCGTGTCATTCCGGTCCATTTACGACGCGTAATCGCCTCGCCTCTCCATGCAAATGCCACCATCACGGCGCGAGTAAGACCCAAGACCCGCCGGCCGGGCGGCCCCGCCCTGCCCTGCCCCGCGTCGTGGCCCAGGGCTCAACTGGCCGAGCCGAACCCCCCACCTCCTCCGTGCGGACGGGCCCGAGTCGTGACAACACGCCCCGCAAGACTGAAATGAATCACATCAGGCAATTCCCCCCCCCCCGGCCCGGCCTCAAATCGAGCCATTTTTCATAGTCGATGATCGAGTTCGCGTGGGACTCTGGGACGGCAAAACGAAAGGCGTGTGTGCAGGCAGTAAATAGTGCGCTCAACGGGGCAGGGCGGCACGGTGACAATGCGTCACATCGACAGCGGGTCTCCATCGGTGTCCGGGACGCCAGTTTACAGAGTAGGGCGCAGGGACCGCCGGGGACCGCCACCGGCCGCGACGCAGACAGAATGCAGACGGCGTCGCGAACCTCGGCCTGGGCCGCACGAGCCCCAAAATGCCAGCCGGCGCGCGGTGCACATCCGCTGCTTGCCGCCCTGCTGCAGCACAGGAAACAGGCAGGCAGACGCGCAAGCTCTCCTCCAATCAGAGCGCCGCGTCAGACAGTCAGTCAGACACGCACTTCATTTTTTCCGGGCGACTCCGCGCCTCGCCAGCCGCCGCCTGTACACTGTCGGGGGGAAAAGTTGATCGTTTCCGACATTTCCGACACGACGGCGGCTCCGGACACACCGCACTCACACTCGCGCCCCGAAAGCAGAGCCCAGCTGCCGTCCCGCGGGTCCCGCGGGTCAGACTCTGGCGTCGGCGTCGCGTCGGCGCGGCGACAAGGATGCAATTATTGCCGCTGCCGGCCGAAAGGCGTCCCGGGCCGCGTCAGAGAGAGACAGAGGCAAGGCAAAAGGGTCCCGTTGTGAAAGTGACGGACGGCCGGCGCCGAGGGCTGGCTGGGCGCGCTGGGCGTCGCGTCGGCCTGAGCTGCTTGGGCTGCTTGGGCTGCTTGGGCGTGGATGGCTCCGTGCCCTTCGGCGCCCTTCGGCCCTTGGTCAGGCCGGCCGGGCTGCCCTCCGTGCCGCCGGCCCAAGGCCCTTCGTGCCCTTGAAAGGGAAAGGGGCGTCCCACGCGAGGGCTTGGACGAGGCCTCGGACCCCCCGCGGCCGCGGCCAGCCCTGCGTGCCTACACGCCCTGCACGCGGCGTGATGCAACCGCGGCACAGAGATTAGGCTCCACGACGCCGTGGCCCGATCACGCGGGCGGACTAAAGTTGCCGCCAAAACCGAGCGCCGCCACGACGCCGTCGCTAGCACCTCGCCTCTAACGCGTATTTGCGCAGGTGGACAGGACAGCCTGGACGGCCTGGACCAGAGACCGCAGCCGCACGCAGTCGGGGCCGCGGCCTCTGGCTCCTCCACTACACTGGCACAGAGCGGCCAGGCCGGGCGGGGCCAGGCGGGGCGGGGCCGCGGCCGTTGTCACGGCAACGAGCGACTTCCGTCGCCATGCCAACCCTGCGGCCCTGCGGGGCGCGCCGTCCGACTCCAAGATGGGCAAGATGGTGCACACGTGGGGGCTGGGGGCGCTAATTAACAGTTACGCTGCGGGGGGAGGCGGTGGGGTCGAACCCGGGCGGGGGCGGGGTCGCCTCTACACGCGTCGCACTTGAGTGTGAAAACCTAAATCCCTTTGGTTACACGCAATACCGCAGTCGGAGTTGCAGTGGACCAGCAAAGACCGGAAAAGGGTTTTACCTACGCCACTGGCTCCTCGGCGGCGAGGGAAGGCCCAGGCGAGGCCCGGCCCAGGCAGGCAGGTGGGCCACCGCCGTCCACCGCAAGCCAGCGTGCGGTCGGCACGCCCAGTGGCGCGGCCCGCCAAAAGCGCTGCCGAGCCGAGGGCCGCGTCGAGGGCCAAGCCCCGCGTCCCCGTCCCGCCAGCGTCTCTTGCCTTGCTCCTTGCCGGCTAGCCGCGACCGAAATATACCGCACGCCCTGCCCGCTCCGCCATAACGCGCCGCCAGAGCCGCGGCAGTCACACTCCACGGCCGGGGCGCCAAATCACGCCAATCCGCGGCACGGTGCACGGCGCCTCCACGCCCCATTCGGCGTGCGAAAAACCTAAAGCGGCCGCGCGTGCGGCCAGCCGGGCCGGGCCGGACGGACGGCACGGCGAGCGGCAGCCACTCCCGTTAGATTTGCGCACCGCGCCAAGTACGGCACCACGGCCCACTCGACAAATATGTTTGCAAAGGCAGCACCGCACGGCACGCCACGGGCCAGGGAGTGGCGAGCGGCCAGGAGGGGGCGCAGCGCGCAGCGTTCAGCCAGGCGCACTACACCGCGGACGCCGCGCCCGCCGCCGCGCCCCGCGGACGTGACCCTCTCCAGCCGGCCTTCCCTCCACCTGGGCGCGGCGCGGCGCGACGGCAGAACAGCTGGGCGACGCCCCGCCCCGCCCCGCCCCGAACGCCATTTCCGATCGTAAAACTCGGGTCGTTCAAGAGCGGACCCGGTACCCACGGGCCGCGGGCTGCACGGGGCGGATCCAGGAAGGGCCGGCCGCACCAGAGCAGCGACGCCCATCACGGTCCTGGACGGTCCTGGAGTCGGGGGGGAAGGCGGGGCTGCCTGGACCGCCTGGACGGACGTACTCCTCTCCACGGTAATGACTAGCCGGCCGGCCGGGCGGCCCCCGCGACCTTCACGCCGTGATGCAGGCCGTGCTGCAGGCCGGGGGTGGGAGCGACCGCGGGCCAGCCCGCCGGCCAGCCCTGCCGGCCCACCGCAGCGGCGTCCCCGTCCCCGCGTCGCGCAGACCAGGACCCCTCGCCGTCGCCAGTCGCCGCCCTGGTCGAGCTCCCACGCACACACAACTCGCAGCATATAACGAACTGAACTTGACTTGACAACCACAAAAGCCGACGCCAGATTTGACAGCCTATGAGGGTCGCTTTGCTGGACTTGGTCGTGTAGAGTATGGTGTGTGCATGTGTGTGGGCGGACTGTTGTTGTTGTTGGTCCACTTTCTTCGCTGACCATTCCCAACAACAACAACGCTCCGCTAACTTGACGGCACTCCTCCAAACTTACAAACAACAACAAACTTCAACTCCGCCGGCAAGCACTAACAACACTGCTGCCGCGCGCACGCACACGCACACTGAACACACGCGCACGCGTCACACACGCGTCGGGTTTGGCACAATCGGCGTCGTCGCGACGCGTCGGGCAGGCGTCGG